CCCTGCACAGACCAAGGCCGAGCCACCCAAAACCGAGGCTTCACCGCCTCGTCCCGCGACAGCCAACGGTAATGGTGCCGAAGCGCAACAGTCCACGCAGGAGGCGCAAGTCAAGGCCGAGGGTAACGACGCAGAGGCCAACAATGCGGCCCCTGTCTCTGCTACCGCCACTGCGACCGCGCCTGCTACGGCTGCCAATGCGAACGCCAATCAGGCCGTAAACGCGAATGGCAGCGCCCCTCCCGCTGCCAATGCTGCTGCTGGTAACGAGAAACGGCCACCTTGGGAGCTTGCTGATGAGATCATGTCGGTGCTCAAGACCGCTTTCCCCTTGTTGGCGCTTTCCATGGAGACCATGGTCGACCAGATCCAGAAGAATTTCAAGTGTCCGCCGGACGAAGATGCCTATCGACTCATCGTCGCGCTGCTCAATGATGCGCTTGCATACGTCGCCAGAACGCCCGCTTCGTTCGCAAAGAGCGTCAAGCTTCCACCGGCCACGGAGCAGAATATCACTCGCTTCGCCGAGACAATCTTGCCGCCACACATCAAGAAATCCTTCGAGGCTGACTTTGTGGACGTCAAGCCAACCATGTACGAGTACATCCACAAGCTGCGGAGATGGCGGGACAAATTTGAAGAGAAGCTGGACCGCCGTACAACCCGCGTGGCGCTTGAGGTATTCTCCCCTCACCTCAGTGAGTTCCGATACCAGAAGTTGGATGAGGTTGAGGTGCCGGGGCAGTATCTTCAGCACAAGGACAAGAACCAGGATTTCATCCGCATCGAGCGTTTCTTACCCAATGTCGACCTTGTGCGCACCATCAATGCTTCCTATCGACGGGTGAAAATGCGTGGACATGACGGCAGCGTTCATACGTGGGCAGTGCAGCATCCTGCCGCTAGACATTGCCGTCGTGAGGAGCGCATTCTGCAGCTGTTCAGGCACCTCAACCAGACCCTGAACCGCAAGAAGGAAAGTCGCCGTCGCGATTTGCAGTTTACCCTGCCTCTCATGGTACCCCTCGCTCCACATATAAGAATTGTGCAGGAGGACTGCTCGTACATCACCCTGCAAGGCGTCTATGAGGATCACTGCCGACGCAACGGGATCCAAAGAGACGAGCCTGTTCTCTTCACCATGGAGAAGCTTCGCGGTGTGCACGAGCTCAACGTTAACGTAAGTCGTTCCTTTGGCGGATACGACGAGGCAGATCATACTAACGCGTTGCAGAACAAGGCTGAGCAGACTGCCACTGCACGATTGGAGATTCTGAACGCCATTCAAGAGAAATGGGTTCCTCACACGGTTGCACTGGAGTATTTCCAGCAGACATACCCTCAATTCGCCGACTTTTGGCTCTTCCGCCGCCAGTTCTCCTACCAGCTGGCGGCACTGACGTTCATGACATACACCATGTATATGCACGTCCGCTACCCGCAGAAGTTCAACATTGCCCGTGGTTCGGGCAACATCTGGGGCTCGGAACTCATGTCGTACATGAGCAACAACAAGCCCTACTTTACGAACCCGGAGCCAGTGCCCTTCCGTCTGACACCCAACCTCCAGACGCTGATGGGTCCGCTGGCGACGGAGGGCATATTTGCGAGCGCCGTCATGGCTATCGCACGCTGCCTTACTGAATCCGAGCATGAGCTCGAGCATGCCCTCACGCTCACAGTGCGTGACGAGATGATCTTCTGGTTCACTAGCACGCATAGGCACGGCAGTGTCTCGGAACAACAGGTCCGTGAATCTGTCCATGTGAACAGCGACTCGATTGTCAAAAGAGCCATGAGTCTGGCGCACAGCCCTTCGGGCAATCTGCCAGCCACGCAGACGGTTATCGACGCCATTGCCAAGGCCGTCAACCCCAGGAACTTGGCGCAGTGCGATGCGCTTTGGATGCCATACTTGTAAACTGAATTTTGGGGGCTTTCTAGACACGGACAACAGGGCCAAGAAAAGAAAAAGAGGGAGATGGATGTGGGCTTGGGGAGGCATGTCGTTTTAAGCATGGCGTTACAGGAGGGTATGATTGGGATTGGCGGCCTCAGCGCATGGGGACCAAGGAACGAAGATACCACGACGAATGTACTTTTATCAGCCGTTGGAAGCAAGTTGACGTAATTGGTTATATTCATAATAAACAAGCCACTGTACATTCAACAATTTTTTTTTTTCACTTTCAGCCGTTCTTCGTCCTTTGGTGAAGTAACCTTCCGATGGTTGCGCACCCTTACTGTATAGTATTACTGATCAAGAAGCGTTTCTATGTTCACAAACGTAGTAATCAATCGTGGATCTTCATTTGTTTTTTTTTTAAAAAATACGAGCTACATCGCGATAAAGAGGTCCTAGTTGCATGTCCAGCTAAACATTGTTCCCACTTGTCACTCAAGATGCAGTCCTTGTAGAGCGTGGAGTCGGGTTCAGGGTAGGCCAGACGATCTCTTCATTCCGTGTTTCCCCTTTTCCAGAAAGTGAAGCCATGTAATCAATTTGGCAGGCGATCGAATGTTATCAAAGCACTGAGCCAATTCCTTGGTTTTCTAGGATCCGTCTTCCAACGCTGCTTACCCCGTGGGGTCGGCAAGCGTCATCGGATCCGAAATCGCAACCTGTTCTGCGTCTGCCGAGGTTGACCGAGATGTGGGGGATCAGCTATGCCTTCACTCGGCTCGACTTGTGCTACTTATATGATTTGAACATCCTCACTTGCTTTATATTTTTTGTCTGCGTTAAAATTGGCAAAAGACACGTACCTCAGGCACAATGGATGCACAGACTGTCGTCCCCCGCAAGCTGTGGGAGCACCCCGACCCCAAGTCCACGACCATGTACCAGTTCATGCACGACGTAAATCGTTTACATGGTCTGAAGCTCAAAGTAAGTGTCAAAGACACACTCTTTTTGGGAACTGGCTAATTCTCACAGACATACAATGACTTGTATCGATGGTCCATCAACAACCGCGGCGCCTTCTACGACAAAGTATGGAAACTAGGGAATTGGATCCATGAGGGGACGTACAGCCGTGTCGTCGATGAAACGGCGCCCATCACAGATCTGCCCAAGTGGTTTGAGGGCGTCAAGGTCAATTTCGCGGAGAACTTTCTCTGGACTACTGGTGCCTCACCCAACGAGAGGACAACCACGCACAAGGAAGATGATCGTGTTGCCGTGACTGAGATTCGCGAGGGCAACACGGAAGTCAGAAACCACACGTGGGCGGATCTACGACGCAGAGCTGGTGAGCTTGCCGGCGCCCTGAAGGCGAGGGGTGTCGTGGAAGGCGATCGTGTCGTCGTTGTCGGTGCACACAGCGTCAGCACATTTACCGTCATGCTCGCCACGCTATGGCTCGGCGGTATCTTCAGCAGTAGTTCCACAGATATGGGCGTTGGCGGTCTTCTCCAAAGGACGACACAAATCGATCCCAAGGTGCGTGAAGATCTCTGGTGACTTAGACGAAGATGTAAGATGCTGACCCGCTTAGTTCGTATTCTTCGACGATGGGGCCATCTACAATGGCAAAAGGCTTGATCTGCAAGACAAGATCCAGGGGGTGACGGAGGGCATGCGGAAATGCCCAAGCTTCAAGGCTACCGTCATCATCCCTCGATTCGAGGCATCTCGCAAAGCTCCAAAGACGGGAATCGACAACACCGAGACACTGGAGGCTTTCCTACGAGCGTCGTCTGCGCAACCACCCGAATTGGCTCGTGTTGCCTTTCAAGCACCCAGTATCATCTATTACTCATCTGGCACCACTGGTACGCCCAAAGCCATCGTTCATGGTACGGGTCCTCTGCTTCTGAACCTTAGCAAGGAGAGCACTCTCCACCACGACCTGGGTAGAACCGATGTTGCGATGCAATATACGACGACTGGCTGGATCATGTATCTCGCCAGCGTGGCCCATCTGCTGATAGGCGGGAGAGCTATCTTCTACGACGGAAGTCCACTTCTCCCCGATGCCGCAGTCCTCCTGAGAATCATGGAGCAGCAGGGTGTCACGTTCTTTGGAACCAGTCCGAGGTGGATGAGCGAGGTCAGAAAAAGTGGCATTCGACCCCGTACGGATTTTGACCTCAGCAAGTTGAAGCTGGTGAGCAGCACTGGCATGGTTCTCCCCGATGAGCTGTTTGAGTGGTTCTACGACACAGCTTTCCCCAAGAATGTTCATCTGTGCAACATCTCTGGTGGGACAGATATTGTGAGTCCTGTTCTTCCATGTATTGTTTGATAAATCGACTGACAGCGGCAGGCTGGGTGCTTTGTTATTGACAACCCCCTCACACCCGTCTACGTTGGCGGCACTCAAGGTCCCGCCCTCGGTGTCCCCTTTGCCGTGTACGACCACGACCTCGAGCCAGGTACCAAAGGAGCGCCTCTCCCAGCAGGCACGCCAGGCGATCTCGTCTCGCCAGCAGCGTTCCCCAACGTGCCGCTGTTCCTGTGGAACGATGGCCCCAAGGCGCCTGGTCCCAAATACACGTCAGCATACTTCTCACGATTCAAGGACACCTGGGCGCAAGGAGACTTTTGCGTCATCCATCCCGTCACGGGCAATGTCAACATGCTAGGTCGATCTGATGGCGTCTTGAATCCCAGCGGTGTCCGCTTCGGCAGCTCCGACATCTACGGTGTCGTGGAGAAGTATTTCGCCGATGAGATTAGGGAGAGTATCTGCGTCGGCCAGCGTCGGCCCCAGGATCAGGACGAGAGGGTGGTCCTCTTCCTGCTCATGCGCGAGGGCAAGACGCTGACAAGGGGCTTGGTGAGCGACATTCGAGAGAGAATCGCCAAGGAGCTCACAAAGAGACACGTGCCCAAGTATATCTTTGAGGTGCCCGATATCCCTGTGAGTTCGCTCGATTACATATATCGCTATTTGTGCATTGACTAACAAAGAACCAGACAACAGTCAACCTCAAGAAGGTCGAGCTTCCCGTGAAGCACATCATATCCGGACGCACGGTGAATCCAAGTGGGACATTGCTGAATCCTCAAAGTCTTGACTTTTTCTACCGCTTCCAGAATGTAGAAGACCTGACAGAACCACAGGCCAAGCTATAGAATATAGATTAGAGAGTAGCACATTACCAATACATGAAACGCCAGTTCCCACAGGTGACACCCCAAGGAGGACTGACCCCCGTGAACATTACAACGCTTCGTGCTCTTTGAATTTTCCACCATGCATGCCATGGCGCCAGGCCATGTAAGCAACCGTTCCCCCAATGGTACCAAGACCGGCCGCTCCCAAAGCCCCGTATCCTGTCCACGCAGCGCGTGGTACTCTTCCAAGATATGTCGCCGTACCAGCAACCAAGCCAACTTCAGTGAAGAGATCCACCTCGCCTTGAAAAGGGTTGCCCAAAAGTCTCCAACTGCGATCTTGCCATTCAATGTGCTCTCGGCCTCGCATACGGCCCCACAGGGCCGCAAGCATCAACGGCCCGCTCCACAGCAGCCCGCGACCAGCATTGTGTAAGAGCTTCGTCTTGAAATCGGGTGCGCGAAAGTAACGTAAAGCTGTGTACGTGGAACCAAGGATGGCGCCTGTCGTCAGGCCACGCTCCAGGACGTGCGTGGTGAGGATGGTTTTGGCATACTTCTGGTCCTCGGCATAAGGAGCCTGGCGGAAGCCATGGATGTAGGGTGAGGACATGTTGTTTGTGTCGAGTCGATTGACCGAGTGGCTTGAATCTCAGAAAGAAGGCACACAGCGGCTTTAAATCAACACTGAAGCTCTGTGTCAATCACCGCTCGTCGATTCATAAGCGAGAGGCTGGTCTTACGCTTCGGGATGCCGGAAAAAGCGGGGAACGAATGCGAGTGCGACTGACAGTTATTGGCCTTCCGTTCCGACTCCCTCAGGACCTTCATGACCATCAGTGGAAGGGGGCGACAAGTGGTCAAATTATATAAAACAGTGATTATGCGTGCTTTCTTCTGGATGCCAGTGTAATTGCGTGTCGTATTATTCCTCATCAGTCATGTCCATCATGCTCTCTTCCCCTTCCAGAGAGACAATTCGTCGTCTGTCCATTGCCCCTTTGCCTTTGGCCACGGCACCATTCGCACCCATCAGCTTCCGTGTGGCCTCCAACTTCCTCTGCTCAAGATGCTCCTCAAAATATGCGAGTTCGTCCGCGTCCTCTTCGGTGACTGTGTCCATAGTGGCCGTCTCTTCGAGTGCTCGGTTGAGAAGCTCGGTCGCGATGCTGTCCTGCGGGTTAATCGCCAGCGCTTCATGTAGGACAACGACAGCTTCGTCAGACTTGTCTTGTTCCATCAAAATCAGTCCTTTGGCGCAGAATATGGCCGCGTCCTTGCCCCCCTCGCGGAGCACCTGCTCAAACTGGGCCAAGGCTTGCTCGTACATCCCTAGTCGTCGCATTGCGTGAGCCAGATTGGTTCTAATGGCCACCCAAGCCGACCTTTCACCACCAATCTCGTCCACCATCTGCAGTGCTTGATTGAAGCAAAGGATGGCATCTCTAGGTCTGTCATGGTGAAACTTGACCACCCCCATCTCGTTGAGCAGTAATGGGTCCGTCTTGCACAGACCATGAGCTGTCTTGAGGAATTCCTCAGCTAGAGTCATATTGTTCAAGGCCACGTTCTGCATCCCCAAGAACACTTGCGGCAGATGCGTTCCCATGAAAAGCCGGGCTGCCGTCGAGTACGCTGATATCGCCTGATCGTGCTCGCCCTCGGCCGCAAACGTGTGCGCGAACCCTATCCACGCAGGTCCAAAGTGTGCGTCCATCATGCTTGCTTTGCTGAAATATCGCCTGGCCTCTGGGATCTTCCCAATCGCAAAGTAATAGATACCCACGGCAAGCCATGTGCAGGGCTCCTCTGGATGTGTGTCGGCCAGGTCATGAGAAACCAGGAAGAGCAAACTTATCTTCTTGAGCTCGAAAAGACAGGCCAGGTGCACGGGATATATGCTAAAGTTGTACTTGTCCGTCTCGAGGATCTCGTTGGTGATTGTGAGGGCATCCTGGTACCGACACTGGGTGTAGAGGAGATCCGCCCGCGCCAGTTGCAGATCTGGGTTGTCCGATAAGCGATAATGTGTCGACAAAGAGTCGTACGCGCTCTCGAAAGCGTCAGGGTTGCGATACTTGGATAATCGCGTCGTGTAAAGCATCCGCGTGAAGTCGCTCGCCTCCTGGGCTACCCCAGGATTGCTGGGCACTTGCACCTGGTCAAAGTCAAGACTTTCCAGAAATTGCCATTCCTCGTCTGGCGAAAGCAAGTGGTTCGACATGAGTTGCTGAAACGCCTCGAAGCACTGAACATCAATCCTCACAGCATCCTTGTAGCATTCCTTCGCCCGGTCGAACGCATTCTTTTTAGCGTAGCATATGCCTCTGAGATAGCACATACCCGCCTCGTATCGTCGTTCCTTGGCTTCTTCTGAGGCGGCAGTCTCGTCGTCGGCACCGTGTCTTCTTGCACCTCGCGCGCCGGTTCTTGCCTGTGTCTTTCGCTTGTGGCTTGGGCCCCCGTTCGTGATGAGATGTGTCGGATTCCGATCACCCAGGATTTTCAGGGCTTCGTCGAACAATCCTTGTTTGGTAAGGCAGTGGGCCGCGAGATATCGACATGATGAGCTGCGGTTCACGAGGTCTTGCTTTTCGAGGAAGGCATGTGCTCGCGTGTAGTTGCCCGTAGCAAAGTGCACTTGGGCCAGCCAGAATGCATCACCATCGTCATCTATACCGGTCAGTCACGTTGACTCGATCGACGGGTTCTGTCCGCACGTGTTAAGGCCAGTAGCTTGTCCCCGATGAAGATAGCCGACTCGTACTGGGATTTGTTCAGGGCATCCTGGCGCCATTCGCGCAGGTATGTCTCCATTATCTGCTGTGACACATGTATCCGCTGCACATGAGCTCTGTGGTGGGAGCTAGACTCGTTGAGGCTCTGCGACGCGAGGTGTTGTAGATGTCAATGTTCCGTCGCGGCCTGCACCTTCCACGGGTCGCGTCTGATGACGCTAACTTATAAGGTAGTTAACAATTAAATTACAGCGGGTGGAGGGGCAGTCGCAACAGAGCATCAGAGCACTCTGAGCTCCAGTCATGGCACGTCAATGCCTCACGTGATCTGTCATAAGAAGGCCCTTGTGTCTAAAGAAACTGCTCTGGGTTCTTCGCAAACAGATCAGTAACTTTTATTGCACCTAAAATTGAGGATGCTCTGGCATGCAGCGCACCACGACCTGGACCCCGATTCTCGGATGCTGCCAGAGGTGGGGCCAAAAAGTCGGTCCCTCAAACCTCAACATCGATCATCGCCATGGTTGACGCTACCACTCTCCTCCACACGCTCATTTGACGACTCAATCGTCTCCGAACAGTCAATTCTAGCCACAATGTCTGCCACCGCAACCCGCTGGGCCGCCCTCGCGCGCGACACAAACGAGACGAAGATCCAGCTCGCCATCAACCTCGATGGTGGCTCCTTTCCCCCAGAGACCGACTCCCGCTTGACCTCTGCCAATGACGATGCCCACGCTTCGCAATCTTCCAAGTCGCAGCGAATCGCCGTCAACACTGGCATCGGGTTTCTGGACCACATGCTGCATGCCCTGGCCAAGCATGCGGGCTGGTCTCTCGCGATCAACTGCGTGGGCGATCTGCACAGTGAGTCTGACTTGTGTCTGGCCACGTCGTACAAATCACTAACCGTAGTAGTCGACGACCACCACACAGCGGAAGATGTCTGCATCGCCCTCGGCTACGCTTTTGCCACCGCCCTCGGAACGCCCACTGGTATTGCGCGCTTCGGCTACGCCTACGCCCCTCTCGACGAGGCCCTGTCCCGCGCAGTCGTCGATATCTCCAACCGCCCCTACAGCGTTATCGATCTTGGTCTGAAGAGGGAGTGGCTGGGCAAACTAAGCTGCGAGATGGTTCCCCACTGCCTCCAGAGCTTTGCGCAAGGAGCGCGAGTGACCATGCATGTGGACTGCCTGCGGGGCGACAACGACCATCACAGAGCAGAGAGTGCATTCAAGGCTCTCGCCGTTGCGGTCAAGATGGCGACGAGTCGGGTCGCCGGTAAGGAGGGTGAGGTGCCCAGCACCAAGGGCACATTGAGCGCCTAAAGATGAGAAAAATCACGAATTACGTGCACGGCTTAGACGGCGTTTTGGGTATACGGGTTGATCATCTAAAGAAAAATACATTTCTCACTCTTTCTCTACACTCGCTCCATCAAGTCCGGTAGTCGCCGTTGATGGTCACATAGTCGTGGCTAAAATCACAGGTCCAGTGAACCGTCTTCTCCGTGCCAGTACCCAGCCTGACGACAATTTCCAGGTCCTCCATCTCCAGAATTTCGGCGGCGCGCACCTCGTCGACCTGCTCTGGCTCGCCATTCACCAGAAGCCTCAGCTCAGGCGAGCCGTCGCTGGGCACGAACGAGACATTGGTCTTCTCGGGCACAATCTCGGGGATATCGTTGATGGGCTGACCAGGAGGCGAGACCAGTGCGTACCCAGCAGCGCAAAGAATGCGACCCCAGTTGGCGTCCTTGCCGTAGAGCGCGGTTTTGACGAGCGGTGAGCGGGCAATGGACCGGGCAACCTCGCGTGCAGCCTCCTCAGTGGCGCTATCGACAACATGGATGGTCACAAACTTGGTGGCACCCTCACCATCGCGGACAATGAGCTTGGCAAGGTCAGCTGAGAAGTCAGTCAGCAGCTCCCTAAAGGCAGCGTAGTCCTCTGAGCTTGTAGAGGTAACCTCTGCGCCGCCTGCCGCGCCGTTCGCCAACAAAGCCATGGTGTCGTTCGTTGAGGCGTCACCATCGATAGTGATGGCGTTGAATGACCTGTCCGCAGCATGCTTTACCACCTGGGGCATAATGGCCGGCGAGATGGGTGCATCTGTGGCGATGATCGTGAGAAGGGTGGCCATGTTGGGCGCGATCATACCAGCACCCTTGGTCAACCCAGCAATTCTATACTCGACTCCAGGCGACGAGGGCAGTGAGAATGACCGGCTCATAAGCTTGGGGAATGTATCCGTTGTACAGATTGCCTTTGCGCAGGCCATCCAGTGCTTGTGCGAGTCTCCAGCCTGATGATATGCGACGGGAATGTGGTCAATAATCTTCTGGATAGGCAGTCTTCACGAGTGTTAGCATTGAGTCTCTCAATTGAGTAAAATATGAGCAACGTACCTCTGCCCAATGACGCCCGTGCTCATCACAAGCGTCGAGTCCTCGGTGCCAACTCTCTGATCGGTGGTCCTGGCCATGTTCGCCGCGTCCTCCAGACCGCCCAGGCCTGTCACAGCGTTGGCATTTCCCGAATTGATCACCACACTTCGCAGTCCCTCGTTCTTCTTGGTTTGGAGGACCTTTCGGCTGAAAGTTACAGGCGCAGCCTGGAACTTGTTCTTTGTGAACACCGCCGCTGCGGCGCATGGGCGATCCGAGGTCACAATGGCGAGGTCGGGTTTGCTCGTGTTGCCAGGCTTCACCCCAACAAACACGCCCGAGGCTGAGAAGCCTTGCGGGTAGACGCCCGCGTTGGGAACATACTTGAGCTTGGCGTGAGGGATCGCGCCGCTCAGCGATGCCGAGTAGCAGGCGCGTGTGACTCTCATTGTGGGCAACGAGTGGTGCTGAGACGTTATCTAGGTTGAGAAGAGGGATGGCCTTTTTGGAGCTGGTGAGAGAACAGGGTGATATGATAAGTCGCATGAGTCAACAACCCCGATTGAAGACGCTCTATTCCTCAATTCTAAGATATTGCCATATCACAGATGGATTCTATAACGTGTTTATTTTTTTAGGCTTGAAACCTTTCTATGGGATCTCTATTGATGCGCACGCCCTGACGATGGAATTTTGATCACTGCCGACGTCGGAGCTCGCGTGCCAGATTACCCCAAACCACGATGCTTCGTATGCCGAGAGCTTCTGTTAGTGGACGTTTTCTCATTATTCTTTCTTTGGGGCCCGCGCCGAGTACTAGTTGAGCATATTTTGATCGCTCAAGAAATGGTGCATCCTTTGAACCGTGAATCACTTCACTCTTGCATGCTGAATACTTGTTACGTAGAGGCCCAAAGAGCACGGTGTCGAGCTCGCTCATATCAGCCTGCAGTTGAGCGAAATCCCATGGGCTGTCTCGTTACGTGTTATCTTTCATTGAACGCACATAGCGACTAGAAATAGTAGTAAGCATTGCCGTGTGTGAATCTGTGATGGCCTTTGCGGTAATGTTCCTCAAGCGCAGTCTAAGGTAAGGTAAGTTCAGGCAACCGCCCAGGCAGCAGAGGCTGCGGCTGAGGATGAGTCATCCACTCAGAAGCAGGCCCACCAATCAGAGGCCGGAAGCCCGCTACTGATTCACCTGGCGCGCACAGACCACATTAGATCTATAAAAGTAGCTCGCCCGCCCACGTCCTTTCCTCTTTTCTCTTCTTTCCTCTCCATCCAAGTGCACGGGCGTTTTCCTTCTCCGTGAAGCGATAAGCTGAGAGAGGAATTTTGCTAGTTGAAAACTATTCACTGACTGCTCCTATCTGGGTTCGTCCTGGGTAGGGAATTTTTGGACTTCTACGAGCCTTTGGTTTCATCGCTCTTTCATTGTGCTGGCTCCTGGTGGGCTGGTATGAAGAAGGATCTCGTCGCCCTGACGTTCTCCCGAACCACCTCGTATATGATGCGTCCGTTTAGAATAACGAGACTCTTAACATCTGCCGGTGTTAAGCGCGTCTGAGAACGCGTTCTCCCGCGGATGATATCGCGCTTGCTAGAAATATTTATCATTAGTGTGTGTTGCTGCCACCATGCCTGTCGTGACTGGTTGCGATCATGGCGCTCATTGCGGGGAGTAAATTACGAATGATGCACTTCTTACCTTGAGAATAATTAATATTTAGATGATCACAGAATTGCACCCATGGTTACAGATACTTTTATATCCTGGTGTGCACTGTGAGACTGACACTTGATTAATTGGAGTGGTGAAGCCACTGTACACAGGCTACAGCGTACGCGGGGCACAACTTCTTCTTCAACCCCCACCATTCCTGCTTCGGCTTTTAACTTGCAGTGACTCAACTACGAGCCTCAGACCATTGTTGTTGCGACGTCAATTTTGCCTTTCACATCACAACATACGTACAACCAAACAGTGACGAAGGCCCCCAACACCTTTATCGACCATAATTTCACACCGCATTCCCCAAAACAACTCCGTGAACATCGTTACCGCTCGTTCCGTCATCGCACAGATCCATGGCCGCAGTTGCACCAGCTCCGGGGCCTGCGCAAGCAGGCCAAGGTCCTGAGGCTACACCTCCGCCCGAAGCTACTGTCCAAGATACACAAGACGAGAATCAATCGAAAACAAAAGACGACCCCGAGCCACCGAAGCCGGCACCCGCTGCACAATCCGCGAAGCCAGCCAAGGGAGGACAGCAACCAAAAGCCGATCAGCCCGCGGGCGAGAAGAAACTGTCAGGCGCGGAGCTTAAGAAGAAAGCCAAGGAAGAGAAAGCGGCGCGAAGAGCACAGGCGAAAGCTGCATCCGGCGTAGCCCCCCAAGGACCACCCGGGCAACAGCAAGGACAAGACAAGGGCGGCAAGGGGGTCAAGCCGAAGCAGGATGCACCATCAGGGTCACAGAGCCAACGGCAGGCGGCCAAACCTGTCGCTGCGCCGGCGCCTCCCAAAGAAACCAAGCCTAAGGTGCCAGTAATCTTTAGCCATCTTTCAATGGCCAAGAGGATATCACTGCAGCAGACGGACAAGGATGTTGATCCAAGGATCACGCTCCTCGGACAGCAGATGGCTGCTTTCGTTGTCGATGACAGCACCACACGGACACAGGCGACTCTGCTGGCGATGAAAAGGGTATGCTCCACCTTCTAGAGAGCGACTCTTCAATACTGACAGATACAGGTCCTTGCCGCCTACTCCACCCCTCAGGGCACCACATTCTCCCGCCATTTCACCGCTCATGTCTTGAATCCTCAGATTGATTATCTCGCAGCATGCCGCCCCATGTGCTTCAGCATGGGCAATGCTATTCGATGGCTCAAGCTTCAAATCAGTAAAGTGGATATCGACCTGGCTGACTTCGAGGCTAAGAGGGCCCTGTCGGAAGCCATCGACAACTACATCCGCGATAAGATCGACGTTGCCGGTCCAGTGATTGCCGAAAAGACTAATGCCTTGATCAAAGACAAGGACACCATCCTCACGTACGGACATCATTTCCTTGTGGAGCGCACACTGTGGCTAGCAAAGGAGTCTGGCAAGGACGTCAATGTCATTGTCATTGACGACCCTTTTAACCCTGTAGGCTCGGAGTTCGCCAAGCGACTTCGCGCCTATGGTTTCGGCAAGATCAAGTACTCTCCGAACCTAGGTCTTCTGCCTGACTACCTTAAACTCGCCGATCTTGTCCTTGCGGGCGCGGAGGCTACTTTTAGCAACGGCGCCATGTATGCGCGTGCAGGGACAGCCGATGTGGCCATGTACGCCAAGAACATGAATGTCAAGTTTGTCTCGCTGTGCGAGACCATTAATTACACAGAGCGCGTCTCGGTCGACTCGCTGACCTACAACGAGATCGACCCGGAGATGTGCACCGAGGACGGCGTGCGTCTGCTCTTCGACACCGTCCTCCCGGAGCATATTCACAGGACGATCAACGAGATGGGATTGTCAGAGCCGTCGAGCATATCTGGGATGCTGCGCAAACAGGAGGAGCAGGAATGAGGAACATTCAGCGCAGATCAGACACCAGCGAAAGACTAGTTGAGGAGTCACCTCCAGACCAGCGTAGGAATTTGGATTGTATTCCACACAAAGAAAAAAAAAGTCTGAACTTATGCCGTCTTCATCTTCCCTTTGTTGGTGATATGTACAGAGCCCTCTTCATCCATCCGTTCGCTTGTGCAGGCAACCACACATCGTTCATGCCTCAGCATCAGCAGGCTGTGCTTCTTGCGCCCGTTTCGCCCTCTTCTCCAAAAGTCTGTTCTTCCTCTCCGTCAGCAGAGCAGTCTGCTTGTCGTCGACACCCTGCAGCCAGTATCCGAAGCTCGCGCCGCCGGCCGCGTAGATGGGGTACACCCAGAGGTTAGAGCGCTGGAAGAAGGGGCGCATCTCGATACCCATCTGCCAGAAGCGCACGCCGACACCTGTCCGATTGTCAGTCTCTCCGAATCATCCTGCTCACTGCGCTCGTGGGCCGGGCAGAAGAAAGCTTGTCGTTGTCCGGGGGTCACCTACCGAACAGGCTCCAGAAGGCGATGCGGGACACCATGGTGGTCAATTGGCGGTATAGAAACTCGGAGACGTCGGGTCCTGTAGGCTGCTCGCGCAGAGATCGTGCGTGTCGACGTCGGGGAGAGAGTGTGGGGTTTGATTGGAATTCGTGGTGTTGTGAGGTTCGTTGCGGTCGTGGTCATCAGGTTCAACGGCGAGCGGATTGAAAGGACCCACATGTCACGTGCGCTGATTTCGAGCTCCTGAGCTGCGGGCAACGTGAGGTACAAGGAAATTCTGGGACATAACATTATTTGTCTAATGCTGATTTTGATCCTGATCTCACCAAATGCAGGCCTTGGGGAATAGTGAGTCTTTTGACTGCAGCGAGCCCAGTTCACGCGGTTCGGGGCATCAATGCTCACGAGCCTACAAAGAGTCTTCAACTCATAGCCACACAGCTCATGAGTCAGTTTGAGAGGTGATTCTATTGTACCAATGCATGAGCAACGCTATTTAAGTCCGTGTATCCGTGCACACGAGGCTATTCAGATCCAACGCCAGTGATGTGTCTAGGGTAATAATGTAGTATCTCGCTTGCCCTCAATTGAAGGGCCCATCTGTATAGGGTGGTGGTGGCTGCTCACGACCTTCGGCGGCGGGTGCCTGTTCTGGGGGCGCCTCTTCCTGGGGTGCCTGTTCTAGGGGTGGTCGCGCAGCAGCAGGTTGCTCCTGTAACCAACTCGCAACCTTGATCATCATCTTTCCAAAATACTGCTGTACAAACGACTCACTAGCACCCGTTAGCATGCGCGCGCAGACCACCGCGTCAGTATAAACTTACGTGTAGTAACTGTGGTCAGCGTTGTGAGTCTTGACCAAGTTGTGGGCCAGCTCATGAGCCAGGACAACCCACCACCATGTTGCGGCTTCAGCCTGGGCTTGGCGAGACCGATCTGACTCGATCGAGGCCGCGTGGAGTTGCAGAAAGTAACGAAAGTTGCAAAACAGGCTGCCGTTGGTGTTGAACGCAATAGTCCGACCCGACTCGTCGTAGTAGATGTGCAGCACGCCACGGGCCAAGGAGTAGACCTCGCCGACATCGCGGAGGATCGACGCGAATGTGTTGATGGCGCCAATGTTGACTCGCAGAAACTGGCTATGCGGCGTGGACATGTTCTGATCCAAGAAGATCCTGATGCCGTTTGAGGCTTCCGCCACAAAGGTGATGTTGGCAGCTGCAGTCGAGTCACAGTACGTCGCCTGCTCCTTGACCTCATTGACAGTCGGCTGAGTGAAAACACTGGACGAACCGTGAGCACGCGAGGCATTGACGGCGTTGATGAGGTTCCGCTGGATCATTGCGGGATTCGTTACACGGCCATCATCATTGCGCCCACGTTCGCCGTCCTTGACCATGCTTGTGCCGGCTTTCGTGCCACTTGACTGACCGCTGCCTTCGCCAGGATTCTCGGGGTTGACAAACGGATCAAGCCCTTTCTGGGTCTCAGGGCTGTTCTGGCTTTCGAAACCCAATTTGCGTGTGAGGTTGCTGAAAAAGCTCTTGCCACGCTTGGCGTACTCCGCCAGCTCGTGCTTCGAGTCGTCATTCGAGTCCCAAGCTCCTGGCATCTTGTTTCGAGGACTGCTGGGAGAAGACGGGGGTCTATCACGCCCAGCAGCCGCTGCTGTAGCAGACGAGCCGGCCTGCGCAGCCCAATTCTTCTCCCGCTCCTTGATCATCTTCTGCTCGCTTTCAAGTGCCTTCCGCCTCTCTTCTTCGGCGACGCGCGCTTCAGCAGCCTTGGCACGCAAGATGCGATCGACATTGTAGCCGCGCGCCCGCAGACCATAGAGGTCCAGCGTCAAGAAGGGCTCGAAGAAGAGGTAAGCCTGCTGGTTCGGTCTGTCGAGTAGCATCTGGCAGAGAGCCTGCCCAATCTGGTACATATCAGGCTTGCTCTCACCTGCAACATACAGCACCCAGCCGCGTTCATCACGAGCGCTTGCAGCGGATCGTTTCTCGACATGTGTCTGCCGCTGACCCTTGAGAGTACGACGTAGAGCAACCGAGCTGACAATGTCGACGCGCAGATTCTTCTCAAGCCATTTGGTATCGTGCTTTATGGCGTCGCGGCGATAGTTGGCGTACTCGTAAAGGAAAATCTTCGACCTTTCCAGCACGTGCTTCTTCAAGGCGTCTCCCATGGTCTTCTTGCTTGACAATGATCCAATGCGGACTTCCTCTTGGACAAGGCTGCTGAGCTGCTGCGCTCCAAGCGAGAGGTAGAATTTCTCCAGAGCATCTTCTTCGGGAGCACACACCAGATTCTCCTTGAACAGGCGGTAGCTGATGATGTCGTCAACAACAACAATCTCCGTTGCACAAGCCAGCTGATACTGCCTGACCGGCGCCTCTTCTTCGTCGAGATCTATGAGGTTGTCTTTGTTGGGTGATGCAAGCTCCTTGTATGCTAGCAGGAAGGGCGCGAATTTCATCTTGCGCCAAAGGAACGTGTCGCGGCGCAGCGTCGCATCTGCCTCGGCGAGGGACTTGAGCAACTCGAGGTATTTCTCCGGGCTCTGGAGTACACCCAGCAACCTTGCAGGCTCACTGCATGCCATATGTGCAACCTCTACCTTGGTGGGTTCTGTCTTGGCGCCACACGTGTACAAGAACGCATTGACATCTTTCCCAAAGTCGACAAAGTCGAAGATATCTCCATATGTGGATGAGGTACCCAGGTACGCTCGCGACGGTGTGATGAGCGTGGTAGCCAGGCGAGAATTTCCACTGCCCTTGGCATTGTCCACTCGCTGGACTGGCACAATAGGGGCATCCCGCAACCGCTGCAGCTCCTTGGGGCCGAGCTCACGAATGCGACTCGCAAAGTACCCGAACAAGGACATTGCAGACGCCGTTGTCTTCGGCGGGTCAGCTAGCAAACGGGTGACACAATCGGCGATAGGTGGATCTCGAGCCACTCCGAACTTGGGACCATGTTCGTGGAGGTCCTTGCGCAGGATGCGGAAGCCAAGCACTGACGCACGCTCGTTGATAAAACACGCGGAAGGCATGACGAGTTCCGTGCTCCCTTGCAAGGGGAGGATAGCCTTGCGCGTTGCCGATATGAGCGTCAAGCTCGACGCGTACCGGTTACTGCTGTAATTGTCGATGAAATAGGCCATTGCCCGTGACCGCCGTCTCTCGTCCTTTTCTATCATCATATCCAGTAGCTCCAAAGCAGAAGGCTGTGACCGCAGCTCGAGAGCCGATAAGAACTGGCCCTCGGCGCTCTTGGGCTGGAAACTACCTGGGGCCCCGGGCCATTGCAGAATAGGTAGGCCAAGACCTCGTAAAGAGTCGTTTGGCTCGAATAGCTTGGGGATTGCGTAGAGGGCTTCCGTTGCCTTGGCTTGCTCCATGCCGGGGGGGCCAGCCTCAGCTGGGCAGAAGCGCGTTGACTTGAGCTTCTCGAGATCAGCTCTCGGGATGTCATCCTGTACCGATGCGAGATACTTGATGAGCTCCATATGACTCCACCTCTGCTGCTTTTCACCGTCCGAAGGATTCAACAGGCGTGTGAAGATGGTGTCAAGGTCAACGGTCTTGCGGACGCCTATGCTAACGAGCAGCTTCTCCTTGATCTTGTCGCAGCCCTCGATGAGGGGCAGATCGTCGAACAGCTTCACAGTGGGAAAGAACGATTCCCCGGGTTTCTTCATGCCAAGCTTCGTGGGCATGACGGTTTGCGCCTGCAAAAGGGGTGCAATAGCCTGGCGATGACTGGCGTTGACATGATCCCAGTTCTTGGATACAACGGTGAGGACCGCGACGGCAAAGGTCGGTGACTTTTCCAGGTTCTGTGCTTCAGGTTTGGAGGATTTGGTTTCGCTCAAGTAGCGAAGCCACGGTAGAACCTCCAGAGCTTCCCACCCCAGAGCCTGTAGCTCAGCCTGTGTCGAGCTGACAGTGTAGGCGTGCGGGATAGTTGAGGGAGGCATCGGCATGGTGACTGGGATTTTGTTGGGTATCACAAAATTCTTGATGGCGCCCAGCGCGATGATCTCCCCACCGCCCTCCTCATCACCCACAGAACCAACAGCAACGTCCATAAGCGACGACCTGCTGCCGGGGTCGAGCTCTCCGGACAAGCTCTTCTTGCCCGCCCAGCTGATGAAGGCTAACAGCTGGCTCTTGTCCAATGACTTGGCCTCAAGTTCCCTTTGTACGTCCTTCACCGTGATGTGCGAGATGAGCCCGAAGTCAATGAGCTTCTTGACAAATAAATCGTCCGCGAGCTCCTTGGGCAAGACGGGGATACTGTCGACGAATTTAGTCAGCTCGGCTGACTCCAAGCGCACCTTGTCTGTTTGTAGAACACCCTGAGTGGAGTATACTTCGATGGATGCTTTTCTGAAGCAAGTCCAGAATGCCTCCTCAATGAGTTGCCCAACCTGCCCGCTTGGAGTAGAGTCGCCGAAAAAGAACGTCTTGAAGATATGGGCAGCTTCGGGCATGAAGCGGTGCACGCTCTCGCTGGTGATCTTGCCATGCTTGTCGACAGCCCTACGGATCTTCTGGTTCAGCTCGTCCATCTCATTGGCAAAGGCTAGCCGAGTCACGATGCCCGCAGCACGCAGGAGCTCTATGTTCCACGTGCGCACCCATCGCGCGTTGAGGTCGATCGCTTCACGCTCCACGGTTGGGATCGTCGAAGGAGCCGAAATATGCAGGCCAGCGCCGGTCGTCTGCATGGTGGGAAATCCGATGAAGACGCGACCTCCGGGTTTCTTGTTAGGTAGCACAGATGCGAAGACATCGGTGGCCTTGGAAACCGCCCCATCCCCTACTGAGGCTTGAGAAGCTTGCGCTTCATCATAGGACGCCGTGAGAATGGAGATTCTCGTCGTTTTGGGAGGCGGTTTCTTGGTAGCTCGTTCCAGTTCAGCCGAGAAAGACGCTGACACCTTTGTCTGAATACTGGCCGTCGTTGACCTGAGGAAGATGGTTGATGAACTTTGCTTCGTGACGTCCTCTGCAACGGCAGTCTGGGCTTGCTTCTCGTCGTTTTGTGTCTTTGCCTTTAACGATGATTGCGATGAGTTTGATGTCAGCCTGGCGAAGAATGAACGCAGTGACGGCGCTTCGGTAGCAGCAGTCGTTCCCTCTGCTTTGGTGGCTGTAACAGCCTTGGGCTTCCACCCGACTGCAGTCATGTATATTGCGTCAATCTGAGTGCTGGTCCTTCCCACATCTTGAACTCGCATAATGCCATCCTTTGTTCGGGCATCTAGGTCTGCAGGTAAAGGCAACTCGGCACTTGGCGATGTTTTCTTCTTGAGGCCGAGGATCTGGTAGTCGTCTATCCAAAACTCTACGTTCTGCAAAGCAACAAATGTTAAGCTAGTGGCCAGGAACTGGCTGACAGAGAGGAGGTTCGGGAGTGGCGTCGTCGTGTTACGGTTGTCCAAGACAAACGTCGTGTGATGGGTCGCTTGATCCTCTGGAATCTGGGATTTCCTTGTGAAGAGCGCATTGCCTTTCCAATAAAACGCCATCGCCTCCTTGCCAGAGCTGACGAACGGTTCCTCGCAATCCGCGAAGACACTGTAGAAGCCTACACCAAACGCACCAATCTTGGTCTCGTCAGGGTTGCCTTCGGCAATCCTCTTCAGCCGGCCCCAGTCAGTCTTTGTAAAAGGCTGGCCATCGTTCTGCACAACGAGTCGGCGGACCGTGTGGTTTGATATTGTATGCTTTAGGAGCTCTGAACGGTCGGTGGTGTTGGGCATGGGAACCAGCGTCGACGGCAGGGTCTCCCATTTCACAGAAACGGTAGTGGCTTGGGCATCGGCTGCGTTCTGTATGAGTTCTCTCAAAGTTGTCCATTCGCCCGAGTATCGTGCGAGGACCTTGTCGATCAAGGCGCGGGTGTCTACAGTCACGGCTTCCTCGTCCTCGCCATGCTGCATCGCCGCAGCCCGCAGTCGTGAGTAATCCATTGCGGCTGTTTCGTTCGTTGTCCGTCTGCCACGACAATCGATGGGTCAGCGGTTCATTTTAAAGGCGGCGTCTTCGGGAGCTGTGGCCGCCACGGGGCAGATCTCGGGCGCAAGCTGAAAGTGGCAGTGTTTGTCAAACCACCGGCAAGGGGAGGTCAGTCTAGTCGCGACGCTTGTGGTCAGGCTCGCCAGCAAGCCTCAAGTCCAGTCTGCCTCGAGGTGATTTAGGCAGAATTAATGATTTCTAGGAGCGGAAGGTTTGCGCAGGTCGACAGACTTCAGTCATGTGGCGACGCTGTTCTATGTGCGGCGCGTCATGTGGTGTGCCTGGCCAACGTTGGACCGGAGTTCGGAAAGTGTAAGCAATACATTTCGACGCGAAACGTCATGCGCGCCTGTTCAGAAGTTCAGATTACAACCAACTACGTAGTATAACACCCTGAACGGTGGAAATAGTGCCATTTGCCTTTCCAACTCTGGATAAAACCATATTTCAGGCGTCCCAGGCACCTGATGCGATTGTTCTGAACGAAGAGTGGCAGCTCAGATCGCTAAACACATGGCGTTTCTGCCTCTCTCTTGAGCCGTGTTGGACAAGCACCGCTGTCATAGCACCACCAACACTCGTAGGCCATAAGAATACGTCCAAGTCACAGCCCTCAGCTTGGTGTGCATAACAAGGATCCTGCTAGGGGCATCGGTTTGCCGTGGCTACGTTGTTCTGGGTTATCTGCTTGGTTGGCGACTTTTAGCAGTGCCCCTCGCAGCCATTGATCAAACAAGTACAACTGCCATGGCAGGATGAGGCATGCCGTTGCATTTGAATTTGTCGCCGGATTCTTGACTCTTCGTTTTATCCCACCGCCTCCGGAGCAGTCTCATTTGGGTGCGTTGAATGGTTCATCTCGTAGATGATGCTGTAGATTTCTCCCTTCACTGCCTTGGTCGAGGGCTGCCGCTGCGTCGACGCTCGCCCCGAGACGTGGACCTGCGTCGCTCCTTGGTTCTGTCCTCGCGCTGCCGATCTCTCCTCCCATGGTCTTCATCATCTCGGCTGCGACTTCTATGTCGCCTGTGGCGTCTCTCGTCTCTGCTGACCCTGTCGCGGCTTCGATCCCGGCCTTGGTGCTCATGGCGGTCCCTTCGCCTTCGGTCATCTCGGTCCCGGCTTCTGCTCCTATGACGTCTGTGTTCGCCATCACGACTTCTGTGCCGTCGGCGCTCTCGGCGATGCGCGTCGCCATGTCGCCTAGAGCGTTCTCTCACAGGGGCATCCTGCTCTGCTTTTTCAGGATGCTCAGGGCCCATCTTATTCCCTTTAACTTCGACGGCGTTGGCGCCTGAAGCATCCCTCACTGGTGGCGGTAGTCCCATGGCCTTAGCCATGGCGTCCTCTTCTGCCTCTTTCACACGCCTCAATTCTTCCTTCCTCTCCCTGGCTTCTCGCTCGGCTTCTGTCTCGTCGGGGTTCTGTGCTGATCCGTCGCCGGATTTGGCGTACCATGTGAGATCGCGGCCTTTTTGCCATCGTCCTACAGGCGCTTTGAGGGAGTGGCCCAGGTAGTTTTCGCGGTGGTTCGAGTTGGCCACTTCATCCCAGGAAAAGTTGACGCCGCCGCGAGAGCCGCTCTTGCGAACCGTGTTAAGAAGATCCATAGTCCCGTGCGAAGAAAAAGGCGAGGTTGCGGAAATGTACTTGTAGGTTCGTGTCCTCGTCAAGTGATCGCATGTGGAAGATAAAGTTGAGGCTGGCGCGCGGCGTGATTCCGCTGCCACACAGCCTGAGGTACGTACCTTGCAGGTACCTTGGCCTCCAAGTTCCAACTGCCGTCATTGTCCTCAACTTTTCCTCTACAACCTCGACATTCAGGACAGCGCACTGCGCCAACCACAATCACCATGCCTGAACCCGCTCTCGACGAGATACAATGGTACTCTCCGCAGCACCTGGCCAACATGGGCCAGCTGCACTCCAACAACATCCTCTTCTACTTTGCCGAATCGCCCTTCTTCGAGCGAACCTCCAATAACCAGGTCATCTTCTCTCAAGCCATGACGAATCCCCACGAGTTTTGGCGCATCCAAACACGCGAAGCCTTCGAGTCGTCTCTACGGGAAATGTCTGGGTTGGAATTCATCGTCGGCGAAGAGCCCGCCGAATCAGGTCCAGGAATGGGCACCGGTGTCTGGGTGATCCGAAAACAGGTTCGGCGGAAGATTGCGGGCGAGGAGGATCAGACCACGATCCTGTCGAGCTACTTTATTGTCGGCGAGCACATCTACCAAGCACCCAAGCTGGGCGACATCCTGAGCTCGCGGCTGTTGATTCTCACCAATGCGATCTCGAGCGCGCTGCCCAAGGCGCAGGGTGTCAGGAAATGGAGACCCTCTGTGGGACACACGTATCCGCCTCCCAAGCAGATTGCGCAACCAAGGACGAACGCTGGGACACACGGACCGTCAAAGGAGGGGACACCGATGCCTGACGCTGCGCAAGGCAAAGCCGGCGAACAACCTGCCAAGGACGATCCGTCACTCGATAGAAGTGTAGAGGAAGCTTTTGCCATACACATGCGCTACGGAGGAGAATACGTCGACGAGAACCCCATCACAGGTCGCCCGGGCGAATTCCACCTTTCGTCTACGGGGAGGAAGCCAGTGCCGCCACCACAGACGCAGCAGACCATGGGCATGAGCGGACCGACGACCCTGGAGAGCAAGGTCGGCGGCGCGGACAAGAAGGATGGCAAAGAACAGTCTGGAAAATCAGCAACAGGGACCAAGCCCAGGAAGAGGAAGAGGAACAAGGGCTCAGCAGCCACGACGCCGGCCGCGACAACACCGGCTGCGTAGGAGTGTCCAATGCTGGCCTTCAAGGGGAAAAAAATAGAGAACAGGATCTGGATACTTAGATACCCACATGCACAAGCGAGGCGTTTATTGGAGGTCATCATTTATTCGTTATACACTTTATATCACAGTCCATCCTTTTCCGGGTATCTTCTTCTGCTTCACCTTCTTCATCGGCAGTGCCCATCCTTGACCACCCGTGCCTTCGGCTCTGAGATACGGGATGACTGCGCATTCCCTGACCATCAGTCCGTCCGTCTTGTCAAACTCGGCCTTGAACTCCTTGACCGGTTTGCCATACGTCAGCAGAGGCGTACCCTTGGCCAGCACCGAGAGTTGGCCGCCAGTGATATCCGTGAGGGCGTGCATCCTCGTCTTGGGCTTCTTGTCTACATTGGCAGACTGAGTCGCCTTCTGCAGATGCGAGTAGACGATGAACTGGGGACACTCCTGCACGCTGAGATGCGACATGGGCGAGGAGGGGTGGATATATACGCATCGATCCGCCTCGTCAGCTTCCGCCAGCGGCGTCAAGGGCAGGTAAGGCACGTCTATCGGCCTGCGAGGCGGCCTGTGCGTTTCGGGCGGTGTGGGCGCCAGGTCGCCGCGTATCGCGACTTGATCAATGAAGCCCGCTGCCGCCATTTGCTTCAACGCAGCGACCTGCTTTGGCGTGGGGGGATCCAGCTTGTCCTCGAAGCGAAGGTTGCCGAACCCGTTAATGTTGTTCCGGAGGAGATCGGTGATTTGGCGTCGAAGCTGCTGGATTTCCTTGAGGACCTTGAACCGCACAAAGTGATTGTCGCACCACGCCTCGAATGGCTCGTGTGCAAACTCGCCCACGACCTGCAGTAGCTTGATGGCATCCGCCCGGTCGTCTAGGTAGCAGAAGTTCTTGTGCACCTCGTTGAAGCGCTTCCTCATCTCAGCCTGCTTCGTCTCGGCGATGATGTCGGAGTTCGACCTGAACTCCGTCGTCGACTCGGCGAGTGCAGGGACAGCCTGGTTGTCCGGCAAGAACAGTTCCTGCGCGGAGAGCGCAGCGACCATGGCAATGGTGTAGTGAATGCAGCCGTGCATGTGACCGACGAGGAGTATCCTCGCGAAGCGTGGCGCGAGAGGAAACACAGACATGGCTGTGCCAACTTCTGTAACTCTGCCGGTTGTCGAGATGGCAGATAGGTAGTGCAAAACCTTTTCTGACCTGGCAAGAATTCGTCGATCTGGAGGCGTGGGGAAGGGGAAGTTGACCACGTGGGTGAGGTTCATGGCCTTGAGTTGTAGAGCAACACCCTCCAGGGGCATGCGCAGCAGCTCAGGGTCAGCATACTGCTGGAAATCTCGCTCGTATACAGCCGACGAGTAGAGCCGGTAGCAATGGCCGGGCCCTGTTCGACCAGCTCGACCTGACCGCTGGCTCGCGCTGGCTTTGCTGATCCAGCCAACCTCGAAGCTTTGCACGCCTGTCACAGGGTCATACTGGCGCTCCTTGGCTCTACCGCAATCAAAGACGTATCTGGTGCCCGGAATGGTCAACGATGTCTCTGCAACATTGGTTGCCAGAATGATTTGGCGGGTGCCCTCGGGGGGTGGTTCGAAGACGCGGAGCTGGTCTTTTGTCGGAAGTAATGAATACAGCGGGAGAACCTGCATCTTCATCGGTGCGGCTTCCTGGTCGTCTTCAATCTTGAACTCATCCTCATCGGCCTCCTCGTCCTCGTCTTCCGATGGCAAGCTGTCCATGTCATCAGCGTCTCCATCGTCGACATCGCCAAACTCAATGTCCTCCACTTCAGTGGGCGCCTCGCTGGCGGTGAGTCGTACTCTGGGCGCTTCTGCCGTTTTTAGCCCGCCGAATGCAGCCTTGAGCTGTTTGCTAAGCTGGGTGATCTCATTGCGCCCGGTCAAAAAGACCAAGAATCCACCGGGTGGCAGCTTCTTGTGACCGCGGCTGATTTTGCGAAACGCTTCCTCCACATAATCCGATGTGGTTCGCCGGGCAAAGTGAACCGTGACGGGATGCTGTCGTCCTTCCACCTCAATGACAGGCGGGGGGTTCTCGAACAGCCTCGAATTCATCGTCAAATCCTCAATACGTAGAGTAGCAGACATGATGATCAGCTTGAGGGGCTTCAGCTTGGGATCCTCCTGCGCGAGTTCGGTCCGCAACTTGATGACGCGACTGAGCATACCGATCAGGATATCTGTGTTTACACTGCGTTCGTGCGCTTCGTCAATGATGATGGCCGAGTACTTGCGCAGCGCAAGGTCTTCCGCCACTTCACGGAGTAGTACACCGTCCGTCATAAACTTGACGGCCGTGTCTGGGTTTGTCGTGCCCTCGAATCGGATCTGATACGCCACTTTGTGGCCATGATCGCCCAGCTCGTCGCCGACACGCTTCGACATGCTCACTGCCGCCACACGGCGAGGCTGCGTGACGCCAATCATGCCTGGGGTGTCCGAGCCCGCCGATCCATAGCCCGCCTCGAACAGAAATTGCGGAACCTGCGTCGTCTTTCCTGAACCAGTGGCACCGCATATCACCACAATATGGTTGTTGTAGATCGCCTCCATGAGACGCTGCTCCTCCGCCACCACCGGTAACTTGAGTCGCGCTTCTTGAATATCGGGCGTCCTCGTGACGGGCACTGCATATGTCTTGCGGTCAACGACCTTGGTGGGCTGCAATTCCTGCGGCAAGGGGTCCTGTTCGGGAGCCCTAGGCGTGAAATTATCGGGCTTCGGTATGACCATGTTCGTCGTGCTCTCTTCGGTGCCTTTAAAGCCCTGTGCCTCATTTCGCTGGGCTGTCGCCCACGCTTTGAATGCAGAGGACCTCGACTCCTTTGGCTCGTCCTCATCGTCGTCATCATCTTCAGAAGATTCCCCGCTACTATCTGAACCACTTTCCGCATCGTTTTCGGATCCATTTTCCTCGTCTTCGGAAACTTGTTCGCTGTCGTCGCTGTCCTTGTCCTTCGTGGTCGCCTCATCGCCTGAGAAGCCAGTCCATTCGTCGTCATTGTCTGATTCGTCGGACTCGGGTTCGGGCGCGGACACTGGGATCGAGGGCGCAGAGACCTTGGACTTGACACCTCCTCTTTTCTGCCTCTTGGGTATCACAGGGCGGCCCTCGTCGTCCACATCCAGCGGCCGTTTGAGTCCAGTCCCAAGGTTTTGTGTCTGGGTTTCGGAGGTTGATGTCGGCTCTGCTGACGGTGCAGCTTTCGTCGCGACTGGCGCAACAGCTGCAGCTGCCTCGTTGTCTCCAGTGCTTCCAGCATTGTCCTCCTCGATTTCCTTTCTCTCCTCAAATAGCACATCTTCGCCATCGCCCGCCAAGCCGGCTTCCCGTTCCCTCAAGGCTCTTGCAAAGCTCTGGCGTTTGGTTTCCTTTCCTAGTCCGAGCGCTCGACTGCTGCTGAGCAAGCTTGTGTCGACAGTCTCCTGCTTTGCCAGCTTTGCCAGCAGTTCCCTTGTCTCGTCTTTGCGGAGCTTGTTATCAATGTATTTCTCGAAGCGCTTCGCCTTCTTGCCCGACATTTTCTCTCCCTCGTGGCGCAATTCGTCCTTCAACGCCTGCTTGCGCGCCTGCCGGTCATCTTGCGACGGCAGGATTGCCTTGTTGGTATCCTCGGGAACCTCATGGCGCGCATTCTCAGCAGCCTTTTGCCGTGCTAGAACTTTGTGTTTCCGCTGGCGGGGCACGAATTTGGGCGCCATCTTTGCGTGTAGGGTGGATTAACGATGAGAATGAAGGCCCAGGAAATTTTGAGGTGAGGACGATACTGCCACTGCTCACCACCAAAGTCTGCATCTATTCTAGGACTAGCGCGGGGATAGTCCCATGTCACCCCACTTGGCGCACAGCCTGAGCGCCAAGTCCAACCACAAAATCAGTTGTCCATTGTCACTTCGAACTTCGCTAGCAATTCATTGTAAGCGAATATTTGGCTGAGCAGCTGGCATCATCACTACATCTGGATTTTCGTCTGTACCGCGAGTTTCGGTTAGGTTTTCAGAGATTCCAGCACCCTAGTCTCATCGTTGATACGGACATTGAAGGGACTGGAGACACAGAAAGGACCCGTTCTTCCTGTTTGTCCACCAACAGTTTCACCATTCCCATCAGATATAGGATGCTTACCAGCAACGCCAAAAAGCAATGAATGGATGGCCTAGAGTCTTAAGGCATCAGAGCCGCCAAGACTTAGATGTAGTTGACAAGCGTCTCTCAGATCCGTTCTCGACCATGGCCTTCAGCCGTAAGGCGAGTTCCAGGTGCTGTCGACCCAGGAGGGGCTCGATAAGGAACCAAACTTGCGCCTGAGTTCTTGGAGTACAGCCCAGCGCCCTCAGGTATAGAAGAGGCAGAGGCCATTCCAAGAACACGGCAGCAATGAGTACCAACTCTCAAGCTAGGGTGCGTGAACGGCAATGCCATGGCAGCCAGTCCTTCTCTCTGCGAAAGGGGTGTCCTCTTTCAACCGTTCTTGATGATGCCCAATCGCATATCGCGAAAGCGCAGAGTTGCGCGGTAGTTGTCAAGAAAAAAGTACAGAAACACCAGAAACAACCCAAAAGCGACGCCAAACGGTCCAACGATGGAGAAGACGGCGAAGCCCGCAGACACCCTGTCAAACGACGTGCTGTTCTCCAGCAGCTTGGTCGAGATTCCAAGCTGCAGGGCAGTCAGGGCCACCACAATGTACACCGTCATGGCCGCCAGGTACGCAAATGTCTCGCCAAAGAATGTACTGTACTGCTGCCAGCGCGTCGAATAGTATCTCCCCGGCGTCTGCCATAGGTAGAATAGCTTGTTGAGCCTGCTCAGACGCATCTCGCCGTACCAGAAGCGATAGTCCATGTGCTTGTAGATGTCTGGATATTCCAGCATCTCGTGCACAAGCTGCCTCCAGGATGGCCAGGTTATGTCGGCAGGAAGGAGCCGTTTGTCTTGGGCAATGTGGAAGTCTGATTCATGTTGAATGAGCGCGACGTAAGAGTACAGAAACCCCATGGCCACCTTGCGCTGTCTGCATGGTTTATTCCGCAGTGGGTGCCCATCCTGCGTTGTGCGCTGGTGCACGATGCGTTCGGGATCGTCGCTGTAACAGGCGCAATAGGATGCGGAACAGAAATACTTCTCCCAGAAAGCAGGGTAAAGCAGGTATCGGGGCAAAGGCTTCAGATATATCCTCCCTGCTTCCCAGACAAGATGCATGTCAGTCTGTTCCATGAGCACAACCTCGCGTCCCATGCATAGCTGCTGATGCAATGGTCGCGGTGGCATCAACCTTCCGGTAATCCATAGCAATCGCGCGACACTATCCAACCGCGACAGATCAAGCTCCTTGTCAACGATTCCTTCATCCAAGGAAGAAAGAGCATGACCCCGGTCGCGATATGACGCCGGCAAGGCATCCGCGGGCGCATGACCGCCTGGACCTGTGTCATCATTCGACAAGAGGCCAGCTGTGTATGGAGTCAATGGACACGATTGCTTCGACCCGAGTCAGCTCGCCCTGGATGTAAGCTATAGCCAACGGACTCACCTGGAGAACATGCCGACTATGGGGGTCGTCGTTACGTGTATACACCATGGTGATACTATTTGTTTCCAGAGCGATAAAGAAGATCTGGGATCGCGTCGATCCCATTTTCGACCAGGGTCATCGCCGCGACATGCAGGTAAGCGGACGGGTTGGGCCTGGGGCATCAATTGGCCAGCATTTGACCCTTTGAGCGCCCGAGGCACCTTGCAAGGCATAAAGTGACAAGGCGTCGACAACAACGCAACATGGCTCTGGTTCTTCTCTCGTACAGTGGAACAACGACCGGAAACTAAGTAGTTGATGCGGGAGAGAAGAAGGTCTACGGTGAACGTTCAGCGTCATGAATCATTATGTCTACCCTACAGCAGAGTTGAACGCCCACCTGCACTTCGACGGATCGGTGGACGGAATGGTGGCAGTGGGGCACAGTTCACTCACATCAGTGTCTTCATTCATCGCAGTTAATTATAACCTCTGACTCGCCGCCTTGTCAAGCACAAAATGGATCTCTCAGTGAAACCTGATGAGTTCCCTGCGCCAAGTCGACAGTCATCGGGTCACGTATCATCCGTGCCAACACACATATCACGCCTGGACTTCTCAGACAAGATCCTCTTCACAGTCTCGCAAGGAGGACGCCTGTCACAATGGGTACGCCCAACCCCCAAGTAAAGTATCTGACGCCAGCTGATGAATGACTTGCAGATACAGGTGCCCCTCACGGGCTCGTCATCCAGTATCGTTGACATGACACTGCCAAGCTCCTCTCGCGGACTACTCCCGTCCACACATCTCACACCCGTGACGTTGCTAGGTGGCGGTGGTGAGGAGCGGGAAACTCTAGGTCAACTGTATGCTGCCCAGATCGCGAGCCAGATGGCTTTGCGTGCGCCTGACGACCGGCGGACGTTGGTTCTAGGACTTGGACTTGAAAAGACCGATACTGGGAGAGAAGGCTTCTTCGATCTTTTGGAGCTAGCACAACAGGTGATGTGATAACCTCACAATAGCAAAAGAAGAGCATATTTTCATCATTCTTTTTTTTTTCATTCGCTTATTATATGCAGAAGCTGCATACGCTTCAGAGCTTTGGTCATCTATGTTGAAGCTGTTCATTCCATCCATCCAATGCCGCCTCGCCGACCACATGGACAGTTATGTAGATAGCCAACTCTCGAATTCCGGGAGGATAACAGTAGTGAATGGGCTGGTTGGGCATGAGTCATAACACATTTCCGGAAGCCAAAAACGCGTGCCACCCCTGCTTGTGCTCGGTGGCACTACTATACATTCTGCCGTTTATTTGGGCGCGTTGCGGTTTTTGCGGTCACTGGAAATGCATTAGTCAAAATCGCCCAGGAAAGCATATACCGTGGGTGAACTCACGTGCTCAGTCGCCGCGACAATTGCTGCAACTTTGTATCGTTCTCCGCATCCTCCGACGCCTTCTGCAGAGCCTGTGCGCGTTCCTCTGACTGATGCTTCGCAACCTCCTCGTGAGATGGGGGCAAGCGCTCGTTCTGCAAATCGACCTTTCTGGCATCCTCAAAAGTCCGAATGGCGTCCTTGATGCCCTCGCCACCCAGCATAAGGGTACCCGCTGGCAAGCGGCCGCCAGAGACGGTCTTGAGCTCGGTAACCTTCTCCGACTCTTCACGCAAGACTTGGAACACACGTGACATGCGACCAATGGCGAGCACCTTGTTCTTGATGGCCTTTCGCTTGAATTCGATGGAGTTGGGGTCCTCTGGGTCCTGAGAGGTTGGCGAGGTGATGGTCGCGGGCGAAGCAGCCGATGGAGTTTCGTCCTTCAGCTCCTCCTCTGAGCACGTGCTCAAAATCGCAATGAGCATGTCCGTGATCTTCTCGCCCACGAAAGGAAGTGACCAGGTGAAGACGTCCATGAAATTGGGCAGCCAGTACGGGTGGGGCGTGCAGTTGAATTGGCGGATGTTCATAACGTTGTTCTCGTATTTGAGCACAGCCGCCTTATTGTTGTAGACGTCCAGGTAGTTGGGCGCAGAGAAGATGGTCATCACGCTGGGGAACCCCGTAGTGCGAGTCTTACGGTACATGCGGTATCCAGCATCTTGGGCCTCGTGGGCACGGATCACTGATAGCAGGTTGTTCTTTTCCAGGAAAGCGCAAGCTGCTGGGTAGGAGAAGAAATACGAGCATCCTCGAACATGGTTGTGGAGGAAATACTCGCTTGACTTCTCCTGGCCAAAGTCTTCGAGAGGGTCAGCCCAAAGCATGTCGCACATTAGACCCTGGGTTGGGGGCTCGCGGAACCGATCAATCTAGGTCAAGTCAGAGGGGACGTCACGGGCAAGGAGAGAGAAATACCCACGTTGCGGATATCGTCCAGGGTGTGCAGCTCGGGGCTCAGGCCGCCGTGGATGCACAAGAACTGCTTGTTCATGACAGCAGCCAGAGGCAGACAGCAAAACGCCTCGACGCAGGCTTCGTAGATGGCCTCCGAGTACTTGTGTTTGCACTCGAGCTTGAAAGTGAAGTAGTCCGTCAAGTGGCGACACTCGTGGTTTCCTCGAAGCAGCCATAGGCTGTTGGGATAGTGGATCTTGAGTGACCAGAGGTAGAGTACGCACTCTATACTGAAGTATCCGCGGTCGACATAGTCGCCTAGGAAGAGGTATCGGGTTTCCGCAGGGTCACCGCCGACTTCAAACAGCTTCATCAAGTCGTAGTACTGGCCGTGCACATCGCCACAGACGGTTATGGGCGCATCCATTTCCAAAAGGTTGGGTTCCGCTCTGAGCACCTCGGCGCCCTTCCTGATGATCCATAGCGCCTGTTCTTCCGTCAAGCGGCCTTCGCGATAAAAGTGTTGCTTCAAAAACTTGATATTGGGCTTTGTGTGAGTTTCGTCCTCAAAGAACTGCTCGTCCGTGGGCGTCGAGGTTGCGGGCGCCTGCACATCTGTTCAAGGTCAGAACTACGGATCCCAGAGGCACGCGACCATTGCGATAGCTCGCTGCACTCGACGCCGTGCGTGAGACTATCGGGTGGCGGCATCGCGCGGTGGTGATGGTGGGGTAAGTAGATATTGAGCAGACGCACCTTTGCACACACGCTCCTGCGTGTTGATCTGCTGTCCGTCTTCGGTTGTGTGGATCGTAAAGTCGATCTCGGGCAGAGGCTTCTTGTCTTGGATCGCACGGATGGCGTTGTCGATTTGCGTCTCGCGGACTTCGCCGTCGTGTTCCATGCTGGGCTGCCTGGGTGCGGGAGGTACTGGTACGAGGCGGCAGGTTTGAGGAGATGGATGAGCGCGGGGGGGCGTAACGCAGACAAAGGGGCCAGCCCCGTTGATTGTGGTGGAAGTTTATGCCAAGGAGCGACGAGGGGTGTCGAGTCGCAAGCAATCGAGGTGTCTCTCAATAGCCACTTGAAACAATACGTAGGTAAGGGTGCAGGAGGAGAAGTCTGGTCGCTGATGCAAGTAAGAAGCTAGAAATTGATGGAGAAGCAGAAGTGGTGGAGAGCACAGCATCAGCAATTGAAGAGGGACTCGGAAAGCTCAGGCTGGAGTGCGGGCGGGTCAGCGCAAGTCCCTAACCAAGTGTGGCTGACCCGTTCTGCGGCCACTAGCAGATTTCGCTCGGGGCGAAGCAAAGATCTGTTAAGGCACCTTGGTTCAGCTAGCTGCCCCCGCCAATTGCTGGTTCCTGGTGCGTTCCGGCGGGTGGCGTCAGTGACGCTGGGCACTGGACGAAAGACATATGTCACCTCCAGGCTCCAGGCTTCAGCCGACTTCAACTTCCCCTGGATCAACCTGACATCACCGGACATGTAGCGGCATGGACCTGATTGACTGTCTTCAGCCTTTCGACTGGGCTTAATGCGGTCTCCAGTCAACCAATGCATTTGGTGATACGAAGATTCACAGTGAGCATGCTTTGAGGTGAGCACGAGGCCTCCGAACTGTTCTCTTCTGTCGATGGAGACACTAAGTACCTAGACTAGCAGCACCAAAACAAGCCTACCTCACACGTGCACATGCAGCAGACTGGACAAATGGTGCAAGACAAAATCTAATTTCAAGTCTAGCTTGGTGGTATCTACTTACGTGAAAGTCATTCTTCGTCAGCTGCTTTCGCAGCCGGTCACAGTCTCCGTTGCTGTTCTCCCTGTTGTCTGTGAGGCAAGGTATAAAAGTACCCAGCTCATGCTCGCCCCATCCACCATCGAAATTCAGACGCTTAGGGCAGACAGTAGCCGCCATCGACAATGAGGTCCAGACCAGTTGTGTAGGAGGCGGCATCCGAGGCCAAGTAGAGGAACGATCCCTTGAGCTCGCTCACGACACCCTCGCGACTGTGCATTGGTTAGCATGTTCTTCCACTGTCGTTGCGCGCTTCACTCACCCAGCCGGGGTCTTGCTCCTCCACTGCTTCTTCACCTCGGCATCCGCAAAGTGCGAGATCTCGGTCTGGATGTATCCAGGAGACACTGTGTTGACACGGGCGAAGCCAGTCCACTCAACGGCCAAGCTCTTGCAGAAGTGGATGACGGCTGCCTTGGAACCGTTATACACGGCCTGCAGTTGCGGGATGTTCACAATGCTCCCGCTCATCGAGGCCGTGGCAATGAAGCTTCCGGCGAGGAAGTTCTCCAAAGGCTTGCCATCGAGTGTGGTGCCCTCCTTCTTCTGGCGACGGAAGTGAGCGCCAGCGGTCTTTGCGCACCACATCACACCATCGACGTTGACCGCCATGACCTTCTTGGCGGTTTCGGTGCTTCCGTCAATGAAGGCGCCGTCTTCCCAGGCGATGCCGGAGTTGGCGACAAAGACGTCCAGACGACCGTTGAATTCGGCGACGATTTCATTGATAGCCTTCTCGACAGCCTCGGGAGACACAACATTCACCTGATACGCGCGGCCTACACGACGGATTAGGAAAGCAGGTCCCGATACCCAATCGCCATGTCCAACTCACACTTGACGCCGTAGGTCTTCTCAATGTTCTCGGCCTCCACGAGAGCCTGCTTGTTGCTGTTGTACCAGATGGCGACGTTGGCGCCGGCCTCGGCGAGACCCTGCGCAACACCGAGACCAATACCCGCGCCAGCGCCAGAAACAATGGCTGTACGGCCCTTCAGGGAGAACATGGGAAGAACCCTATCGCCCTTGGGGATGTCCGTGTTGTCGAGCTCGAAAGCTCCATTCTTCATGTCGACAGCCATTGTAGGATTGGTGTTGCAACGGCTCTAGGATTGGTCGTGGTGTACCGGCAGTTCAGTCTGGCCTTTGGAGACGGTGATCGTGGAGAAGCTTAGCAGAGAGATATGGGGAACGCCCTCCACATGGGGCACGCGACGACTTTATAAGAGCGCAACGAGCAGGTAGGTCCCTCGAAGTCATCCACAATCTCTCGGCGGCAGTACATGCGACATTTTCGTTGCGTGACATCCAATCCCCCTCAAACAGCTTGCGCACTTTTGAGCTTCCCGCCGTCTATCCTTCACACACACACACACACACGCACACGCCATCCCTGCTCCACGCTGATTGTGACCTGTTCGCAACTCTGTGAGTTGTTGAAGTCCAGTAAACCAGAGCGCAGCAGCCGCAGATGGGCAATCTGACTCGCATATACCCATGCCTCTCGCAGAATGTATAGACCTGGCATTTATCATCGACCAACTCGGTGCAAATAACCGGCCCAAGCGCGGCGGTTCCTTGAAGCCCCTCCCTCCATCTTGAGGCTAGGAGGTGGGATGAGGGGCCGCCCCGCCGACATCATCTTGCATTCTACCAGGAATCGTGTCACGTAACAGGCGCGCTTTAAATCGCTTCTCAATTTGCGGGAGACTAGCCTCGTTCGTTGTACGTACAAGTGTCCATGCCCTTTTCACTATGCCGTACTTGTCGCGCGCCAAGTGCGCAAAGCCCCACTGACTATAGTGACTCGCAGCCTCAAACATCTCCCCTGCGGTTGCTGTCCGCCAGAGGCACTTGTAGTCGAGCGTAGACGTTGCATCCCCCGCGCATGAACTGAAGGCATACCTCGGCTGGGTTGCATTCGCTTGTTCATGTCGGTCCGTCCGGGCCGCCCTGCGAAGTGCTCAGACGTCCTGCTCGCCGCAGAAGCAGCACGAAGCCAGCTTGATCACGTCCTGGAGATAATGCGCTTTGACGACTCCACCAGGTTGTTGCGGTCCTGGAACAGACTCCAAGACTGGACCTCATCCCGCGTCAGCTGCGAGTTGATCTTGGTCGAGAAGTAGTCGTCGCGATTTACTGTCACAGTTAGCTGACTATGGCTCGATCGGTTCCAAGGGCACACTAACTGTAGGCACCAGACATCCTCCTGATGCCCTCGAACGCTGTTCTGCCATGGAGAACGCGCCAGTTATCGAAAACTGTCCAATGTCAGTATCATCATCGCAGTATCAAAAATCGAAATACGCACTCAGGACGGTTCCGGGCTCAAGCTGAAAGTGATATTGCATCTCCTTGTCTTTCAAAATGGAGTCCCAGATGCGCGCTGCTGCATACCATTCATCAGACTCCTCTATCGGCACCACACCACGGTCGTCGTTGTTCCATCTGATCCTCAGGAGGTCATCACCATAACCGCTTTGGACGAATTCTATGACGGGCGCACGCATTGCAGGCGTGATTGTCACACCTTGGTTACCACTGGCGTGCCACGGGATAGGGACTTTGCTGAGGCAGTCGAAAGCATCACGATGCTCGTGATACAATTTCGAGGCGGCTGCGAACCCGTCAACAAGGATCGAACTCCCGCCCAGGTCACCGTCAGCGTCTCGGGGTCCTTCATGCGACAGCATGTGGAAGGACTGAAGGCCGGCCGGCTCGGTAAAGTAGGTTGTGTCTGTATGGGGTGGCAGCGCAATGTTCGTGTATGCTGTGTCGGCCTTTGCGAGATCGGGCGTGAAGTCGTAGAAGCCTCCGTAGTGAGTATTACGGATAGGTCCGAACTGCTCCAACGACGCCTCGGTGGGCTCGGGAGCCGCTGGCACGCCGGTGATGAAGCAGTACCCATATCGATTCAAGCGAGCCGTCGCCTCGCGGAGGCAATCACTGCTGGAAGAAGGGTCGTAAGGCACCTCTTGCTTCTTGCGGTAGCCTGCCGCCTGCTCATGGTTCCATAGCTCGACTGTATCCCATACTGATGGCGGAGCAGTTCGAGGAGTCAGGCTTTGCTTTGCCTTCTTAACCCACCACGCCGGATAATGAGACTTGTGTCCGTCCGACCCTTGTATCTTCGTTAAAGGTATGGTCTTGTCCGAGGTGGGGAAAACTCACAATTGACAGCAAGTGCACCGTCAGCGTACTGAGAGCTCGTGACCTCGAGGTTCTTCGCGTCTATCTGGCCGACGTATGAGAAGAATGCGTCCAAGTGAGAGAGAAGGGCATACCTTGAAAGTATCAAAGTTTCTCTGCAGCGTGTCCTGGTTCACACATTGGCTGCATTGGCAGTTGTCACTGGTTCTCGTCTTAGTCACCAGTACTATGCTCTTCGACACGCTACACATACCGAAGCCACAGAGAGGGCCTGGAACTGTCAGCTCGGCGCAGCATTCGCAAAGTGTTCTGATCTTACGACTTCAACAGATCGACCGTATCATCTGCGGTCTGGAAAGAGGCATCTCTCGATTGCGCACTCGCAACTCCTGTCGTCCTTAATTGCTGCCAGGGAGTGACACAAAAGCTTCGCCTCTGTGGGAATTTCCAAACAGGCTTAGAACAACTAAATCGGCCTCCTCCAAAAGTAGCCCTAAAAACATGAATGAATCAGCTTGACGTCGAAGCTGCAAACTTGGATAGTCGACAAGCGTACCTCAACCCCGACCTAGCACATCGCAAAGCGCTCATACTGCTGGAATTCCGGCGGGGGACTTGACGACTGAAGATCACAGTCAATATACCTGGAAGATCGCAAGACAGATTAATGTCGAAGTGCGGAGCCAGCCGGGAGCCGATGCCTTGGTATACTGTGCGGGGGCACGTGACGGCCAAGGTCGCGTATACCGAGGACGATGTACGGAGTAATTGAAGAGCCTCAGTCAGAGTTACATAAAATATGAAGATTAGTTGTTTCAGGCTCAGTTCGTTGCTTGATTCTGAGTTTCCCGCCTTACAATACTCACGTTGTATCATTGCACACAAGCACAGCTTGCAAGTCATTGAACGTTGGTGTCTTACCTCGGTTGACAGCCAAAGCCCAATTTAAGCCAATTGACACAAAAGGCACCTGCCAAGTCGAATAATTGCCATATAGCCAAGTCAAAGGCCTTATTGCGTTTGCTAGTCGCTTAAATCATGCGATAATGCCACATGGGACTTCGCCGATGCAAGGCACCTTACGTGCTTGCACACTTATGCAGTCGTCCTGCAGGGTATGACAAACCCTTACACCCAGATTCAGGATGTCTTGCCACACATAACTTGGCGACGTAAGTAGCACCTGGCAATTTTGTCCTTTAACATCACAACTTCAACCAACCCTAGGACTCGACGCGAAAGCAGCTGCGCGAGGCCCAAGGTCATGGACCTGTCCGACACCTCCTACGAAGCCGCCGGCCCCTGAACACACTCGCCGAGCACTCGCGATACAATCTCGACGACATTGCCACATCATCGCTGGCACAAAGCAGCATGTCTTCGCGCCAGCACAATTCCGAGGACTGGTATCGTCACAGCCAGAGAGGCGCTCAGCCGCCATCGCAAGCTCTTTGGGACCGCGTGAACGAGCCGTTTGTCCTACTCACCGGCATTGTGCTCTTTGTCGCGTTTGCATACAACACATACATTTCCACGCCTGCTATTCAAGAAAACCTCGTCGCAGCAGCGCACCGTTCGTGGCACGCGCTGGTCTACATCGTCCCAACGTCGATACTGTACTCGATCGACGCCTGGTTCGACCCCCTGATGAGGACGACACACGTCAACACCCATGCCTCGAAGAGCGCGGCGATGAAGCGAGTGCTGGGGCTCGAGAGCGACAGAGGCATCGTCGCGTCGGTTTTCCAAGGGAGGACCCGCGCCCTGTCTGTTACGACCAACGCTCTGGGGCTGCACCCAGATAAAGAGCGCCCGGCGGGCTTGGGGAACCGAGACAATTCATGTTTTCAAAACAGCATTCTGCAGGGCCTCGCGTCACTCGACACACTGCCCGAATACCTCGCCAACTGCCTTGGTGACGACACGGACGCGGACGAAGACGATGGGCAAAAGGTGGTGACGCAGACGCTTAAGACCCTGATCAGCGACCTCCACGACACATCGAACAATGGGCGCACGCTCTGGACGCCGAGCAAGCTGAAGTTCCTCAGCACGTGGACGCAGCAGGACGCGCAGGAATACTTCTCCAAGATACTGGACGATATCGACAAACGTGCAGCGCGCGCGCTCAAGGCGTCAGAACGACACAGTGGCTTCGAGAAGTACACAGAGAAAGACAAGATCGACACCGACGCCGGTGCTAGCGACATCAGCGACGACAGTGGTTACCAGAGTCATGGCGCTAGGTCACGAAGCCCGGAGGCTACGTCTCTACGAAACCCCTTGGAGGGCTTGCTTGCACAGCGGGTATCTTGTGTGCAGTGCGGACATTCGGATGGCCTATCCATGATCCCTTTCAACTGTTTGACCCTGAGTCTGGGGCTACAACAACAACACGACCTACACGAGAGACTGGACGCCTACAGCCATGTGGAAGCCATCGAGGGAGTCGAGTGTCCGAAATGCACCCTTCTCAAAGCGCAAAGGCTCCTGGGCAAGCTTGTAGAGCAGATGAAAGAAAAGGGCGTGCCTGAAGCGCAACTCGCGGAACCGACCAGGCGGTTGGAGGCTGTGAATCTGGCGCTGGAGGAAGATTCCTTCGACGAGAAGACATTGGCAGAGAAGTGCAAAATCACCTCCCAGAGCAAGGTGACCACTACAAAGACGAAGCAGATCGTCATCGCCAGGCCGCCTCGCAGTCTAGCGATTCACGTGAACCGCTCGGTATTCGATCCAAACACGTTTGATATGGTCAAAAATTCAGCGCCAGTGCATTTTCCAATGATGCTTGATCTGGGGCCGTGGTGTTTGGGAAGTACTGACGGTGTCAAGACGACTGGACGCTCGACGGGCGCGGCAGATGAGGAGAAATGGCTCGAGGACCCTACGGCGTCCATGGTAGCCGGCGGCGAGCAGCCTTCGAAGCTGACAGGCCCGATATACGAACTACGTGCGGTCGTGACGCACTATGGCCGCCATGAAAATGGACACTACATCTGCTACCGAAAGCACGCGCGCAATGTCAATTCTGGGAGTCGCGAGTCAACCCCGGCGTTCGAGGATGCGCGAGGGGATGTCAACGAGGATTCTGTATCCACGGCATTCGATGACGAGGACCTAGACCACAAGCACGCTGAGCATAAGATGGACTGGTGGCGGCTGAGCGATCACAATGTGTCCAAGGTCACCGAGCAAACCGTCTCCACACTGTCCCCCGGTGTGTTCATGCTGTTTTACGACTGTGTCGACCCGACCATGGAGCGGCACGAGGTTGACGAACTGTCGAGCGATACGGTAGACAAGGAGCAAGCCGGCGATGCGCCATATGAAGACCGGGCCGAGCAAGAACGCGCTGGCAAGAGCAGGTCTACACAACCAACCGTGAAAGGCAGTAACTCAACGCAAGAAACAGCTCAAAACGGCAATCTGGTGACTTCAACGGATTTGGCAGGCCGAGATTCCACTGCCACCGCCGGCAGCGCCCCTAAACAGGGTGAGGCTGTTGGCGAATCCGGTCCAGCTTGAGGCTTGAGTGGGCAAAGCGTCTGCATGTTCATCGGCGCAAACCATACAGGCCTTCTCCATCTCTCCTCGCGAGAATGGCTTACGACTCTGCATTGCAACGGGCGTTGGTGAGCTATTAAGGAGTATTTCATATTGGGAGCGTCAAGCGAATGGGGGCATACATATGGGCGCGCATAGCACAGATCACATGAAGAGCCTTGGGCCTCTTTCATTCCGAGAAACTAGTGTAACATGGATGGGACTGCGCTCGCAGTTGCCTGTCACTGCATGGCAGTGTGAAGTATTGCAATGATGATTTCCTCCATCTGTGGTCAAAATGCAATTCTTCGTACCTTGAGTCCTTGACGTCTCCATGTCGTCCTTGGCGCATGAGGCGGCATCCCCCGGGTGCCCTTCCCAGTCAGCCTCGTCTTGTCTGCAAATACCGCCCGGAGTACGGAGTATAGCAGTAGTAAATCACTCCACGGGAGCCGCGGACTGGATGTAGGTATCAGGCACGCGATGATTATTATCTAGCGCCGGCATTCTCTCGCCACCGCTTGGAATTCTCGGACAGGCTTGGTAGGGGACGTGTAGCGCAGCTTGGCGCGCCCTGCTCGTGGCCTGTCAACCAAGAGATTGACCACGTTTGACCACGGGTCAACTGCACGTACAGTACGTACCATCACTGCACCAGCCTCTTCGAGATGGGATATTATTAAGGGTCGGAATGCCATAATAAGTACCCATGGGAAAGCGATAGTTCGAGACTAGCACAAAGGTTGGTAATTAAGGCGATGGATTCATTTTGCGAGCATCTGTAATGCTTTCTGACCGTAACATTACGTTCAGCGCAGTAATAGTAAACGAATATTAGGGTCATTTGGAACTTTCCAAGTGAACGTCGTAACGACATGGATCCAGCGAAATAAGCATTTGCGCCCGGGTCTCGGCCACGGTCTTCTATTCCGGGCCTGGCATGCAGGAAAGGCGGCACGGGAAAGGGACTTGTTGGTGGGTTCATCGAAAGAAAAAGGGGGAAGAGGCCTTTCGGAGGCGCTCGACCCGGTTGGCGCGTGCCAGAAGAGCAGCCTGGCCTTGCTGTAGGTAGTGTGATCACCTTATGAAGCCCTCTCGCGACATCCTATCGACGTCTTCACGATGAGACTTGACGATCGTCATCCTTGACGCACGGCGTGACGGATGCGTGGAATCTGAGGTGGCCTCTGGGGACCTTTTTGGAGGGGGATAACCGGAAACAGGGAGAGGAGAGAGGGGCTCTCCATTTGGGTTTTATTAGCCTGGCCTCGCTCGTGTTCAGTCCAGCACTGAGAGGCAGCCAAGCGCCTGTCAAGAATGATGGCCGGCGAGTATCTCAGGTAAGGTAATATTGCCCTTGAGCCTTTGTACGAAGCTCGAGCGCGCACCTCGAACCCGCCACCTTGCATTCACGCTCGCGCGCCGTCATTTGTTGAGGACATACTTACACGGGGAGAGGTACCTGTTTAGCCCGTCGAGAGCCAGATCCTTGCTTGGACCATCCTCCTCCTCCTCCAGCCCAGTCCAGTCCTCCTCCTTGTTTTCGGATCCAGCCAGCACCCAAATCTCCAACAGTCGCTGTCCTTTTGATTTTCCCCCTTGTTCTTTCATTCTACTTGACGCAGTCGCTTCCGCGTTGCGCTAACATTCAGGAGGCCCTGCTTCGATCGCCCAGGCTTTTGATCTGCCAATTTTACTTGGCGACGCATTGGCGGCCGCTCGGGACACAAACCGTCTCCCACATTACCGTCCGTTCGACATGCTTGGCCCCATCCACCTCCTAATAATAGTTTCGCAATAAGCAACCTTGGCTCTGCCCATAGCGCGCTTCGTCTCGCTCTCCCCCCAATTGACGGACGAAGCCATCACGACATTCCACGATCGAGTCCATCCATCCCCCTCCGCGCGCGCGTGTGAACGAACAGTCGCAAGCAATGGCGGCCACGTCGACGCTGTCGCCTCGCACCTCGACCTCGACCTCGATCGACGGCGACAATGTCCCCATGATGGACAACCCGACCCAGCGTCACAACGGCAGCGGCGGCCACTTCCAGGACGGCGACGAGGATCCAGAGGCTGGCTTCGCACAGAAACAGACGCACGGCGCCGAGTCGCGCACGCTGAGCCTGCATCCCTCGTTCTACATCCTCAGCTGGATCTTCTTCTCCAACTGCACCATCCTCTTCAACAAGTGGCTCATTGACAATGCGGGCTTCCGCTACCCTATCCTCCTGACCTGCTGGCACCTCGTCTTTGCGACCGCCGCGACGCAGCTGCTCGCCAGGACAACCTCGCTGCTCGAGTCGCGCCACACCCTGCCCATCGACCGTCGCTTCTTCCTGCGTACCATCCTCCCCATTGGCATCCTATACTCGGGCTCGCTCGTCTGCTCCAATGTCGTCTACCTCTACCTCTCGGTGCCCTTTATCCAGATGCTCAAGTCGGCCTCGCCCGTCGTGGTGCTCTTCTTCTCCTGGGTCTGGGGCATCGCCAATCCCACCATGTCGACCCTCCTCAACATTCTCGTCATCGTCCTCGGTGTGGCCATTGCCAGCGCGGGCGAGATCCAGTTCTCGTGGCTGGGGTTCATGTACCAGGTCGGAGGCACCGTCTTCGAGGCGATGCGCCTGGTCCTGATCCAGGTCATGCTCAGCTCCGAGGGTCTGCAGATGGACCCCCTCGTCGGTCTCTACTACTATGCCCCTGTCTGCGCCGTCATGAACATGTTTGTCGCGCTGTGGAGCGAGGTCCCCAAGTTTGAGATGCAACACTTGTGGGATGCGGGCATCTTCATGCTTCTGCTGAACGCGCTTGTCGCGTTCATGCTCAACATTGCGAGCGTGTGTCTGGTAAGTCCCTTTACAATTGGTCTCAAAGCGTTGTTTCCCCACTAACAGCTATGGCGATAGATTGGCAAGACGTCTGGTCTCGTCATGACCCTCACTGGCATCCTCAAGTCGATTCTCCTCGTCATCATCTCCGTCATCATCTGGCAGACCACCATCTCCCCCCTCCAGTTCTTCGGCTACTCCGTCGCCCTCTGCGGCCTGGTCTACTACTCCCTCGGCTACGAGACCCTCTCCAAGGGCTACCACATGGCCTCGTCGTGGGCAGGCGACACATGGAAGTCCGGTCGCGAGGGCCAGTGGACACCGGAGCGCCGCCGCTGCATCCTCGTCACTGGCATCCTGGCCTTCATCAGCCTCTGCATCATGGTGGGCATCTGGCAGGGTCCCACGGCCATGAGGAAGGCCCAAGAGTCCTTCCCGTCGATATTCAACCCCGAGCGATGATTCATGATCATTGCTCATGACATGACTTTTGTTGTTATTAGTTTGGCATGAGGTGACTGTTACGGTTAATACACATATACTAAAGCGGGGGGCACGAGGACTGCATCCGAGTCAATGAGTGCGTGGGTACGTACGTATTTCGGAATGGCAATGTTTTACTACAGGGGAACAAAGGGAAAAGGCACTTGGTTTCAAGAATAAGTGTTGGTGATCTATCTGGATGGCGCATTACATTGAGAAACAACACGGCATATTTAGACTTGCTTTCTTCTTCAACGCATATAGCTGTAATTCACGCGCAATGACAATGATTGACAACGTCTCCGTGGGGAATGAGTTTGCAATTACAGGGCACCATACATGATGTGACGAGATACTTGATACAAGGACGTACATCGCCCAACAAGACAGCATCAACCTCAGCGACGGCTCCGACTGCGAGTGCGACGTCGACTGCGACTCCTCTCTCGCCTGTCCCGATCCCTATCTCTCCTGGGAGAAAGGCTCCTATCCCTCCTCCGCCGGTCTCGCTCCCGCTCTCTGTCCCTGTCACGATCCCTATCGCGGTCTCGGTCTCTGTCCCTGTCCCTGTCGTCGCGAACCGGGTCTCTATCTCTGTCGCCTCTGACGCGGTCCCTGTCTCTGTCGCGGTCATAGTCGCGTTCCCTCGGCCTGTCACGCTCACGCTCACGGTCCCTATCTCTGTCTCGCCGATCACGATCCTTGTCTCTTGAGCGACTTCGACTCTTACGCCGCCTGTCGTCGCGTGAACCAGGCACGTAGCGATCGCTATCGCCTATGGGGGCCGGTGGCTTGTATCTGTCGCTGTCGAGTCCGGAGGTGGATGGCTTGTAGCGATCTTCCTTGTGTGCGGAAGGGGGGTGGTAGGAGTCTGCGGTCACGCTCACACTGCCCGCGGCAGCAGCCTCCTTCTGAGCAGCCATGTACGCCTTGGCTTCCTTTTCGCGGCGAATTCTCTCTTCACGCTTGTACTCCTCCGAATCCTCAATAGCTCTGTCGGCAACTCGGGCCACGGAACGGGAGCTAGCGCGGGCTGTGGTATCCCGATCACGGCTTCTGTCGCGAGTGGGCTGGTAGCGATCATGCTGCATAATGCGCGACGATTCACGACTGCGATCGCGGCGTGGGCGGCTGTCTCTGCGTCGCGAGCGCGAACGGGAGCGGGGATCGCGTCGGTCACTGCTCCTGGCTCGGTGACGACTCCTGTCGCGAACACTGCCCCGGTCTCTGGAGCGATCACGGCGGTCGCGGATGGGGGAGCGGTCGCGTCTTCTAGATCGACTCCTGTCACGTCGGTCGTCTCTATCGTCCCTCCGAGTACGTGATCGCGAGCGATCGCGCCTGATCCTAGAACGGCTCCTCTCGCGGCGGTCTCTGTCCCGATCTCGGTCTGCGTCTCGTCTTGGCGAGCGAGATCTGTCTCTTTCCCGCCGGCGATCATCGTCGCGTACCCTGCTGCGATCTCGCCTGTCTCGGTCTCTATCACGCTCGCGGTCACGGTCTAGGCCCCTGTCTCGATCCCGGTCGCGGTCGCGAGTTCTAGAAACACTACGACTAGGTCTCCGGTCGCTTCTCAGATCCGTGATTTTCGAGTCCATTGGGGTCCTCGAGCCTCTCTCGTCCCGTACAACTCTACTCAAGCTGTCGCGTCTGGCGGAAGAGTCCCTGCGGATAGGGTCAATGGCAGACGCTGGCTTGGTTCGTCTCGGTGGAGGCGCAAGTTCTCGATCAACCTCGTACCCTGAGTGGCGGTGTCGGCTCGCTGATCTGTTACCGCTCTCTCGTAGCAAGTCCGCCAGAGCCTCCTGTTCCAACCTTTCGTTCTCTTCCTTGGACAGCTCACGCTGCACCTCGGGTGCCTTGTCGTCGGATGTCTTTGTGCGTCGAGCCTCCTCGCGAGCGGCGTCTCTAGCGTCACGCTCGCGGTGTCTCTTTTCACGTTCAAGATCCCGCGCTCTCTCTCGGTCCTCCCGCTCCTTCTCACGCTTCGCCCGGCGTTCGTCGCGCTCTTTTTGTCGCTTGAGCTCCGCCTCGTCTTCGGCTCTTCGCTTTCGCTTACGCTCCTCCTCGGCAATCCTCTGCTTTTCGAGGACGATTGCTTCCTCTTTGGCCTTGAGCTCCTCGCGGATCTTCCTCCTCTCTTCCTTTCGGCCCTCGGTCTCGGCGGTATACTCCTCGTCGGTCTTTGCGCCTCGTACACGTTCGGCTTCGGCGGCCTCCTCGCCAATGTCCGCTTTCCGGATCGCGCGTATGCGCTCCTCGATCGTGCTCACGTCAATGAGCTGACCAATGACCTCTTCCGATTGCTGGTAAACGCCAGATCGCTCAAGAGCACCGTCTATGAGGGCGGCCGCTTTGCGTGTGTCTAGTGTTAGGAGCTGATGGGGGTTCTTCTCGACCTCCTGTTCGGCAACAGCGAGGATGGACTTTGTGACTTGAGCCTCGTAGTCCTGACCAGCTTTGTCAACAAACATATTCTTAAACAGAATAGGGCAAGGCGCGCTCACACTAGCTTTGAAATTATCCCAGACCTGTTTCCGGATCGCATCGTAGGCGCCCTCCTTTTTGAAAGCGTGCGCGAGCGTTTCAATCGCACTGCGTGTCGCGGAGGGAAGGGGGAGCTCGGAGGCTTTGAATCTACGTGGCGCATTCCCGGTCGAATTGTTGACGGCCTCGGACGCTGGTTTGCCTGAAGGAGCGGCCATTGTACGAGCGACCGAGCCCGGCGCAAAGGGAGTCGTCAAATGTGGTGGAAGCGCGCAGTCGCGCGGTCTGGACACTTAGGGAGTGTTTCAACAATTCATATTGGCAATAGATTCGACCGAGATGTCTTCGAAGATTTGTTCGCGAGGTGGGAAGATGTACGTAGGACGTTGCAAGAATGTTCGATTGTGTAAGAAAGTTGGCTCTGGAAGTTTGTAAAGTTAAGGGAAGCGCGGCGGCGGCACGCTGCAGCTAGCAAACGCCAGTTCACGTGACAGCCTAAGGTTGAGTTGAAACCTGGCCATTCCCTGAGTTTCATTTTGAATTTGACAGCTTCGATCACCTTGAGTCGCTGCAGTATCTGTCACAATAATTATATTTAGTCTATTGCGACGTGGTGCGGAGTCTTGTGAGGTACATTCATGCTGGTTCAGCACCGTAGAGTCGACGGTAAGGCCAAGCATCCATGTTGATAATCGTATCGCAAGACTGGTTGAGATAATGTCGTATTGCCGTGTATTATACAATATCAATATAGCACTGGTATCATACCATCCTAATCGTCAGATTCGTAGGAGAGAGAAGCCCCGTTTCCGTAACGCCATGCCGAAACCCAAGATAATTACACGTGCTAGCCAGCCACAATTATAACCAAATCGTACAGTGCCTGCTTGCTAGAACTCGCCCTCGCCGCCGTTTGATAGAGTACCGGCCATCCAGAGGCCGACGAGTCCCCACCAGCTGACCTTCCATCCGCGCCATAGACCCTCCACGCCTTGACCCTTTCGGTACGTGGGCGCAGAGGCCTTGGCCTTGCCTTTACCCTTCTTAGTTTGTGCAGGCTTGCCAATGACCTCCCTTTGACCTTCTTCCTTGGCGATGTGCACCATGGTGCCGAACGCGCCCTCGTAACGTCCAACGGGCACAATGGTGTCCAGCTTCTGCTCCTTGCCGCCCAGAACACGCAGGTACTCTTTCCCAGACAGGACTCCCATCTGGCCGCGGCGCAAAACGGTCTCGAGCGGCAGCTTGACGAAGATGGCCGCCGTGGACGCGCAGAACTTGGCAACCGAAAAGGTCATGGGCGACACCTGGCTGTCGATCATGAACCGCGTGCGCAGGACCAGTGGTGTCGACAGAGTGAGGATAGGGTGGATGAGAGAGTGGAGCATGGTCGGTATCAGGAGGGAAGAGGAGCATAGATATGATGGCAGGGAGCGAAGAGTCGAGAGCGTCCGGCGCTGTCCTCGACTTGTCGGCGTGAGGATCAGCCTGGTGCGAACCAGATCCAGCGGCGCGAGAAGCACGCCCGTCGCAACAGCAGCGGAAGCAGCAACGAATAGAGAAGCCCATGGGTAAGGCGACGCAATGTCGACGAGCCGGTCAATGTCGTCCTTGACGCCAAGATCCGGCACGTTGAGGATCGCGCTCAGGAAGCTTCGTGACCAGTTCTCCAATAGTGACTGCAGCACAGTGTACAGAAAAGTCGCGTTCGAGCCCTTCCATACGCCCCAGGCGCCCTCTTTGGTCCACAGAGCCGAGATGACGCCAGTGACCGAGTCCGAGCGCCGAATGTTGAGGTATTGCTCGGGCAGGTTCGTCTTCTTCGGTAAGCGGGGCGAATCGATGGGAGACTCGGCTCGACGTCCATTACGGTTACGCGGGTGTATGGGCGTCGGTGTGTCGGGCACATTGGAGGTGAAATACGATGGCTCATCGCCTTCAGAATCGGAATCCGGAAGCTGGGACTGGTCAGCAAAGATACAGCTATCACTCCTCAGTGTCATTGCCACAAACATCGTAGATTGACCCCCCGTAGCTCGAAGTCCTCTTGATGATGCCCGGCTCGCCCGGTGTCGCGGGCATGGCTGCGGCCTCATCCTGGTCGCGCACCTGTAGAATGGTCTTGGCAACCTCAAATGGCTGAGCCATCAGAACAGAGCAGTACTTCCACAGGAGCTCATCCAGCAGATCTTTGACGCTCTGCACGGCCGATGTCGTCTCCTCCCCCAGGTAGCCGTACTCCATATCGTTGAACACATCGCGCGCCTTGGATGCGTATCGCCCGGAGCTTGTCGTCGCATTGCCTGCAGCTACAGGAGCAGACTCGGCGCGCTCGCCGATCGTGGGAGGAATATAGTAGGGTCGTAAAGGATTGACCCCTTCTCGTTGCGACGCCATGCTAGGCGAGACACCGCATGTGCTATTATGTCACTGTGGTGTTGCTAGTCTAGAGGAGACTTGAGGACTGGAGCGTGGAGGCAGGAATTGAAATCATCAAGCATCGAATGGCTGCACGCTGGGCGACGGGGGAGGGATTACCCGAGAGAATTTGGAGGTAAGGTAATCAATCGGTCGGCATGCATGCGGGCGCGCCCCGGAGCTATGGGCACTCGGAAAATCGAAATCGAGTACTTTTTCTCCAGGTTCGGGTTCGGTCCTTTGCTCGGACCTGCGACGTACCCGCCAGTTGGCCGACGACGACCACCACCAGAGCTGTTTAATCTTTCTTTGATTTCGCGATTTACTATCGTTGCGCAATTCCAGCTGTCAATCATGTCGACTTCACGGACATTTGCGACGAGCCTGGCGAGGCTGTCGTCTACGGCGTCACGAACTCCACGAACACAGACACAGACAAGGGCGTTATGCTCGTTGCCCCAGTCATGGTCTTCCAACAGGCCAAGGACATCATTCTCGATGCGCTCTCTCGTTCCTGCACCTGCGCCCTCGTCTCGGGCCTTTACCACAACTAGCCCCCGGCGGCATGGTCACTTGACGCCGCCAAAGCCTGGAGAGGAGTGAGTCCACCGTCGCTCCCAGCCAGAGCGCTATTTCTGACCCGTTCTAGGCTGCACGTCACCTTCATTGACAAAGACGGCGACGAGTACAAGTTCCAAGTAAGCGAGGGCGACAACTTGCTCGACATTGCGCAGGCCAACGATCTCGAAATGGAGGGTGCATGTGGCGGATCCTGCGCGTGCTCGACCTGCCATGTCATCGTGCAAGACGAGGGGATGTACGACAAGATCCCCGAGCCCGAGGATGACGAGAACGACATGCTGGACCTCGCATTTGGATTGACCGAGACGAGCCGGCTCGGGTGCCAGGTCAAGATGACCAAGGAGCTGGACGGTCTGGTCGTGAAGCTGCCATCCATGACGAGGAATCTGCAGGCCAGCGACTTTAGCTAATTGAAGGGGGGGTAACGCCACCCCTTTTTGTATCAATGCAATACCAATATTTGTAACAAGTAACCTGTGTCAATAGAAGAAGATGCTTGGGGGTGATCGGGTATCTCATGGACTAGTACACTACGTTAGGCCTCCTCGATGGGTGTTTTCTTCAACCCTCCGCCTCCCGAGGCGATCAGATCCAGGAATCCCTTCTTACTCAACTCGTTCACCTTGCCCTCCCGTTGATCCATGCCAATGACGCCGGCCTTCCTCGTGCCCTTCTCCGCCTCGGTGGCGGCCACCTGCGCCGCCCTGACCGCGTTGAACAGCTTGACCACACCCCTCTGTGCCACTTTCCTCAGCCTCCTCTCCGTCTCCATAATCTCGGCCGTGGTAGCCTCCATCTCGCCCGTCTTCTCGTTCCTGCTGGCCACCAGGACATCCTTCACGCGACCCTTCTCGAAAGCACGACGCTTCTGGTCGCGGAGCTGTTTCCGGGCTTTCGCCTCCAGCGCATTGTCCAGGATAGCACGCGATGCCGTGTGCGCCTCGGCACTTCGGGAGAGCACAGGGTCTGCTCGTTTTGAGGTTGCGAGTTTTGTGCCGAGAATTTTGGTCAAGGACGTTGCGAACGCAGAGTTGTCGCGCTTCTTCTTCGATTGTCGGGGGTTCTGCTCGTCGTCGTCTTCGTCTTCGTCGTCATCATCATCGAAATCGTCGTCCTCGCCTTGCCCTTCTGAATCCGAGTCATCCTCGTCCTCCGACGCCGACTCGGGCGCGGACTGAGGGGCCTTTTGTTGTGACTTCAACGACATCTTCTTCTTTGGCGCAGGATTCTTCGCTGTCTCCTCTTCTTCTCCTGAACTCGATTCGCCCACTGAGGGTGCGCCATCGTCAACTTGGGCGTTGTGGATGTCGTCATCCGAGTCGAGGAGGTTGACGGGATCAAAGTTGTCGTCTTGCTCTTCCTCAGAGTCGCTGTTGTACTGCGCGAGCTGGCGCTTCTGCTTCTTGCTCGGTCGGTCGAGCTTGGGCTTTTCGAACTTGCGACTTCTTTTAGGGCCGGCCATGATGTGTAGTGTGTGGTGCAATGGCAGATTGATTGAACCAGGTTGGGTGATAGAATAGCGATTGATTCAGCGGGAACAAAAAGTTTCAATATTTTGCCAGTAACTTTTCACGGGTCTGGAGGGGCCCCCAAAGGCGGTGTCGGACTTCGGGATTATGGGGGTCCGCAGCGGTGCGCCGACTAACCCTGGACATCAAGCTGACTTTCAAGTTTCAGAACACTCATCATCGCCCTTGCAATAACTATCAAACCAATTGCATTCGAATGGCAGCTCTCTGAGCTCTCAAAATCTGATTCACAATCCGGGGTCCCTCAGCGACCTAGATCGACTTCACCTGCCTCTCGAAACGAGGTATTTCCCTGGTAAACTTCTTGGGGTCGTCCCTCGCGCCCTTGTGCCAGTACTCATACTCGATCCATGCATTCTCAGGCATCTGCTCGTCCATGGCCTTCATCCATTCGCCCAGCTCGGGACTCAAGGGGATGACTCCCGTCTCCAGCACGTACTGGTCCCAGAGCTTGATCAGAGCCTGGAGTCGCGCAGGCTCCTGGTCTGCAAGGTCGTGAACTTCGCCAGGATCCTTGCTCAGATCGTACAGCTGCCACTTCTCAGGCCCCTTTGGCTTGGGAATGAAGACAATCTTCCAGTCCCCCTTGCGTACGGCCGCTCGCCCACAGGTCTCCCATCCGTTGATAAAGTCCTCCGGGTGGATGCGCTCTGCCTGGTTCGTCAAATACGGCACCATGGACTTTCCGCGCATGGAGACGACCTCGCGCCCTTGATATGTGGGTGCGGGATGCTTGACGCCGGCCATGTCGAGAATCGTCGGTGCGAGATCCATCACCGTGGAGAACTGGTGCGTGATGCTGTTGCGCTCGAGCTTGTCGTCGAAGAATCCTGCCGGTGGCTTCACGAGGAATGGCACACGCACGCCACCTTCGGTTGTGTATGCCTTGTACAGGCGGCTTGGTGCCGTTGCGGCTTGCGCCCAACGCGGACCGTACCAGATGAACGAGTCGCCGTTGCCAAGGTTGTCAATGTGGTTGTTGTAGTACTTCTTTAGGTGCTGCATCATGTTGCCCTGCACAATGGGATACGTCTCGTACGCGGCACCTTCGGCACCGTTGTCTGAGAGGAAGCAAACAAGCGTATTGTCCAGCTCTCCAGTCTCTTTGAGGTAGTCGACCACTTTGCCCACGTTGGCATCGATGCACTCCACCATGCCCGCAAAGACTTCCATGGCGCGGCTGGAATTGCGCTTCTCCTCGTCACTGAGCTCGCTCCATTCCTTCACTTCCTCGGCGGATACGGGATGGGGTTCTACATCTTTCGATATCATCCCCAGGTCTTTGAGTCTTTGTAGTCGCCTGTCGCGCAAGACATCTGGCCCGTCGTCGTAGACACCACGATACTTCTTGATATACTCCTGTGGCGCCTGCAGCGGCCAGTGCGGTGCAGTGAAGGGCAGGTAGGCAAAGAAAGGTCGCTCGTCTTTCTGCTCATTGCGGTCCTTCAGGTATTGCAGCATCTTATCGCCATACCCGTCGGACGAGTACCAGCCGTCCGGCAGCTTGCGCACATACTCGCCGTCCTCACTATGCAGCGCAATCACACTCATCGTCAGAAACTCTGGCGATTCCTCGTGGGCTTCCAGCTGCGGCTCGTACGCGTAATGGTTACTGCAGGCCGGCAAATGCGCAAAGCTTCTTTCGAATCCTCTCGCTTTGGGACTTCGTTCAGGGGTCAGGCCAAGGTGCCATTTGCCGGACATGAGTGTCTGATATCCTGCGTCCCGCAAAATTTCCGGCAGCGCAGCGACGCGTTCATTCAGGTAACCTTCGTAGCCGGGCATGCCTCTTTGGACATTCGTTGACATCTTGCCGCTGGGGTCGTTCTGGCCAGACTTGTTTGTCCACTCGATCAAATTGCCCAGACCGGCGATGTGGTGATCGGTACCTGTCATGATCATGGCTCGAGACGGCGAGCAGGCAGCGGCAGCATGGAAGTCTGTGAAACGCAAGCCATTGTTGGCGAGTTCATCGAGATTGGGGGTGTTGATCTCGCCGCCGAAGCACCCAATGTCACTGAACCCCAAGTCATCGGCCACGATGACCAGGAAGTTGGGTTGCTTGGGGGGCATCTTGATGAAGTCTTTCCGTTGAGTCTGATTTCGCGATTACATGGGGATGTGGAAGCAAGATGGGGGATTTCTCTGTACTGCGTACGGCAAGAGGAGACATGGGAGTTGGTGTAAGTGGACGTTGTCAGAAAGGGTAAGGAGGCCGGCATCCGAAGGGGTCGGATCGGTTCCCCGCAGAGAACGCCACAACTTCACAAGTACATGCCCATGGCACCGTGGAAAGCTACAGCTAAAGATGTGGTTGTACTTGAAAATAACCGATTGATGAGGCTGACCGCGTGAAGCCAGAGAGTGGACTCAAGACTGCCCCCGATCCTGGCCTGATGTGGACTTCACTGGCCATGTGTCCACCTTCCGCAATGCCATTGCAAGATGCTCTTTCATAGAGCCAGAACCTTTCCAAACGAGCACCATCACTACGAAGCACCCATGCCCACAGCTCCAGTAGCCCTACTTAGTTTCCCTCGAAATACGCGCACGGTTTGACGCACGCTTTCATGGAGCAGGCCGGTCTGCCTCCTTCGAAGAAGGCAGGTCTGGCAGTGGAGCATCCGCGTTGCGGCTGCGCTTGCCGAGCACGGAAACAGGTTCCTCGCGACGATGAAATTGGCGTCCCCATATGCAAGCAAACACATCATCGTTACGAGCCTTGCTTTCGAAGAAGTCACAGAGCTTCTGTAGAGGACCATTTGCCGGGCCAACGCCTGGCTCCTTTTCAAACATCATGGTACGCCATCTGCCAGTAATAACGAACTGAATCAATGAGCGCTGCCCAGTCGCTTCCTCAGCCTCGGCGGTGTTGGCAAGGCTGAGGGCCGTGAGATGAGTATTGTGCGTTTGCTCCATGTGCTGGCGAAGCTGCTCTGCACCAGCATCGACCTCAATGCACGTGCCGCAGGCACGTCTGCTCGGACCGAGGATCATGCAAACCATTGCGTTGACCTTAGAGACACACGGATCGTCGTTGAATGGCGCATTCATGATATCAATAGGCCCGCAGTGCCAGCCGAATCGCGCGGAATGACCAGACCAGTCCGTTTCGATAGATGCCTTGAGAAAATCCTCGGAGATGACAGAGGGGAAGTTGGCCGCGGACTCTCGACTCTCATCCGTTCTGGAGATCATGGCATGCCCTGTATCGGGTCTTTCCTTTTTTGCTTCCTTGTCTACGATGAGTTTGACGTAACGCTAGACTTCTTCTTTCGTGATTGCGACATTTTGCGCCATCTTGCAAGTCAAGTGGTTGTAGTAACGCGGGTGTGTTGATTCGATAGCAGTGAGAAGACGGTATGTCCATATCGCATCTGGCACATGAGCTCCCTCGTCCACCATTTGGCGATCCAAGTCCAGAAAATGCCTGTAAAGGTCTCCCTTGGATGTGTATGAGCTCCTGTCGATTGTCCACCATTCATCGATAATTCGGAACAACTTCCTCCGAGGCGTTGTTGTCATCATCTGCTGTAGCTTTGTCCACAGTTCATGGGCCGAGCCAAGACTATTCCAGCCATTGGTCTCAAGTTCGTCCATGACATGTGTGGCCAGATTTCTCATGATGATCTCCCGTGCTGCCTTGCTCTCGACGCTGATGTTGGTCGTTGACGTTTCTTGGACTGCCTTCAGGTAGCCCATGGAGTCCAACGTAGCTCTCACGCGTCGGAACCAAGATCGGTAGTTGTCGGGTCCCGTCAACAGCTCTGTGATCCGCAAGTCAGACCCAGCCACCAAAGGGCGCTCAGCCATCCTGACAGGAGGAAACGGGACAATGGGGGGGATGAGGGAGACCAATGAAGGCTGGTATCAACCTGAAGGGGATGGGGTACGCCAGTGTTCTGGGGTTGTGTTGGTGATGATGGAGGTGGACGGGGTTTGTGTCGTGTAGTTGCGAAGTGATAAACAAAGCCTGCTGAAGTCGGCAACGATCGATGGGATCAACGGAGGTTGGAGATTCAGGTTTGGTTATTGCTCAGAATTGAACATGAGCCTTCGATATGGGGTGACATCAGGGTGAGTAGCAGGTGATGGATTGGGGGCTCTGTGCTAGTATTGTCCGCAATCTGTTCGTGCAGTGAGCGAGGACTGATATGCATCCAAGAAATACAAGTGAATCATAATAAGAACTTGACCAACGAAAAGAAGTCCCTTTGGGTAATCCTAGGGGCAAGCCTGTTTCCGCAACGCCATCCACATGAACGCCTTGACACGCAAGTGGCACATATACAAATACACAATGTCCATTATCTGACCTCGAGGCCACGGGTCCGTTTGTAGTCGACGGTTGGCTTCCGGGCACCTAGGCCTCGCAAACTGGTGTCAAGACTGTCTCTTACATGCCCCTGATTCTGGACCATATGGCTGCCAGAGGTTTTTCGCTCTCCAAGGGGGACAAGGGCGATACAAGATCGTATGTCCAACGCTCCTTGCCGTCAATGTACAAACGGTACTGGAGCGCGCTCTCGCCAGCAATGTTCTCAATGGTAAACGCGCCGAACTTGGAGCTGCCTGAGGGGATGTAGCTGTGGATGTCAGTCACGAACTCTGTCAATTACAACGGCAGTCAGCTTACTTAAGCTTGATGTCCTCTTCGTCGGTCTGCTTGTAGGACGGCACCGGGGATGCGAACTGGTTGAGTGGGCTCGTTGAGAACTCATAAGCAGCAGCCGTGTCGGCCCAACGCGAACCCTCGGGCGGTGGGAACTTGGTGGCAGCGAATTCATGTCGATCGCCAGACAAAACAACCACTGTCGTACCACGCGCTCCAGCATCCCACATGGCCTCAAGAATGCGCTTGCGCTCGACCAAGAAACCGCCCCAGGTGTCCTGGACGTTGACAGGCCAGTTCTTGGTAAAGGGAATTGACGAGGCGACAAATCGCCACTTGACGCCTCGAGGCATAGGCCTGTTCAACCAGGCGAGGAAATCATCAAGCTGGTCGGGCCCGAGCATGGTCTTCTCCATGTCATCAAAGGGCAAGTTGTTGCTCGAGCGGTAGCTGCGAGTGTCCATCATGAAGAAAGCGGCGGGTCCTTGGGTGAACTCGTACCAGGTGGCGTTTTCTCGGCGGTACGTGGTGGTGCCAGGGACACGAGACTTTGGGGGGTTCAAATCGCCCTGGTAGATGTGCCATGGCTCGACAGCAGCATTATAGACACCAGTCTGACCCGAGGACCAATCGTTCGAAATCTCATGATCGTCCAAAACGTGGATCCAGCTGAGGTTCTGCGCGACCGGGGCCCAGTCTGGAGAAGCGTAGACCTGTCGATACTGCATGCGATACTCAGCTGCGGAAACGCCAAAGCGCTCAGGCACGTCGACGTAGATGAAGTCGCCAAGGAACAGCATGAACTGTGCGCCAAGCTCCGGCAACTTGTTTGCCAAATGACGCAGGCCTGGAATCGCTAGAGCGTGGTCAAATGGGTTATACGGAAACCGTGGGAGGATGCAGGATGTCGACAAGAAGGTGTACTTTCCACTGTGGTATTCAGGCATGTGTCCAGCCGCGGGAGGGGCCAAGAATTCGCCAGTGTGGTTGTTGGACGTACGCCATTCGTATGTGCGCTGCTTTGAATGTGTCAGGGGCACAGTGAGCACGCCGCTGAAATCGGTCTGGTTGTCGGTCCATCTGATGCCACCAGCGGTTTGCCAGAGGGGGTTGTCGAAAGGTGCCTGAGCATCCTTGATGTGAATCTGGAGAGTCACGGGCATTTGCGCCTGATCGGGTTCGCGGATGAGGAACTTGGCCTCGGTAGGCGAGACATATCCAAGTCGGACAAAGGAGAGGTCGTCCACAGGGTAAAGAAACCTCGCGCGGTACAGCGCATCAAGAGTGAGGGCGACAAGGATGGTGTTGATGAGAAAAGTCAGCACGGAGGCCCCGAGCTTGCTAGCACTCGGTGCGCCCCATAGGAGAATCTTCCAGGGATTGGCGTCCTTGTCGCCAAGCACAATCTCCTCCTCGATCCTGCTCTCCTGGACGACGACTTCTGGTTCCACCTCGACTGCTACGCCTTCGTCGGTCAACAATGGCGCGTCTGGCTTGACTGTGACTTCCTCCGTGATCGCGGCGGTCCTGTCCTCCAAAATTTCGAGCTCTGGCTTTGTGAAGTAAGTCGCCAAGAAGGTGGGGATATATACTGCAAAAAGCGTGAATGTGACGGTTGGGAAATGTGCCTGGTTCAGTCAGAAACACGGCTGGGCGCATTCAGGGGCAGTCATCAACGGATCATACGGGAAACTGCAGGAATGGTCAGCTTCGATTCAGAATGAAGGCTATGGTACTGGGAGCGTACAAATCTGAAAAATAGGATGGCGGATATCCTCAGCAAGGTGGAAGACGCCTTTGCGAGGGTCCTCTGCAAAGCCATAGCTAAGGCTGTGTTTGAGGTGATCCTCCTGGAGATAGGAAACTATTGACGGTCGACGTGGCGAGGTAACAATGAAGTGACTAGAGCTGAAGCTGTGATAAGAATACGAGGAAAGATCGTCAAGAATAATATTGTTTGGGGACCCGGTGCTGTGCTGCCATTACTATGTCAGTGATGATGGTGATATACGTCGACGATGGTTTGCGACACTCGGTCCAGATCATGAGGTCACCGAGACCCGCGCGTCAAGTCGCGTTTGACGCAAGGGGCGCGTCTGTTGCAGGTCCCTGCGCCACACATGATTTGTGAGGCCGTGCCCACCAGCCACAGCAATGAAGGTCCGTGCAGCCATGTGCTCTTCAAGCCAAGCAAAGACCAACAAAAGCCAAGCTTCATTCCAACATTTCGGTACGACAGCTACGCACAGGAATCCATTCCTCCCCGTTGGCTTTCCAAATCACATGCTGCATCAACCAGTGGTCTGGTCGCTGTACGATGGTTCCATGTGTGCTCTTTTGCTGATAAGATGTCGTCACGCCTTGAAACAAACTCTCGACCTCATTTGCTAGACGATTTCGGCACCGAGATGAACACCGCGAAGCTGGCGGTCTCCTCGGACAGGATCCTTCACCTTAAATTTAGCCAGCGATAACATGGACATTGATGCTTTCAGTCAAAGTAACTGCACTTGCGCAGCCATCAGACACAAGGATGGAGGCAGGTAGATTTTGAGGGGTGCCCCTCTTCCGCGCGAAAACGGGCAGTGATGGGCGCGATGTTCGGTTCGTGGTATCCCCGTCTGCTGTTCTACTGTAGCGGTTGAGACCCCATCGCTTCATTCCCATTGCCAAACGTCCACATCGAGACTTAATCTGTTGCTATCTTTACCCTGTAAGTGACGTGACAGTACCAGGTAGGCAACGCAGAACAGCCCAAACTAGGTAGGCATTGCATCATTGCAGGCATGCCCGCTGCTGACCCACCCACGATGTTGATCCTGATGACAAGCCACCGATCCATCCAGCACCACGCAGCAGTACGCACCACCATCGTGGTTCGCTTGCGGGACTCTCCATGGGCACGCGCCCACAACGGGCGGGACAATACCCTCGTGGGGGTGATCTGGATCCCACAAACCTGGAGCCATCTCCCTCTTCGCCTATGAGAGTCATTCCTGACCCACGATGAGTCCAAGAGGTGGTCAAGAGACCCCGCCCGCCCCCGTTGCCAGATGGAAGAGCCACCAACTGCCGTACCAAAAGGGTCTTTGGTTCTGACTTGCATTCTGCATGACGGGCTGTTGGCGCCACCTGATAGCAGCCGAAGCGGGTTTCCCTGCCTGATGGGTCATACAGATAGATGCCCTGTCATCGGCGACCACAAGTACAAGATGAGCTCCTCGGGACATTTATATCTCTGGCCCGAGTCTTCGCTCGTACCTCATCCGCGTTGACCTTGCGAGTACAGATCTGGTGTTGAATCGACAACCTTGGAGCATTACAGCCATTACAAGGCTCGAGGCTTCAGATACAGTAACATCAAAGTGCATCAGCCTTACCATATCTCCATCTACACCTCGATCTACAGACCAAAAGTCTGCCCAGAATGGCGAACATGTACCCCCCTACGACGACCCTACCGGTCTACTCGGTGTTGACTGCTGTCGCCATCGTCCTCACGGCTGTCCGTTTCTGGACTCGTATCAGATACACCAAGACCAATGTTGGAGCTGACGACTGGTTCATCTTCACCGGCGTGGTCATCTGCTGCGGCTGCACGGCAATCCAGTTCTACAACGCCCTCGAGGGAACTGGAGGCCAGGCTGTGACGGACAAGGACGACGCCGCCCAGATCGTCGCGTCGAAGAAGGCAGATTTCGTCATGGTTCTGATCGAGAAGCCTGCATTTGGATGCATCAAACTTTCCCTTCTCTTCTTTTACAAGCGCATATTCGATACCTGGAACAGCTTTCGGAAGGCAAACATGATCCTCATTGGCGTCGTCATCGCTTGGACCATTGCCTTCATCGTTGGTGATCTGGCCATCTGCGGAACCAAGCTTCACTATGTGTACCTGCTGGATCAGTCACTTGCACGGGATCATTGCGGAGATAAGGGATTTCTCTTGCTCATGTTCGCCATCACCAGTGTCATGACGGACATCTTGGTGCTTGGGCTCCCATTCTTTTACATCCGCAGGCTGCAAATGCCGCCGCAGAAGAAGCTGGCAACCTGCCTTGTTTTTTTCCTTGGCTTTATGTAAGTCCACTCGCCCAGTTTATGCTTCTTGGTCGCTAACAACACGCAGCTCGACTGCCGCCGGCATGATGCGCACAATCTTCCTGGGCATCTCGTATCCCATGGGCCGAATGGCTTGGGGATATGTTTCGCCTCCCGACCAGCCTACTCCCCTCGTTCTTCAAGTCTTCAACCCAACCTTCTGGGTCATGGTGGAGATGTTCCTCGGCACGTGGGCTGCCAACCTTCCGCCCCTCGGCCCTCTACTGGGCGCCATGGGCTTCAGAGAATGGGTCAGCAGTGCGTACAGGAAGGTCTCTGCCATCTCTACCTCGTGGAGCGGAACAAGGACCAAGACGACCGAAAAAAGCTATGCTACACGCGCTGGGGATGAGCGCAACCTCACACACCAGACTAGCCACTCATCTCTGGAGGCTCAGGATCGGCCGAGTGCCGACTCTTGGAGTTGGAGAGATCGCTGGTGATTTACTTTTTTTTATAACCAAGTTGTAGTGGAATTTTTTTATACCCCAGGGCCCGGCAAGGAGTTAAGGTATTGTTTGTGTCCTCGGACTACCATTAATATGATGGTCAATACGCTAGTGATACTCCTCAAGCAATTACGTGTTTCTCATTGTTTTCTGCATTGCTACTGTGAAGTTGCGTGCATAGAGTTTGACTACATATTGGTGTTTTGTACGCAAATGAACCTTCATCTAGTGGTGATGCTCAACACGCGGTGGACCAAACGGTTGCTCAAAGACACAGGCTCAATCACACAGGCAATAGCCCCATGAGAATCAAAACTGATTTATTAGCACCTCGGAAGGCCGCACAATCGAACAGCGTTTTCCTCTCGAGGGGCTTGATCTGTGGTGAGTTGAAGTATAGGGTAGTTAGTACCAAGCCCTAGACACCCCCTGATCCGGAGCGGCAGCGCAAAAGTCCGACCCTCCGTCGAAGCTGTAGTGGGACCTCCATCGTGGCCCCTTGTGTATCCCGCCAGCGCCAGTTGTCCTCGAATCGCCAGCCAGCAGCACGCGACATCGCCCACAACCGCCCACGATGAGACTGCCAACCCTCTTCGCCGGGCTGATTGCCTGCCTCATCACCAATGTCACTGCCACGGCTTTGACATACAACATTGCCGCCCACGAGAAGGCGTGCTTCTATGCCGAGACCAAGAAGGACTACGAGAAGGTGGCCTTTTACTTTGCTGTAGGTCACGCAACTTCGGAGGAGAGATTATAAGGTGCAATGGGAACTGAGATACGGACAGGTGCAATCTGGTGGCTCTTTCGATGTCGACTACATCGTTGAGGGACCCAACGGCAAGATCATTATCCAGGGCGAGAAGGAGAGGCAGGGCGACTTCGTCTTCACCGCGCAGCAAGCCGGACACTACTCTTTCTGCTTCAACAACGAGATGAGCACCTTTGCCGACAAGTTTGTCGATTTCGAGATTGCAGTACGTATCCCAGCCAGCTCTCGTGGGAGGAGAAGGCTAACTGGGAATAGGTCGAGAACGAGTCCCGCGCAACGCTGCCCTCAAAGCAGGGCACATCCCCCGAACAGACGTCCGTCCTCGAGGAGTCCATCTACAAGATCTCTGGACAGATCTCGACGATTACGAGGAACCAGAAATACTTCCGCACCCGTGAGAACCGCAACTTTGCCACCGTGCACAGCACAGAGGGACGCATCGTGCGCTTCAGCATGATTCAGATTGGTCTCATTATTGCGATGGGCGCGCTGCAGGTCGTCGTCGTGCGATTCTTCTTCCAGGTTAGTGGAGTTTATCACTTTGTGAGTTGGTCAGTTGCTAACGGGAGGACAGGGCGCGCGCAAGGGATACGTATGAACAGGATTGCATTTTGGGAAACATGTACTGGGACGCATGTACGGGTTACGAGGCGCAGGATGGTCAATCAAAACTTGTCGACATTGGGTATGTGTGAAGAGTCTCGGAGCTCTCGAGCGTGCTTGTAGCGCCTTTGAGAATAGTTCAGCATGATGGTGGCAATACAGACACCGCTTCAAATTAACGGATCAAGCATCCTTGCCACTACAATGCGTGTATGAGCAGCCGAGGAGCAACCAGCATTCTAAACCATATTTGGCAACGTGTTTGGCTCGTGTGATGGTTGGTTCCCATGGCACCTCAATACGGCACGCCAGCTCGCTGTAGATGTGATGTGGCTGGTGCGCCAAGCCACAGTGGCGCCAGATGGAAATTCCCAACTGCAACCTTTCACTTTCGCAGTTCAAACCACCACTTCTTTACACATCCACTCACACAACAACCGGTATACATCATGGCATCGATAGCCGCGTCGCTGCAGTCAGCGCTGCCGAAACCCAAATACACTGGCGAAGAAGAAGAAGCGCCACGCCATGCCCAGCCCCGTGGTCCGCGCATCGTCAGTGCCGACCAACTCGACGAGACACAGGTCGTGCTGAAGAGAGCCGGCCCTCCGGCCTATGGTCAGCGCGCAGGATGGCGACCGCGGTCGCAGGAGGATTTCGGCGATGGAGGCGCCTTCCCCGAAGTTCCCGTTGCGCAGTATCCTTTGGACATGGGCAGAAAGGGCGAAACGAAGAGCAACGCGTTGGCCATCCAGGTCGATGCAGACGGAAAAGTCAAATACGACGCGATAGCGAGGCAAGGTCACGGCGACAGCAGGATCATCCATACCTCGTTCAAGGACCTCATTCCCTTGAGGCAACGTGCTGATGCGGGCGAGATCGATCTTTCGCGACCCGACAAGGAGTCTGTGGCTGCCACGACGGAGAAGACGAAGGCTGCCTTGGCAGCGCTGACGGGAAGCGCGGTTGCTGCGCAGAAGCCCAAGGCGTGGAACATGGCGGAGCGCAAGGACGCCACATTCGTACGGTACACACCCGCGAACCAGATGGGCGACAACTCGAAGAAGCAAGACCGCATCATGAAGATTGTCGAGCGTCAAAAGGATCCCATGGAACCACCCAAGTTCAAGCACAAGAAGATCCCCCGCGGACCTCCGTCGCCACCTCCCCCCGTCATGCACTCACCTCCCCGCAAACTCACAGCCGAAGACCAGGAGAACTGGAAGATTCCGCCGCCCGTCTCGAATTGGAAGAACCCCAAGGGTTTCACGATCGCGTTGGACAAGCGATTGGCCGCGGACGGACGCGGTCTCCAGGACGTGGACATCAACGACAAGCATGCACAATTTGCTGAGGCGATCAAAATGGCCGAACGACACGCTCGTGACGAGGTGCAGCAGAGGGCCAAGATGCAACAGAAGTTGGCAGAAAGGGAGAAGGCACAGAAGGAGGAGAGCTTGCTTGAGTTGGCACGACAAGCACGTGCCGAACGCGCAAATGCTGGACAAAAGAAGCGGCGGGACTCGAACGACTCGCGTTACTCGAGGGACTCGCGAGATTCGAGATCAAGGTCGAGAAGCTACAGCGAGTCGGAGTCGGGCGCTTCGGACAGTGAAGACTCTGAAGTGCGTGAGCGTCAACGAGCTCGCAAGGAGAAGCACCGGGAGGAGGAGCGGAAGCTCAGGAAGAACAGGATGGGCGCTGAGCGCCGCATGCAGGTGATGGCGCGCGAGCAGGACCGTGACATTTCGGAGAAGATTGCTCTTGGCCTAGCGAAACCGACTCAGTCCAAGGAGACCATGTACGACTCACGACTGTTCAACCAGTCCAGCGGCTTCAACAGCGGCTTCAATGAGGACAACGCCTACGACAAGCCGCTGTTTGCCGCCCAAGATGGAATCAACAGCATTTACCGACCTCGCGCAAACGCCGACGACGACGATGACCCCGAGGCTGGTGACAAGGAGATGGCCAAGATCCAGAAGTCGAGCCGATTCGGCGAGGCGCTGGGCAGGGGAACATTCAAGGGGTCAGGTGACGTTGAGGTAAGCGACCTCAATTTGTATTCGTATGATCTTGCTAACAAGGGGGAACAGGCTCGTGAAGGTCCTGTGCAATTCGAGAAAGATGCCACCGATCCTTTCAACGTCGATAAGTTTCTATCCGAGGTGGAGCAGTCCAGCTCATCGAAACGGGGGTTTGGTTTACAGGAGGACGGTGGCCGCACGAGCAAACGTGCTCGTGTAGAAGGGGAGGACGACTAAGTAGCTACTCTGTTCTCGAGCCTTTGAGACTTTCGAGGCTAATTACGATAGGGCTGTCCAGTTCGACAGCAGTGAGAGTTCATCCGTCAAACAAATTGATACCATTGATTTGACGACTTGGAAACGTCTTGCCCAAGAGTACCAGGAACAGGCCAAGACATTTCTATCTCTCATATCCCTCGAAGTCAGATGCTCCTTGTAGGTTTCGACAGCGACGCGCACAATTAACCCGCGAGATCAAGTGCTCGGGCTCAGATGTCCGAGGATCGTGATTTCCTCGGTGAATCCAGCTTCTACCTAGTCCACACACGGAATGCTTGACGATCACCTGCTGCCCGGTGCAAGATCCAGAGCTGCGTTCCCCTCGTGGGGAGAAGCACCTCGGCCCTCGCGAGCGATAGGTTCCTCGCCATGCGCTGCACCGAAATCCGAGCCTCAATTTGCCGAAAGCAGGGGTCCCATACTGGCTAATATGTGAAAGCTCCCCATGGGGTAAGGAACCATGAACGGCTTCCAATCGGGGGCTGCGAAGAGTTACCCCAAGCTCCCCGCATCGCAAGTATCTTGACCGAAGATCTGGTGCAACTCGCGGTGTATAAAATGTCGCTCCTCAGTACGTGAACCGAAAGTCCAGGGCAGCGCAGACCAGCCACATCCTCACAATGGCTCCAAAGGCATTCTCCACGACCGCGCTGCTGCTGTGGGCGCTGCAGGCAACGCAGCCCGTCCAAGCCAAGCTCGAAGCAGAAGAGACAGACACGCACCTTGTCCTCTCCAACGACAGATTCCACACCGAAGTCGATAAGAGCCGCGGCTCTGTCTCGTCCCTGGTTCTCGATGGTCAAGATCTTCTCGGTCCTCGCAGTGGTTCTACCGGTCAAGGGCCGTACCTCGACTGCTATTGTATCCCCAGCGGATTTTGGACACCAGGCAGGTCAGCGCCTGAGTTCGAGCTCTACTCTGGTACCGACTCTACAGGTACTGACTATGGCGGCATCCGCATGGCTGATACGTACCTGCCCACTGGTCAGGTCCTTGAGCAATACTGGTTCCTCCGCGATGGAGAGACTGGGCTGCATACCTTCAGTCGCGTGGCATATCACAACGAGAGTACGCCGTTCCTGAGGAACCTGCAGGAGCTCAGAGTCTTATTCCGCCCGAATACTGACATGTGGACACATCTGCTGTCCAAGAAGGGCAACTATGCTCCCCTGCCCAACTTTGACAACCAAGACGAGTGGCCTGTTGTGCAGGACGCAACGTGGTATCTGGGCGACACGCCTGATGATCCCTACGTTGAAGAGTTCGCGGACTACTTCACCAAGTACACCTTTTCTGACCCTTTCAGGGATCTCGATGCATACGGCCTGTAAGTGCCTCTCAGGGCTTGCCAAGGTCACTGACAGCTGACAAGACAGGTTTGCTGACGGCTCCAACACCGAGGACGGGTCGACTTTTGGCGCCTGGATGGTCATGAACACCAAGGACACGTACTTTGGCGGCCCTACGCACTCTGACCTGACGGTCGACGGCATCGTCTACAATTACATCAGCTCGAACCATCACGGTGACCAGACACCAAACATCACCAATGGTTTCGACCGCACCTTTGGCCCATCATACTACTACTTCAACAAGTATCCCGAAGGCTCTGACATACTTGAGCTCCACGCCGACGCAGCACAGTTCGCCGACCCCGAGTGGAACGCCGAGTTCTACGACTCCATTGCTGAGCACGTGGCCAACTACGTCCCCTCGTCGGACCGCGCCACGTGGAAGCTCCACGTCGACCTCCCGAAGAACGCAGAGCGGGCCCTGGCCGTCCTCTCCCAGAACGGCGTCGATTTCCAGGACAATGTCCTCGACACCAAAGCCTATCAATACTGGGGCGAAGTCGACGCAGAGGGATACGCCACCATCCCCATGGTGAAAGCGGGCACATATCGTCTGACCATCTACGCCGACAACATCTTCGGGTACTATGTCAAGGACAATGTCGTGGTCGAGCCATCAGGCAAGAACAAGCACGACAAGCGGCACATGACCCACGCCCGCTGGCGCGAAGAGACGGAAGGCAAGGAGATCTGGCGCATCGGCACACCCGACCGCTCGTGCGGCGAGTACCTCCACGGAAACGCCCCTGACAAGGAGCACCCCCTCGAGCCAGAGCAGTACCGCATCTACTGGGCCAACTGGGATTACCCCACAGACTTCCCGGACGGCGTGCACTTCAAGGTCGGCGAGTCGGACGAGGCCAAGGACTGGAACTACATCCACTGGAGTGTCTTTGGCGGCAAGGCCAACTACAAGCGCCCCGAGACCTACGTCGGCACGGGAGATGTGAACAACTGGACCATCTCGTTCGATCTGGAGCAGGAGCAGATTCACCGCAAGCGCCAAGCTACCTTTACGGTGCAGCTGGCCGGCGCCAAGACGGCAGCGGGCAACACGGATATCTTCAATGCCTCGGAGCCGCAAGCTAACCTGCACTACACCGTCAATGTCAACGGTCAGGATCTCGAGCCATGGATCATCCCGTAAGTGGCCACTCTCTTCATCCAGATTTATTACATACTGACCTGCGCCACAGCTGGAACCAGAGCAGCTCCTGCGGCGTGCGATCTGGCGCGATCTGCTACAACGTCGGCCACAAGTTCGAGTTCCACCCCAAGCTGCTGAAGGAGGGCGAGAACGAGCTGGTGCTCAGTCTGCCGTACAATGCCACCAACTACGAGCCTGCCAAGCTTGCCGAGTCGGTGTATGTGCAGTACGATGCTCTTAGATTCGAGATCGTGTAGTGAGGGAGGTACAAGCTCTCGACATTATGAAACTGCTAAATCGCGCCATTTGGAGCCAAAATTGTCGTGTTGCTCAACTGTGCATGTTTGTGACTTGTCTATGCCAGCCCATCAGCTGACAATGATCAGCTCATGCAGGGTCGAAGGATCCGACTCCTTTTCGTTCCTCGCCTAGAAGCATCTGCCAACATGTAGTGACCCACCAGTGCGCGACAATATTTAGCCAATTCATCAGGCAATAATTCATTACTTAATTCCTTGCTATGTAGCATTCACCTTGGCCTCTTCTCGCTCATCCATCTTCATCTTCATCTTCTGGCCAACCGGCTGCGCCACCCAAACGAAATGGCTTCCTTCAACCTCAAGACGACGCTCTTCCTCACGCCTCTCGTGTCTACCACCTCATCCCTCCTCTTCGCCCACGCCCAAGATTCATTCCTCTCCTACCTCGTCCATCCCACTGTCGGGGCAGCAAACTCGAATGCAATCATCCCGCCATACTGGAGACAATTCTTCGTCCCTGGCTTGACCAAGGTCCTCTCATTTCTCGCCCTGACGGTGGGCTCTTCTGTCGGTTGTGTCTATTGTCACGGGGTCACTCTCAAGGACAGGGGGAGTCGGGCGTGGTACCTCGCGGCGGCAGTCTTGGCCGTCAGCCACTTGGCGTTCGTTCCACTAGTCGCACCCAAGGTTCAGAGGATGGTGGATGACGAGTGCGAAAAATCCGATGCCGAGGCCAACACTGTCCCGGAAGGCAGCAAGTCGAACGTCCAAACGCTGAATGAGTGGTTGCGTTGGAATCTGGTGCGGACATGGACGACGGATACCGCCGCATGGATCTGCGCCGCAGTAGCCGTCACCAAGACCTTGAGCGTTGACTAGGTAAACTACTTGTCACAGTTATCACTGTAGACTCCATCACGCAGGGACTTCCGCAGAGATCATAAAAACATTGTGCATTGGCTAATCACTACCACCCTCCTTATTACATGAGTGGCATACGCTGTACAGTTCTGCTCCCGCTATATCGAAAACATCATCTGAAGCGCCCTTTGTCCTATCAATTGCGATTCGACTCCCTTAGTACCACTCACCACCCAACCAGCGGTTGAAGAAGTCAATGGAAGCGTCGGGCTGGTCCATGGGAACCATGTGGCCGGCCTCGTAGATGCGCATGAAGGTCAAGTTGCCGCTAGTCTTCACCTTGCCATAAGCACCATCCTTGCTGATCTTGTCCTTGGAAAAAGCAAGGTTGAGGTCCTTGAGCTCCGCCTTGGCGAAGTCCTTGTGGCCGGGCCATTCGAGCTTATTGGTCCAGGCCTCGTTGCCAAGCCAGTTGCAGATAAAGTCAACATCACCAGCATAGATGAGAACAGGGAGCTGCTCGAGAATGCCGGGGATAAGCTGGTGGTAGGGCTGCATCCAGTCACCAGCGAACATGAAGTTGCGGTTGATATCAAAGTTGCAGCTGTCGTAGCTGTCAACCTCGGCGCCAACAGCATCACGAACATCCTTCTGGTTCAGGTACTCGGAGATCCAACCCATGGCAGGGTAGCAGAGGTTGGACGAGTCCTCGCAAGGACCACGAATATCGTAGACATTGCGGCCACTGCGCTGGTAGGGGCCCATCATGGCATTGTTGCAGTAGATAGTAGCGGGGACACATGACCAGGCACTGCCCGAGTCGTAGCAGCGCTCAATCAGTGACTGGCAGCGGGGCAGGGCGTCATCCATACCCTGGCACTCGCTCTCGCTGAGAACCGACTTCTGACCACCCTCGCCACAAGCCATGGGGCGGTAGTAGGCGTACTGGGTGTAGGGGTCGCTGAGGCCGTTACCGATGAGGACAGACTTAAGGTTGATGTTGCGGTCCTTGTGCGCAAGGATCTCCGAGGTAAAGACGGGAATGTAGTGACCAGCATACGATTCACCGGCAATGTGGAAGTCCTGCTCCGCATACTCGGGGTACTGGTGGAAGAAGAGGGTGAGAAGAGCATAGACATCCTTGCCGGCGGCAACGGTGTTGCTCACGCTGCTGCCGCTGTACGAGTAGCCGACATTGACGGGCTGGTCAAGGAAGATAACCGAGGCGTTGTTGTTCCAGGAGGCGGGGTTGTGCTCCAGCTCCAGCTTCTTGGTGATGCCCGAAGGGCCGAGCTCAAGGAAGAGACCAGTCAGGGACGAGCAGCCAGGGCCACCGTTGAGCCACAGCACAACGGGGTCGTTCTTGGGGTCGTTGCGGGACTCGAAGAACCCTATTCATCAGTCAGTGAATGTCACGGATATCCAGTGTCAGTCAACGTACAGTAGAAGAGATGCTTGTCTTCCTCCTCGTCATCGAGGTAGCCGCTGTACTGCTTGACATCGTCGACCTTGAGCTTGGAAGGGTCGACCTTCTTGGTCCGGAGGTTGTAGTTCTCAAGCTTGCCGCCAACCATGCGCTGGGAGCCCTTGACGCCGTTGACGCCCATCTTCTGGACGTCGGCACCCTTGACAACATGGTCCCAGTGCGAGTCAGAGCGGCGAGTGGTGGGCTTTGGCTTGGTGGTGCCAAAGGTCTGCTTCTTGATGGAATCGATGGCATCGGGCATGAGCATCGAGACCTCGTCCCAAGCGCCCTTGGCCTCCTTGGTCATCTTGCCAAAGACATCCTCAAGGGAGCTGGCCCAGGACTCGAGAGTGGGAGCCTCAACGTCCAGGAAGGACTGATCAGAGGGGCCGTTGAGGACGACTTGGTCCTGCTGAAAGGCGAGCGCCGTACTGGCGGCGCCCATTACGAGGGCGGAAGATGACATGCGCATTTTGAAGTTGTTCTGGTGAGCAAATGCGATGGTGGAGATGGAAGAAAGAAAGCGGGATATGGGGAGATGGGGGAAGTAGGATGGGGATCTGAGGCGCAAAGCTTCCTTTGGGGCTCGGCGGTGGTCACTGGTCGGTCGGATCAGGCACGGTGCAAGGCACGCAACACTGCAGCCACCCAGTTAGACGTCATGACTTCTCATAAGTCCCTGGGTTGCTGGGGAAGGCCCCAGCGCTCGAGGCTCCCCGATTGGCTACGTGGCAGCGGTGCGCCACATGACCTTGATGGCCCCCTCATGCGAAGCTCTTATCTTATCTTATCGGTGCTCTCTCCGCAAGTCCAGGCTTGGTCTTACAGCGCCCGCATGCGGCCCCTGTTAGCGACGGCCCAGGTGGGAACTGCTCACCCCAGATTGTCCAACACAAGCACAACTCACGAGCGCTTGTTGAACATATAATAGTCACAGAAAAGCCGGACAGCTTGGTAGGTTCAAAGACCGATATACGTTATAGGAAATTCAATGAATAGCGAGTGAGTAAGAGTTACGGACTAACAAACGCCCCGAGCCTTGCTCTTTGAAGGCTGCTCACTGCCCTCCACTAGAGTGCATACCCGAGACAAACCTTGACTTCAGAAGCTCGTCTTGGACTTTTGCTCCGGTCCCTGAGACTCTTCTGTGCTCCTTGCAAGGAACCGCTCAAGGCTCAACTTCTCTCCTGGGGAGACCATTGGAGCTGTGTAGGGTAATCAGCTACCTTACTCGCGGGCAGATTCTACCTAGACAACGGACGGGCTGGTCAACTGCACAGCCCCGCGACGTCAACTTCCTCCCTTCAGTTCTTCACGATAGATATTGCAAATGTCGGGCTGTTTTGTGGCATTTTTCACCCGGCTTGCTAAGATAGTATCGAAATTCAATGCTTATTCACCCGCAAGATGGACACATCCGCGTCGCTTGGGACAGGAGGCAGTGCTAGGAATGCAGCATGCCCTGACAGGCGGCATATCGTTCTGAGCAGTGCCACTTCAAACTCAAAAAAGCAGCAACGCTGAACTCGGGTCTCAGATCTTCGCGCATCGGCTCGTATCAGATTCGAGTCGTTTCGTGGCTCCATGACGCGTCCCCTGCCCGAAGGCTGCTATTTTCCACGCCTCGACTCTGAGACGCAGTGGAGCGAGGAGACAAATGCCGCCCCAACCGGGCCATGCGCCTCTGTCAATGGGCCGTCGTGCACACCACAAAGTCCAGATCTCTGTCTTGTTGGCCTATCAATACTTTGCCCTTACCGTATGTCCACTTTGGAAGCCACCCAGCATGGGCTTTTAGTGCAAGGTGACCGCCCGAATATCCGAGCATTCCCATAATCGATCGTTGCAAAGAAACTCAGATATATATTTTTGCTCTGGGGCTTCAGTTTGTAAAGAACAAACATTTGCCGCTCCTAGAACTCATTTGCAAGGGCTGCATTGTGCACTGTCTCAGACCTCACTCGTTGGTGTTGGGCACTGCATTCCACTCGCTCACTTTGGCTTGTCGTTCTTATCAGTTTCGTTTAGCTTGACATCCTCACCTTCACCCCAACCGAAAGAGAAAGATCACTCCTACGAGGTCACTCGCGCATCGCGATTTTCATCATGGATGGCAGTCACTACAAGCAAGGGGCGATGCCCCCTGCGTACGATGAGGTTCCTATGGCCGCGCCTCATGACACCAACATCCAGAACCGATCGAGGCCAGTGCAGACATCGAAACCATGGTGGAATCCTCGCTACTGGCGCAAGCGAGTTTGGATCGCCATCGCGGTCATTTTGTTGATCATCATTGTTATCGCAGTGGCTGTTGGCGTGACGCAGTCCAAGTCGAACAAGTATCCAGATTATTCCGCATTGTCATACGCCTTGAGCGAGACTTGTAAGCGCATGAGCCCTCGCTTTTTCGGATGCAAGCTGATCTGTCTGTAGATGGGGGCGAGTCGTTCTTTGATAACTTTGATTACTTCACTGGTTACGATCCAAGTAAGGAGAACACCCCATCACTGGTGGCACGGACTCATGCTAACCTTAGCAGCGGCTGGTTTTGTACACTACGTTCCTCGCGCGCAGGCTGAGCAACTGGTACGCCTTTTGACGACTGTCTAGTCATTGTGTTAGTGCTGACCATTGCAGAACCTCACATACGCCTCTTCAGAGACGGCTGTTCTCCGCGTTGACACTTCCGTCGGACCCAACGACGAACCCAATGCTTCCACTGGGCGGTTCTCCGTCCGCGTCACGTCTCGCAAGACCTACGATGATGGCCTCTTCATCTTCGACATCAAACACAGCCCCTTTGGCTGTGGAACCTGGCCTGCTCTGTGGTTGACCAACCCTTACAACTGGCCCGATGATGGCGAGATTGACGTTATGGAGGCCGTGAACCAAGCCGATGATGGCAATCAGATGACCCTCCACACGACCAGTGGTTGCAAAATGAACGTCAAGCGGAAGCAAACCGGCAAGGCGGAGAAAACCAACTGCGATCATGATGCCAATGACAACGCCGGCTGTGGCGTTGCCGACGACAAGGACAGCTACGGCGAGTCCTTCAACGAGAACGAGGGCGGTGTCATGGCAGTCGAGTGGCGGGACGCTGGCATTCGCATCTGGCAATGGGCACGCAGTGCGATCCCCTCGGATATTGCGAGCAAGAAGCCCAACCCGTCGACGTGGGGCACGGCAAACGCCGACTTTCCCGGCACGGACTGCAACATTGGGAACCACTTCCGCAACCAGTCTATTGTGGCCAACATCAACCTCTGCGGGCAGTTGACCGAAGCTTCGTACTCATCGTCCAACTGTAAGTCCATATGCGCGGGCAAACGTATGATCACCCTCTGACATTTATATCAGGCCCAAGCAACTGCACCGATTACGTTGCCAATAACCCTGATGCTTTCAAGAATGCGTTCTGGGAGTTTGGGTCATTCGAGGTGTACCAAGCTTCGTAGATGATGGCCCTCGGTCTTGAACTGGCATTCTTGAGGCAAGGCGTTTGGGGCGGTTGTGTTTATACTGAACCATTAGAGACTATGCGGGAGCGTGGGTAACTTTGAAAAGAACAAGTCTTTCTGATGTCTCTATTCTACCCCCTGCAATTTTGGAGTCTTGACGTGGCCTCTTCCATATCTGTACATCTTTGCAAACCCCCAGTGTAACACATGGCTCGACAATGTGGGTATATAATACACAACTGTACAAAAGCGCTGTCAGCGCACGATACATGACGTACCCAAATCCAAGGTAGATGAGAGAAGCCTTCTGAACGCCCTCTATATGCCCATGTCCCAAACGCCCAATGCCCCGAAAATCATGTTGCTTCTCCCTCCGTCTATGGGAGTTGTGCCTGCGTCCTCCGTCTATTCGTCGCTCGGCTGTCGCATGTACGCATCGATCGCCGCGCTGAATGCCGCAAATGCCACGCACCCGCCCGCTGCTGCCTGCGGGCCTGCGTTCTTCGCCAGGATTCCGCCCGTCAGGCAGCCTGCGGCGACGCCGTTTGCGAGGTCGTTCTTGGCGCGTAGGCCTTCGATACCGCACTCGATGCCGGAGAAGAGCGCGCCGACCTTGCCAAAGTTGCGGGCCATGGAATAGGAGCGCGTGCCCATGTCCTTGAAGCCGAGTTTGAGCTGCTGGCGGAGGGGTAGGCCTTGGAGCGAGTTGCCTGGTGTGCCGGGGCTGCCGTAGGGAGTATCGTAGGACATCTGGTTTCGGTGTTAGAAGCAGGCTCCTCTTCTTGGGGTTGAGGAGGGGAGACGTACGGATGCCATGAACATGCCAAAGAGACCACCCATTCCGAACCCCATTACGCCGGACATGACTGTCTTTCCTGCGCATGACTCCATCGCAGCTTTCATCTGTAGGCGCTCTTGTCAGTGACGCGTTCCTGCGATAGTTGTTATTGGGAGACGTACGGCTTTCACGCCAGGATCGTTGTCCATGCCAGGGACCGCTGGCACCGCTGCGCCAGCGGTTGTGTTACCGCTCATGCCGGGAAAGTTCATCGTGTCGGTTGCGATAGGCGTCGACTCTCGATACGAAAGTGGTGGAAGCGAACGTGGTTCGGCGCGATGCAATGCTGCTGCGATAAAGCGCGATGGGTCCCTGGTTCCCAAGATACGTTCAAATGTTCGCTAATTGCCGTCGAGCTCATATTCCCGAGAACTGGCGAAATATATTTCTGCCACACGTGACCGCCTTCGGCCCCGCCGCCTCCACTAGCGGGCGTGGCGCCCGGCTTGGCGTCCAGGCGCCGGATCTACAACGTCTGCACAAGTTACGTAGCGTGGAAGCCATCGAAGCTCTCATTGAATTCGCAAACCACTACTTTTTGCCTGTGATAAAATGTCCCCAGACGCCATCTGCCAAAGCACCCCAACAGTCTTTGACCCCGTGAGTTCGTAACCCCGAGCTCAAGTGTTCACTAACCTCCAACAACAGTTGTCTCCAGCTTGCTATTCCTAAATGCCCTGACCAGTGTGAAGATGTAAGCGACCCATTGCCTTGCTAGCCTAGAATCAAATTTCAGAGAGCAATAGTAAAATGGTTCTCCTTGTTGTCTTCTCCAACCTCCAGCGTGGCCTTGGTGGTCTTGCTGTCGCATGCATCAACCGTGCTCCTGGAGGACACGGACACCCGCCGATGACTGTCGTCAGAGCAAGACGAGGTCTGACGAGAGAGATGGGCAGAAGCCGATTCAGCAGCCGCCAGAAGTGCATCGAATCCAGACATGGAACCAGTGCCTGTTGTCTTTTCCTGCGAATGGCAATGGCGAGCACTGGTATTGCGGCTCGACCCTAAGACAGACAGCTGCTTTGGATATACCTCCCGTGTAGCGTTTCTGTCCATCTTGGATCTGGGTGATGCCGGGGTGGAGGCCACTCGAGTCGAAGGAACCTTCGAGCCAGACCATGTGCCTCGAATGCTGTGATTGGGCTGCCAAGCATGGGTTTGAGGCCTGAGGAGGGAAGCGAAGGATGGAAGACGAACAGTGTTTGCCCTTCCATACGGTGTTGCCCGCCGAACGGGTGCCAAGGGGAGAGGCACGCGGGCAGAGGATATCGTGCCAGATGCGGCGGCATCGTCAGCGGAGCAACGAGGGACCTTGACACGTGCAGCAGCGCGGGCATTTGCACGATCAGGGCTGGAAAAGTGTACCGGCTTGGGTAAGAGCGCACGGGTGCCGTCTCCCTTGCAGTTCGACTTGTCAGTGTCGTTCGCTATGGAAACAGCAGCTGCGGCAGGTTTCTCCTTTTTGGCGCGCTTGGCGTTCGGGGCATGCTCGATGGGCCTGTCACCTGTTTCCATATTAATGAGTTGTTGCACACTCTTGAGCGAGGGTCACCTACCTCGCTTTCGCATATAATCGATCACATAGTAGCGCGAGCGAGGGGACATACGCCCAGTAACGCAGTTCTGGTAGAAGTGCTCGTCTGCCAATGTCAGTCATGTCCTTGGCTTCATGGCTGAGTCAGACCACAACGTACATATCATCTGCTTGCCGTACTTGCGATGGCCGCGATGACCCAGGTCTTGTTGCATCTGCGCAGCACATTCTCCCCACGACTTCTTTGCAATTGCCGGGTCCAGCCCTTCAGGTGACGTGGGAATCAGCCGGTACCAGAAGTACCTCTCCTCATCCTCTTGCCATGTCTTGCCGCCCATGATGAAGACTGGGACAACACCCCGTGGGATATCTCACACGGATAGAGTCGAAGGTTGTGAAATGTAGGACAATGTATCGATATAGGAAAGGATATGAAGAGTATTTCAATGTGCTTTGAAGAAGGACCGTTCGTTCAACGCCAAGATGAAGTAGAAGCTTTATACCCACGGCCTTGTGCTGCACCACATACAGGGCTATTGTGCATGATTCAATGAAGAGCCAACCTGATAGGAAGAGGCGCCATTCCCCTCAACCCAAAAGAAGGGAGTCGGTGAGGCGGCTCTGTAACAATATAATGCCTCGAGAAGAGAACAGATGGCCAAGCAAACATTCTGTTGAGGTGGTTCATTTGCTCATTGAATCATTGGCACGTGGCAACCCGCTTGTCGTCTCATTCCGTGACCTTTACGTCCCTGGATGAGCCATCGTAGTCTCTCCACGTGATGCACCGGCCCTAGGCAGCAGCAGCAGCAGCAATGACCAAACAATGGAATGAGAACAAATCAATGTTTTCACCGCTCTTAGCCTTCGAATGGGCTCACAGGTTCGTGTGCATCGTAGCCTCGTCCCCGTAGGAAGGCTTCGAGACGATGTTCCAGGCGGGAGAACTAGTCAATCGAGGTCAGCCGGTGAAATTGGGACGACGTGGGCCGGGCAGGTCATTGGCAAAGCTTACAATGCTCTTCTGCTTCAACGGCTTTACTCCATCCTTCACCCATACGCCCCATGCACCCATCATGTTGGCGAGCATCATGTCGGTGGTCAGGCGGTCACCTACGATGGCGACTTGGGACGGGTGCGTCACGCCCGTTTCGGGGTGCTGCTTGAAGTAGTCCATGATCTCTGCGCCGCACCCAGGCTTCTTCACGGCATGGCGAAGCACGGTGATGCCCGTCGCGGATTCAACATCGACAGCCTGAATTCCCCTGCGATCCCAGCTCTTCGCGCCGGCTGTGTTGGAGACAATGAGGAGTTTGCGCCCAGGATACGCCCTCCTCAGCGCCTCGAAATGTTCCTTCGCGGATAGTCAGTCGGATATGCGGGCTTCAGGTTCGCTGAACAAGACCGACCTGATACGGCTGGTACACCTCGTTCGTCTCTGGATAGGCGAAGCAGTCATCCTTGTCCAAGACCACTGCTTTGACCTGCGAATTGTACCCGCTGCTCCGAAACCCCTTATCAAGGGGAATGGGCAACTCGCCAAAGTTCGGCACAGTGTGATGCGGGAGACAGATGCCCGGCTTGAATAAGATCTTTATGACATTGAAAGACGCAGAGACGTTGAAGTTGATCATGATCAATATCAGTATCACATCGGGGTGCTCTGACGAAAAGTGAGATTGAGAATGACCGACCTCATGATTCTGGATTTCTGAGCATCAAATGGCAGCTGACAGGGATGTCTGACTGACGCCACGCTTCAAGCCACCAAGACTGGACCCAGAGCTAGCGCCACGATACTCCTGTCCCTCCGCCGGCGCGTTCTGGACGCGTTCTCGACATTTTACGGAATTCCAACTACCCTGCATCAGCTTCCTCCCTTCCCGCTTACAGTCGTTTGCGCCAACTTCGAAACTCGAGCGAGTGACCTCGGGATCAAGGCAAAATGCCCCCTAGAAAGGCTCACAACCAGTCTCCCATTGTTGTCAACTCTCAATCGCCCCGAAAGCGCAGTCGTTCCGATGCCAACAACGAAACCGAACCCGAGACGCCCTCGAAACGAAGACGTGACGCCCTGGGCACTGACGATATCACAAATGGCGAGATCGACGGTCACCAGCATGAATCAATGACCAATGGATTTGCTGAGCCATTGCCTGCGGAAAAGACACCGACGACGACACCCAGGAAGCGAGGGCGGCCGCCAAAACCCAAGCCGAATGGCGACACGCCCACGCCAAGGACAGCTGGCCCAAAGACACCCTCTAAGCGCAAGAACAACGACGGTGAGGACGAAGATGCCACACCTCGTAGGCAGGCTGGTGCAGATCGATCCGCCCGTCGCAAGTCGGCACGCGCCCTGATCGAGTCGGTCGTTGGCAACGATGATTCTGATGCGGAGCCGGATGGCATAGCGGGAGCAATCTACGACTCAAGTGAAGAGGAAGCGGTGGAAGAGGAAACAGACGGGGATAAGACAGATGCAACACCATCGAAAGATACGCCCAAGAAAAGAGGGAGGAAGAAACGGAACAAGTCACCCACGCCGCCGAGGGATCTACCGTCCCATGAGCTCTACTTCCTACACAACAAGCCAGGGAAACCAAAGACTTCGAACAATACCCTCTCAGCACTGAGTCTTTTGACGCATGATGAATACTTTACCTTGCTACGGGAGCAGACGGACCGACACCAGAGCCAGATCGAGGACCTGGAGGCTTTCCACGCCAAGAGCTTTCCTCAGTGGACGTTTGAGCTCTCGCAGGGCTTCAGCATATGTCTGTATGGGTATGGATCCAAGCGGCCACTTCTGCAGCGATTGGCGAAGCATCTCTACCCAGAGACACCACCGGGCAAAACGCAGCGAATCGTCATTGTCAACGGCTACGCACAGACGACCACGATGAGAGACATCCTCTCCACCCTCGGCCTGGCACTCAACGTGCGCATCCCGGCAGGTCCTCCCCCGAACATGATGCAGGCCTTGCTTGCCAGCCTCGCCTCGGCGCCAGACACCATTCTGACCATTCTCGTCAACTCCATTGACGGGGCGCCCATACGCAAGGCTACGCACCAGACAACGCTGGCGCAACTCGCATCGCATCCCCAGATCCGCCTCATCGCCTCGGCGGACACGCCCGACTTCTCGCTGCTGTGGGACATTGGGCTGCGCTCGGCGTTCAACTTTGCCTTTCACGACGCGACGACCTTTCGCCCCTTTACGGTGGAGCTCGATGTCGTGGACGACGTGCACGAGCTCCTCGGCCGCAAGGCGCGCCGCATCAACGGGCGGGAGGGTGTCTCCTTTGTCCTCAAGTCACTACCCGAGAACGCGCGGAACCTGTTCCAGCTGCTCGTTGGCGAGGTGCTCATCGCGATGGAGGAGGAAGGTGTTGGTGGTGGGGAGGATGTGGGAGTCGAGTATAGGATGATCTACAACAAGGCCGTGGAGGAGTTCATCTGCAGCTCGGAAATGGCTTTTCGAACATTATTGAAAGAGTACGTTTCTCCCTTAACCCCCCTCGAAGTGTGGCACCACAGCTAACTGGTACAGATTCCACGATCATCAGATCATCACGAGTCGAAAGGACGCCATTGGCACGGAACTGCTGAGCGTCCCCTTTGGAAAAGAGGAGCTTGAGGCCATCTTGGAGGACCTCATGTCATGAATAGAAAAGGCATATATAGGCAGTCACCGGCACATGAAGCATAGCGTTGTGGATTTCATCAGGCATTACGTCGTTACACATTGATCATCCGTCTATATCGCGAGGCTCTTCACGCAAGTCCAGAGCACCACCGGCACAATGACATTGTCATTTCCGCCCGTGAGGACCGCCTCCGTGAGACTCGCCATGGTGCCGCACACCGCCGCGTTCCGGGCGCTTTGCAGAACGCCGGCGCGCTCGTCCGCAATGGGCCAGCCCCCGACGCGAAGCCAGATGCTCGCGGCCGCGAGACCAACAAACACGGCCACGGCAAAGGCCAGACTGCCCTCTAGACTCTTGCCGCCTCCCCAGATCCACTTGCGACGCCCGTAGCGACGGCCAATGAGTGACGCTGCGGCGTCGCCCAACCCAACACAGACCACGCCCGACACCATGCTGACTTCTCGAGTCGGCACCTCCCAGCCGGCATTGAAGCCCGACCCTGAGCGTGGCAGCGCCGCCAGAGCAAGCCACAGGGGGATGGCACAACCAATCAGCAGAAAGATGTGGGAGATCACCACCGGGCCGCGAAAGTCCCTGCCATCAACGTACGGTGCCAGGAACGAAGCAATCGGCTTGGATAGAGGTGGGAGTTGGCTGGCTCGCAACAAGTCGAGGCCGAGAAAGATGGCTAGCACAATGGCCAGGACGAGGGCGGCAAAGGTCGGGTCAACAAAGGTGCCTGGCAGCAAGATGCCCACCATCATGAAATGAAACACCTTGCGCCGCGTGTCGACCTCGTAGATGTTCTGGAGCCGGAAGACGACGACCAGTCCGACTATCACGACAAGGGCCCAGTACGCAGCGAGGAGCAGGCGGGTGTTGGCCTCCCCAAAGTCGGTGTGACGAACATGTTGCACCCAGCCCATGTGACACAACTTGTCCTCGTCCTGGGTGCGCTCCGGGAGGCAGATCCAGCGTTCGAGATTGGCATTCACGACCTGGAAGCGGAAGGCGGGCAAGTCGCCGAATAAGTAGCCAAGGGCCCAGCCTATAGGATCTTTGCCCCTGAAAGCAACAAGCTGCATGTGTGTGCGGATGCCTCCAAGGATGACGACACCGAGCATGGAATAGACATGGAGCGCATACAACCACTTTCGAATGACGGCTTGCGTATAAGTCAGCTTCAGGAACGGTCGTAGCGTCACTGATGTCGAACGCTTCTTGCGGCCGGATGATGTGTGTGAGTGGTGAATCTGAGGCGAGTTATCGGCATAGGATAATGTTTGGCTGCGAGCCAGACCACTGGGCTGGAAGCCGCGGCTGTCTGACGGTCGCCCGTCTAACCCTTTCGATGTCGAGTTGAGGGCTGTACCCAAAGTTTGTGTTCGTTTGGGTGCTTTGAACTGGTTGTAGTCGACTTCATCGTCCGAGGTGCCCACGTCGTCCATGCGCGCCTCTCTCATGGAACCAAAGAACTCGCTCTTGATCCTCCGCCACGAGAAGACCTTTGATAGTTCCTTCCACAGAGGCCGATGGCCGTGTCCAGGCACCTTGCGAAATCGCCATTTGGGCACCCTGGCCAGGATGATGCCTGACCTGATGACACCACTGCACGTCACGAGCATGCCAAGCCCACCAACCCACAGCAAGGATTTGAGGACGTAGATCTGGGGTGAGGACGCCAGAATCAGGACGTTGATCAGCGCAACGGAGAATAGCTGCAGCTCTGCGGTGAGCAGGCTGGTAGTGGTGAGATGGTGCAAGACGACGCAGAGCGTCTGGTGGAGCGGGTATAACAGCACCATCTCCTCGTTGGAGACAAAAGCATGAGTTCCTGCGACGCGAACGGCATTCTGACGGGATGCGCTCCACACGAGAGGCAGGCAAGTCAGGGCCCAGTGTACGGAGTCGTAGGCCGATTCAAGCTCAAACTTTGGTATAATCTGCTGCGGCCAGGTGCAGATGCTGAGGATCATGTTGGGGAGGATCACGGCGGGATTGTCGGTTGCCACCAGCAGCGAGACGCACAATGTGACGGCTGGCGGCCAGAGAATCGGCGCAGGGTCGAAGTTCGCAGGTAGTCGTAGAGGAATGGATCTCGTCGGGTTCCGCTTCCTGTAGCCCCAAATGGCAACGCGCACGGGGTACACGGCAAGCAAACTTGTGTAAATCAACCCCAGCAATTCAAAGTCTCGATGGTCAGTAAAACGTAGGGTTCGTTCAGGCGTTCTCGGGTGCTCACCTCGCTTCCACGTCTTGACCAGCGGCTGAACCTGCTCATTGGCCATGACTATCCAGCTCAGGCAAGTGACAATGCCAGCCTCGGTGGCGCGCTGCGTCAAGTTCTTGTTGCGCCGGACCGCCCCCAGTATCCGGCTCCCCAGTGCCTGCTGCCGCGCGACGGGTTGGGATGTGTAATCTTTGGCCTCCTTTCCCGTCCATGTCGGCGAGGGCATGGGCGACGGTGTGCCCGACAAATGCTCATTCTGACCCCTCAGCCCCTTATGCAGTTTGGTCTTGGGGGCTGGCAGCCCCTTGAGAAAGTGCTCGTCGTCCGCCTCGGTGCCACTGTCGCTCCCGGGGGAGGACTCCTTGTACGCGTCTGCTATCGACCGGGGCGACTTGATCGTTCCATTTCCACAGTTTGGTCTTGGGCGCAGCGACTCGTTCGCACTGCGCACGTCGAAGCGGTCGGCGGCATAGGGGAGGTGCTCGCTCTGGTGGTGGTACGGGTGCGGTGTGCGGTTCAGCGCGCGCAGGCTATCCTGCTCATCGGGGTCGGGCGGCTTCAGCGAGTCGGTGCTGAGATTTTCGGGCATGACCTCGGCCTTGTATTACCTGTCCTGAATCATGGGAGCCGTGAAGCAGGATGGCTCGGACACGCGTCTGTGGGGGTTTGACGTTACAGGGCTAATTAATGGGGATTGGATTCTCGGGTGAGATATGGAGGGGTGGTGATTGGTGCCAGATGGAGGGCCTGGATAAGGTAGCGATTGAACGTTGGCGAGAGAGGCGGATGGCGAGGGAGAAATCAATGGCCAGTGAATACTGAGTCGGACTAGGAGAATCAAGTGGAAGTGAACAGGCTTTGCAGAAATTGTCAATGCATTCCATGGTCCCGTCGGGACATTCATTACCTTACCTTCATTATCACATGAAAGTGCGGCTCACTTGTTGGTCGCTGGGGTCCATGCCGTGTCGTTGGGGCGCAAGCTTCCAGTCTTTCCCGCAGCACCTTTCGACTTTATTCACTGGAGCATCGGCAAATCGTGTTCAGACATACGAGACATCACAATGTCAATGTTTCTTTCCTTTTTTCTGCATATCAAAATTCAAAAGACTATCGATGGATTGTCTGTGCTGACTTTGCTTGACTGTAGGCTGTAGCAGGGCCCAACGCTGATCCCGTATCCGTACGTACCACAGATTCACAGCGCCGACTGAACAAGGCGACAACGCGTGTCTGCCAAGTTCACCACCAACAGACATCGATGCAGACCGCAAAACTGGGCATCTGCATGGAGGATTATCACTGCGGTCGCGACATGAAAGCTGCGATCATGTGGACCATGTGCCACGCTGAGTACTTTGGAAACTCGAGGTGAGTTCTGAGGAGCTTCAAGCTGTTGAGGCCCCGCCATCTATTTGTGCCGGTCCTGTCCGTAGCTCAGGACCGCGAGATACCAGCCACCATCAAATGCTGCTAGTGAGGGGGAGCTTGGCTAGGTAATTAGCCTTTGCGGAACATTTCAGCTACTAGCTGTCGAGAATGGCTTCTCGACCTCGAGGGGTTCCCACGCCAGCGACGGCGCCGCGTAAAAGTCAATACAACTTCTCGTGACTCTCAGGTGGTGGTGTCGGATCAAACCCGTGAGAACACCACCTTCAGGTTCGTTTCACCTTGCGTCGACCAGGCGCCGAGTGGGTGTCGCCTTCGATACGCACAGCTACTGCATGCTGCTGCGCGCTTGTGCTGCGTGGGATACTGGGTGGTCAGATAGCGTGAAAGTTTGTATCTGGAGATTCGCCATGACGAGGCGTGCCTCGTGTCCACTGTCATCGTCCATGGTGGAAGAGAAAGTTCCGGCACCACGAATAGTACGTAATAATCAATAGTGGCAGAGGGCGCGGATAGCTCGAGTGGAATACCTTTGTCTCCAGACGCCAAGATAGGTGTTGAACGGCTGGAACGATTGGAACAATTGGAACCACTCGTGCCACAGAGGCTCAGCCTTGGCCCGACCGGAGCCTGCTGCGGCGTGGAACCGAGCAGTGGACCCTTGGCCTTGGGTGACGATGATGATGATGATTGATGCGTGGGTACGGATACTGACTACTGAGTGCCTACAGGCTACAGGCAGTACGTGCAGATAGAGCGCTGGCAGGGTTTCGAGCGTCAAATCCGATTCGATTTATTGGCGGCTTGTGTCCAAGGTGAGACGTTGTTTCCAACAATCTCAGGTCACAAGCCATCTTGAGTCTCCCAGATCCCCAAGGCGATCGTGGAATGGGCCAGGCAATAGCTTTCATCATGTCGCTATTCTGGGCGCCGTATAGCAGCTACGTAGATGCAAACGGCAACGGCACCGCAGCCGGTCCAAAACCTCGTATCAAGATGGTTCAGGTCGAAATCCGGTTCTTGGCTGACGGCGACACGGCGAATTTGCCCAGCCGGATGCGCTCATGGCGTCCAAGGTGCGTTGCCACTCCACCACCTCTTGTGGGCTTGGCCTGGACTTCGATATCACTTCTGGGCATTTTCTCCTCCGCCGCCGCCAGCCTCACCACACCTCAACTTACCAGCTTTGCATGGCTTGACTTGGCACTGCCATTGTTTCTCCTTTTCCTTTCTCTTTCCCTTCTACTCTTGTCCTCCATCTCCAGTTTCCAACATTCTTGCTTGCCTGTCTAGCATCGTACCTGTTTGCTGGACGAGCCCTCAGACCCAACCTTCTAGCTTCCTTCAGTGCAAACACCAAGCTCGGTCACCTCATCTTACCAACATCGACGTTACACTCATATTCACCGTCAAGCAGCCAGCCTCGCCGGCTGCTATCCCGTGTCGGTCTCCTTAGAGGCTGCCGAGACACCAGAACCACCCCGTCCCTCGTTGCAATGGCACCTCAGTCATTACTTCCATGCGATGAGAAGGCACCACTCCCTCACAACGATGCATCCACTGTATCGCCGAGACAACGAGACGACAAGAAAAGCCAACGATGTCGCCTTCTCACCGTAGGATTGGTCGTTCTATTCGCCTTGGGGATGGTTGCCAACTGCTGCGCCAACAAAGAGCAGCTGTGGAGGCACGGGCAGCAATTGGCGGCGGAGAACCGGGAGACGCAAGCGGCAGAGCCTCAGAAAGACACCGTCTTGGTTGCGATTACCGAAGAGGAGGCTCTAGAGCCCATCAGGATTCACAGGCGCCAGAACGACGGGGTTGGTGGCACCCCCATCCCATCTGCCAGCGAGGGTAACGTCACTGGACCCCAGGAGCCTACTACCTCGGACCAGGTGGCTGATCTGCCCTCAACAACGCAAGGGTCTGAGCCTCCTGCAGTCACGACGACAGGTATGGGTTCACCCCCCACAGGACCATGTTAGATGGAGCTAACATGCCCACAGCAATCACTACTACGACTGTCCAAGTTCCCACCGAGACGACTACAGCTGATCCCACGACTTCAGAGGTGGTGCCAGACACGTCCACCACGGAGCTCCCTCCCCCCGACACAACAACCACCACTACGCAACCCGAAAGCACATCGGACGCCGAGACCACGACGACCGAAACAAGCGACGCTCCCCAGGAAACGACAACGAAGCAGACGACGACGACCACAATTGGTATGTCCACCACCGAGGACGTCCCCTCCTCGACCTCTCCTATTCCTCCCACATCCACTGCGCCAGAGTCCACGTCTACCCCCAGTAGGTCTCCGCCGGAATCTCCCTCTGCCCCTTCCACTGCGCCTTCCTCTGCGCCCAGCACGGATACGCCATCTACATCCCAGGACGCCACGTCCACTGCTCCAAGTAGGTCTCCGTCGGGACAGTCCCATGTTCCGTCCGCGTCACCTAGCTCTGAACTGCCCACCGTGATCGACTCTGTCATTGTTTCTCTCTCCACTTCCCAAGTCCGTACTACGGACACCTCAGTTGAGACCTCGCTTGAGACCACATCGAGAACTCTCGGTATGTTCGACCGCGACCTCGCCATGGTTTCAGCTGCTTCTGCGCTCCTTTTTTGTGTTTGCCATTGCTCTGCTTTTTCCCTTCGCCAGGAACGACCTATTCATTCCCACGCCTTGACTTGATATGCAACTCACAAACTGCAAGAACCCGTGCTGACAGTCAAAAAGCAGAGGACACGACGACGACTACTACCACCACCACAAAAGAGAAGGCCTCGACCACCACCACAGAGGCGGAGTCGAGCACAACCACCGATGATGGCAAGGATGAGCCAACGTCGAGTCCCGTGAAGACGACGATCACATCGACCAAGGAAGGTGGCAGCGTCACTACCATCACATCGACTTCTTGGGTGGAGGTGGACCCCACCTCGGCGCCTGATAACAGCGACGACGAGTCCGATCCCGACCTGCAGAATGCCGGCGTGGCCAAGAACCCGGCGCTGGCCATGGTCGTTGGCCTCGCTGCGGCAGCTTTCCTCCTTTCATGATGCGCGGGAGCCCACTCTCAGGATATGAATTATGCCTCTCCTAGTGTCTATGGGTCAAAAGAATAATAGACGGGCCACAGTATACGGTCCATTCGGGAAAGGAGACACATATGGGATATAGCATTACACGGCGTTCTGGGGGACTAGCCTCATTTTGCAATGAATTTACATGGACATGGATTTGCATACTGAGCTCGCAACGGTTCTTCACGTGGTCATGTGGGCGTAGCCATATCCTCATCGAGCATCTGCCGCGCTCAGCAGGTAGTAGAAGGCTGCGCCTCTGTTTGGAATCCGTTGTACGGCCACTCCCAGCTCAAGTCGCCTGTGAGGATCGGCGACAGAATCTGAAGGGGAGTAGTAAACCGATGTGACTTTAGCCTGATCAATGGTCCATGAATTGCAAAAATTCTCATAAAGCATGTATGTATCCTGGGTATAAACTTCGCCGCAACGCCTTGCACCGCACGAGCCACCTAGCCAGGTCCAATCTTGGGCATGTCGTGATGCTCGCTGAGCTTGGACAAGTACGTGTTCAGCTCCTCCACGCGCTCCTTGTGTGTTTTCATGAGCTCCGGTCGCGAGCCCTCTTGTTCCGCCATCTTGAGCAACTGCAACGTCTTGTCAGCATTCGCCTGCGCCGCCGGGGGCCAGAGAAAACGTACCCTTTTCCTTTTGAACTCCTCGTACCGAAGCTCAGCTGCTGTCTTCCGCGACTCTGGCGTGCTGTCTTCTTCTTTGGTTGTGCGATCGTCTTCCGCGGTGGGCGACTGGTCCTGCCTCGCTATCGATTTCGCATCGCTCTCTTCGGACGGTGCCGTGAGGTTCTTCTCGAGATCGGGCTTCTTGCTCTTCTTCTTTTTCTTCTTCTCGACCTTGGCGCCTTTCAGTTTCAATGCGCCGCCGCCGACAGGCACGTAGTCGTCTGCAGGCATGATGTGTGTGGAAGAGAAGCGGATGAGTCTCGAGATTGAATTGCTGGCAGAGGATCGGCTTGCGGCGGCAGTCAATCTGATTATGTAATCTGTCTAGGGTAGGCATCTTATCCCTGACCTGAACAGGCGGTGCCAGCCGAAGAGCAAGGGGTTCAGTCCTGCATTGAACCCCCAGTGTTAGGTTGCTCTGCGTTTGCATTCCGGTAATTTTCTGAGCATCCCCTTTTTTTCCCACGGTCTTTGGATTGTCAACAATCAGTGTGTGTAAAGGCACTATATCGACATACACGCTTCCACCCCAAATCATTTCATCTGCTCACGACAACCTCCTGATCGAACCACAAGCGTTGACGTCACACGCCCGAGCCTCGACCCGTACCGCCATGGGCGTCCAAGCTCAATAACGACCCGTCAATAACAAATTCCCCCCCCTTTTTCTCCCGCCTGTGCGCAGCAGGAGGTCATAAGGAGAGCCATGGCGCGCGATTCGCTGGAGCTGGCCTCGCTGGCCTCCTCGAGCCAGCTCAACGACCAGACCGCCGACGACGTTTCCTCGCGCCCAAGCATCGGCTCCTCGCGTCGTCTGTCCCTCATAGAAGAGGATCCCTTACATCCCTCCGACTACGAGTCCGGTCGAGGGCGCATGAACCGATCGTACAGCGTGTCGTCAGCCTTTGACTTTGCGGCCAACATGTTCCCTTTGAGCTCAACGGCTGCTGGTGGTGGGAGCGGATATGCGCCTCTGGGAGCGCCGACGGCGAATGGCGGCGTGGAGAGTTTGGAAAAACACAAGACGCTGACATACCTCAATGGGCTGAGTCTCATCATTGGTCTTGTCATTGGGTCCGGCATCTTCTCGAGTCCTAGTCAGGTGGGAAGCCAGGTCGGGTCCCCTGGTGCCGCGCTGGTCGTCTGGGTTTTCGCCGGCATCCTGGTCTGGACGGGCGCGTCCTCGTACGCCGAGCTCGGCGGTGCGATACCCCTTAACGGGGGCTCGCAGGTGTATCTGGCCAAGACATTTGGGGAGCTGACGGGGTTCCTGTTCACGTGGGTGGCTGTCCTGGTGCTGAAGCCGGGCAGCGCGGCGATCATTGCGATCATCATGGGAGAGTACTTTGCGAGGGCGTTCATCGGCGCGGATGCGGAAACCATGAATCCGTGGGTGAGCAAGGGGGTGGCTTTGGTGGGACTGGTCCTTGTCACGTCCCTCAACTGTGTGTCGACCAAGATGGGCACGCGAGCGAATGACATGCTCATGTTCCTCAAATTCTTCGCCCTGCTGGGTGTTGCGGTGATTGGTATCATCGTGGCGGCCACCGGCATCTCGTACAAGGGCGACGCGCACGACGACTGGAAGAAGACGGGGTGGTTCGACAACACGAGCTCGGACCTGTCTCACTGGGCTGTGGCGCTGTACGGTGGTCTGTGGGCCTACGATGGCTGGGACAATGTATGTTTCTTTGGCGAGCCGGCTGCGAGATGTGCTAATGCTTGCAGACGAATTATGTGGTGGGCGAGTTTCGCAACCCGCAACGCGACCTGCCCCGGGTGATCAACACGGCCATGCCGCTGGTCATCATTTTCTACGTGTTGGCAAACGTGGCGTACTTTCTGGTGTTGCCGCTCGACAAAGTCAACAGTTCCAACACCGTAGCGGTGGCCTTTGGCTCGCAGGTGTTTGGGCCCGTTGGCGCGCTCATCTTCGCGCTCATTGTGAGCGCGAGTTGCTTTGGCGCCCTCAACTCGTCGACGTTCACGTCGAGCCGCCTCATCTACGTAGCCGGCAAGGAGAGTTACTTTCCCGAGATTTTCGGCACGCTGGGTGTCGGGAATGCCGACCGGCAGAGCCTCAACACGCAACACACTCGAAGCTGGGCCACCAAGAAGCTGAGTGCGCTGGTGGGCGACGGAGACGCGGGGTTGTTCTACACGCCCATCTACGCGCTGCTCCTGAACGGCGTCCTGACCGCGCTCTACTGCATTGTGGGCGAGTTCAGCACCCTCGTCACCTTTTACGGTGTGGCCGGCTACATCTTTTACTTCTTGACCGTTCTGGGCGTCATTGTGCTGCGCTATAAGGAGCCAAACCTCGAGAGGCCGTACAAGACATGGATCACGACACCAATCATCTTCTGCTGCGTCAGCCTGTTTCTGCTGAGCAAGGCTGTGTTTGCGGAACCCATACAGACGCTCATCGTGCTGGCGTTTATCGTTGTGGGCATCCCTGTGTACTACTGGCGGGTGAAGGGACGGGATCGCCCGCTCAAGAGGGAGGATGCCGGCGACGGCCAGCCCTGGTGGAAGTTCTGGAAATGAGCAGGCAGAACAAGCTGTACAATTCAAGCGTTGAGTGAACAAGCAGCGTGCATTGTCCCGGAGGGAATAGATGTCAAGTAACGACAAATGAGCTCATGATTCATGACGATGGCTAACATGCTAAATGTACAATGTACCTTCACTCTGCTGACTCTCCCCTAACCCCTTATTTCTTCTCACGCTGACCGTACGCCTTGGTGGCATAGTCGCCGTTGTGCACAATCAGGTCCTCAGGCCTGTAGTCGTGCTTGCCGCTGAAGTAGCTCTGGAGGATGGCCTTTGTGCCGTCGGCGTACCTCTTCTGGGCATCGAGCGACGTGCCGGACATGTGCGGCACCATGGCGTTGCCGCCGCCAAAGGGATTCTTGGCGTAGCGCAGAGGGTGGTCCTGGGGCGCGGGCTGGGGGAACCAGACGTCGCCACCGTAGCCGGCGAGGTGGCCGCTCTTGAGGGCCTCGGCAACGTCCTCCTTGACGACGATGGCGCCGCGGGCGGTGTTGATGAGGTAGGAGCCCTTCTTCATCTTGGCGATGAGATCCTTGTTGAAGAGACCCTTTGTCTTCTCGTGGAGGGGGCAGTTGATGGTGACAACGTCGCACTGGGCGAGGAGGTCCTCGAGGGTGTCGACGCGGCGGGCGCCAATCTCCTTCTCGACCTCGGGCTTGAGGGGCTGGTAGTCAAAGTAGAGGAGCTCCTTGCAGTCAAAGGCCTTGAGGCGGCGGAGGACGCGCTCGCCGATGCGGCCGACGGCGACGGTGCCGACGACCTTGCCCTCGAGGTCGTACTCCTGCTTGGCGGAGGCGGCCACGTCCCACTCGCCGCGCTCAATCTGCTCGTGGGCGGGGACAAAGTTGCGGATGAGGACAAGAATGGTCATGACGACGTGCTCGGCGACGGAGACGACGTTGGAGCCGGTGACCTCGGCGACGGTGATGCCGCCGTTGGTGGTGTTGGCGGCGTTGAGGTCGACGTGGTCGGAGCCGATGCCGGCCGTGACGGCGATCTTGAGCTTCTTGGCCTTGGCGAGGCGCTCGGCGGTCAGGTAGCCCGGGTGAAAGGGGGTGGTGATGATGACCTCTGCGTCGACGAGCTCCTTGTCGAACGTGCTGTTCTCGCCCTCCTTGTCCGAGGTGGTGACGAGCGTGTGGCCTTGGTCCTCGAGCCACTTGCGGATGCCGAGCTCATTCTCGGTGGTACCGAGGAGACCGGGGACCTTGTCATTGTTAGCTTGTATTCGGGTCTGTATTCGGGCCAGAATGGAGGTTCTCGTAAAAGTTCCTCGTAGAGTTTCTCGTGAAGCTGAATTGTGTATGTGGTGATAAGGGGGTGAGGCAGGTGAGGTCATGTCCGATCGACTGCCCCGCTCCTTCCCCGCATAATCCCACTTCTCGGGCTGCAGCGACAGGGAAGGTGCGTGACGCGTCCCAAAAAGGCAATGGCGCAGAGAGCTCATCGTGATGTTCTGGGTCGCTTCGGATTTGGGCATCGTCACATTGTCTTGTCTTGGTCGGATGGGTGGAGGGCTCAGAGTCAGGAAGGAGAGAAAGGCACACGTACGTCCTTGGCGTGCTGGCCGCCGTCGTAGAGAACGAGAAGAACCTTGACCTGGGACTGGTTAGCTTGCCGGTACTGTACTGCCCCGTGTTGTAAGTGCAGCTCACCATGATTGCGGTTGTGTATATATGACTGAGAGCGAGATAAGGTTTGGGTGATGAATGAATATCGTAGCAGGATCAAAGAATGCCAGCCGTGAAGCGAATGCAATCCTTATATACCCTCCAATGGCTCTGGAACTTCCCCTCTTCAATACGTACGTAACGAGCCGTTCGTACCGTGCATCTAAGCGTTGCGTGTGCGTCGCAACGGGACACTTTCGGAGAGTCAACTTGCTCGCTGCTAGACTAGTAACCGCCTTCCCCTCATCCGGTGCACGATTTCAATACCCTCGTACCACTTGCTCCGCGTTGCACAGTGTTGGCGACGAACAGAAGCGCGTGGTCGATGTGCCGGGTCATGCAGGACATTTCTCGGTGTTCGGAGTCGCCATGTCGGGTGGGGCATTGTGTCTCCTCCACACGGACGGAACAAATCAAACGGATGCAGTGATGGAACAAATGCCCCTTCTAGAGCTCGGTATGTTTTCGGAAGAGGCAGTTATTCGGGGTTCTAGTCTAGTCTATTCTGGTCTAAAGTATGACAGTGCGAGGCGGGCAGAGACGGGAATACCCCGATCTTTGCAGATGCTCGAGATGGTGTGGTACGATGCCGGCGCCTACTGCGGCTGGGGCACCATTGATTATACAAGTAAGCTGTTGAACCATCCATATTTCCCCTCACGTTTCATGATCTACGCTGTACATAGGATCTGTGCTACTCTGAATCTATTTCACCAGCCTCTTGATGATATCTTCATTTTCGGCTCTGGGAGGCGACTCCTGCAGCCAACACATTTTTGGCAGACGCATCATCAGTACCCGCCGTTACGCTGACCCAGTTCCAGATCTCCATACTGAACACATTATGACACAAGCATTGTATTACGTCTCATCTCCTCGACCGTGGAGAAGTTGCAACAGTGGCAAGGCCTAAGATTCGATCAAAGCTCCTGGTCACCACTTCTTGTACATATCGGCAACATTGACTAGAAATACAACGCAGCCAGCAAGTAATGACTCAAAGCAGTATCAAATATTGGCGATGTCCCCTGGTTATGCTTTACCACAGTCGACATCGACGAAACTCGCCATGTCCAAGTCCTGCTACTTTGGGCTGCCCCGCTCCAGTCAGTGCCAGTGTCTCTCACTCCGAGTCCTCGCCGAAAGTCCGATTCGAGAGCGGCAGATTTCACAGAATAACAAGACGATCACGAGTGGAGAAAAGAGTCAATAAATAGAAGTGTCAATATAGCAAGTCGCTTGTGGTATCATAATTGAACGCTTTCCATGTCGATGCTTTCCTCCATTCACAGTCCCCGGACCTCCGAGTCCGGGTGGGGCCGATGAGCCGTCTTGGCACCCGGCGCTGGCCCATCCACTACCAGAGAGCTTCCCCCATGAACGTGGTGTCCGCCTGGTCAAACTCATAATCCAACCACTCGGGAACCTCATCTTCATCATTAGGACCCTCGTGGTCGGACTTGTCCTGACCATCCTCACCGTCATGGCCGAGTTCCACGACGGCAGCGCTGTCCGCGTCGACACTGTAGGAGTGGATGTGCTTCTCCCCACTCTGGTACGCCATGATCTGGACGCCAGCAGGTGCTTCGGCTCTCAGTGCGTCGTATGTATCGCACATTCGACGATAGAGTCGGCTCTCGTTCCGCAACTGGGCCGCCATCAGCATCGGTCCGCCCCGCAGACGCGGCCAGATGCTGGTGTCAAAGGTAAAGGTCTGCAGGTTGGGCAGCAGACCGAAGCAATCCAAGACCATGTGATTTTCAAACTGATCCCAGCCCAACTTATACCAAAACTTCTCCGAGTCGTCCATCGTAGAGGCCGAGAAGTACTCGTTGGCGTAGGTCACCCGGACGTCCGTGATGAGACCGCGACAATGAGAGGGGGCCTTGTCCAGAAACGCGTTCAGGGCTCCCGAGTTTAGAAATTCAAATGTGGGAATCTCCCACAGCATTTGCCAGTAGAGACGGTACCTGAAACTTAATTAGTATTTTTGCCTTTGTGCGCGGACGGGAAATTTTGAGTTTGAAGGAGGCAGACTTACGCTTTGGTACACGTCCTGAGAAACGCAGCAAAGGCGCCAAAGTCGCCACGGTAGTCGCCAAACTGCCCTGGAAGGACGTGACAGATGTCACGCGTTCCCATGGCTTGGACCCTATAGAGATCTGGCTTCTCCATGTAGGTCAGGTGGCACGGGGGCTTGGTCCAGTCGACGGGCCCCCTCTCCCGGCAGTAGGGGTAGACGTGGTGCCGGGACTTGGAGTGAACTTTACCGGCACTGTCGAACCTGAGCTGATCTGCGGGATCCAGGATGCTGTAGACGATCTGGTTGAGGATCTCCGCTGGCAGGGCGAAGAGGGGCGACTGGCGCTGTTGGTCGTGCTTGGTATACTCCATTGTAAGAGAGGTTGACAAGGAATGAAGTAGAAGAAGTGATAGGAGAGAATCTTGATGATGATATCTTGATCGGTATCCGTAGTCAGGGTATTGGAGAAGTAAGAAGGGATGGATCTCATCCTGAAGCAGCAGTCCCGTTTTTATATCTTTCCAGAAGCTTGGTTTAACTTTTTTTTTTTTGGCAAGGTTTAGTTCAGGGACATAAGCTTTGCAAACATGGACTAAAAGAACCTTAGAATTAAATAGAGACTTTCAAGCATTTTTAGCGGGAGGAGTCGCGTCAGGGGTCCAGATCGGACCACACCTTCGTGTCCATTAGATACCACAGTTTTCCTCATTGGGACCAGATTATTGTTACCTGATGCTAGCCTGACTATCAGGATGTCCTGAAGAAAGCTTTGGGTCCCAATAGGTGTCAATTGAAGAGGTGTGTGTAATGAATCCAAGAGGAGAGTTGCCCCCCTCTCAGCTAAGTAAGCTAAATACAATAATAATGCCTCAGCGATGCTCCTTCTCTGGCCCGGTTGGGCCGGGCAGGAAGCCACCTTTTGTCCTGGGCAGTGTCTTTTCCATGAACTATCTTCAGTGTTCAAGATTCCCAGGGACCAGAGTGCTTTGATCCCAACTTAGATACGACCAAGGACGCTGAGCCCTGATCAGCAGAAATTACCAGGTGTGTCAGCTCGAGTATCCAAAGTCTGGGGGTATTGTTTCTACAAAATTAGTTTTCTCACATTTTCGCATGTTATCTTTGATGAGGGCTGATCACAGATGGATGGTCCATGACTATTCCAATGTTGGCGGTGATACCAGACCTCCCCTTGAATATGGCTCCCAGATTATATCCATCTACTCATTCGACTTTCACGGCCCTCTCCATGTCCACTAATTTATATACATCTTTTAGCAGGATTACAATACCCAGAAAAGATATATGTCTTCCACCACCGTGACGTGAACCAAGTGGGTCCCCTTCGAGCGATCCGGTCTCTGTACGCGTATTCACGTCTAGTCTGTTAAACCCTCGGAAATCCGAGATGCGTCAAAACTTGACGCGTAATGTACCTCCAGTCCCATATAGCAACCCCAGACTCCTTTTCTAGGATCTTTTAGATGTCGCTTCTGTAACCAGAACCATCAATCGCTCAACATGTCGTCAACTGAGCAGCCCAAAACGGGCCGCAGCCCAATATTCGCGCGCGTCCTTGAACACACCGGCCTACGAACCCTGTATCACTCATCCATCGACGTCAAACTCCTCTGCATCCAGCGTTTTGTGCGTCTCTTTGCCTATGGCGCATCCACGCTGGTCCTAGTGTCTTTCCTCCGGGAGCTGGACATTTCGCAGACCCATATCGGCCTGTTCATGACCTTGACTCTCTTTGGCGATGTCGGTATCAGCTTTGTGCTCGCCTGCTTCGCGGACGGTATCGGGCGCAAGTGGATTCTGACGCTAGGCGCCGTGCTCATGGTAGCAAGTGGCGTCGTCTTTGCTCTCTCGAGCTCATTCTGGATTCTTCTGTGCGCGGCTGTCTTTGGTGTCATCAGTCCCAGGTAGGAAAAGCTGACGCCCAGAAGACTGCCTAGCTTGACTAACGACAAAACCAGTGGCAATGAGATTGGGCCGTTCCGCGCGGTCGAGGAGAGCACGATTGCGCACATTGTCACGCCCGAGCAGAGGGGTGATATCTACGCCTGGTACAGCCTGACGGGCAGCGCAGGCTCGGCGTTTGGGACCATGACGTGCGGCTGGCTGCTGGAGGTTGCTTTTGCCAAACTTGACTGGGAGAGGGTCGACGTGTATCGCCTCGCGTTCTGTGCCTACGGCTGTCTTGGCCTCATCAAGGCTGCGCTTGCCTTGATGCTGAGCCCAGCCGTGGAGTTGGAGCCCAGCAAGCCTTCGACCAGCGACCAAGAGCAAGCCCCCTTGTTGCGAGACAGCGCTGCTCCGCAGGCACCTGCTAAGAAGTCCCTGCTCCCGAATCTGAGTGGTCGGGGTATGCGCACCGTCATCACTCTTTGCTTCTTGTTTGCGTTGGACTCGTTTGCGTCCGGGCTAGTGCCACTGTAAGTCGAATCTTCTGTCAATTATCTCTTTCATGCTAACTGCCGCAGCTCATGGATCATGTACTACTTCAAGTCGCGTTTCGGACTGCAGGAGGGACGGCTGGGTTCTGTTTTCTTCACGACCGCCATTATTGCCGCAGGCTCAACCCTCGTTGCCGCGTCACTCGCCAAACGTCTGGGCAACGTGCCGACCATGGTCTTCACGCACATCCCTTCTGCCATCTTCCTCGCTCTGATCCCCATTCCGAGCTCGCTGCAGGGGTCTCTCACCTTCCTCATCCTGAGGTCCTGCATCCAGTCCATGGATGTTGCGCCTCGCTCCGCATTCCTGGCAGCCATTCTACGCCCCGAGGAGAGGACGATGAGTATGGGCCTCATCAATGTCGTCAAGACCACAGCAACGAGTGTTGGACCGTCCATCACGGGCGTGCTAGCAGGCAAGGGCATGTTCTGGATCTCGTTTTTGGCGGCAGGTAGTCTGAAGGTCATTTACGACTTGGGACTGCTCGCCCTGTTCAAGAACCACGAGCGGCACGACGCTGATAGGAGGAGGGCAGGCGAGGGCGAGGATGAAGCGGCATAAGGTAGGCTTGAAACCAGTAGGGTAGCCAAAACCGCTGCAATGCAAATAGACGTTGTCATGGTGCCTGGAAATGTGGGGCGCATCGATCGTCGTCATGCGGGCGCCGTGTCACGAGCGAGACAGACGGACGGACTTCCGATAACGCGGCTGACCAAAAGTACCTTGCCCACGGGGAGCTTCCCTCCATCCCTCTGTAACCCCAATCCGATCCCATTCCCCCTTCTTCCCTCTCATTGTATCCTCCAGAATCCTCGCCATGACCCGCCGTACACCCAGCGCGCACTCGTCGCACGCTAACCTCCACAGCGCCATGCTCGCCCACCGCCTACACGAGCCCACCCCAGCCATGCCCACCAGCCGCCGCGAGGTCGTCGAGTCCTCCAAGCCCGAGGCGTTTACCAAGCCCTTTACCGACTTCCTCGAGGAGAACCCGACCATCTTCCACGTCGTCGAGTACAGCAAGCGCAAGCTCGAGGCCAAGGGGTACAAGGAGCTGCCCTCGCGCGAGGCGTGGAAGCTCGAGGCCGGGGGCAAGTACTACACCACCCGCAACGGCAGCGCCGTCATCGCCTTTGCCGTCGGCAAGGCGTACAAGCCGGGCAATGGCGTCGCCATGATCGCCGGCCACATTGACGCCCTCACCGCCAAGCTCAAGCCCGTCAGCAAGAAGCCCAACAAGGCGGGCTACCTGCAGCTCGGCGTCGCGCCCTACGCCGGTGGCCTCAACGCCACCTGGTGGGATCGTGACCTCGCCATCGGTGGGCGTGTGGTCGTGCGCGACGTCGAGACGGGCAAGACGAGCACCAAGCTCGTCAAGCTCGGCTGGCCGATTGCCAAGATCCCCACGCTGGCGCCTCACTTTGGCGTCGGCATGATGGGCACCAACAACGCCGAGACCCAGGCCGTGCCCATCATCGGCCTCGAGGGCCCCAACGACGCCGTCGAGGCCCTCGGCGGCGACGAGTCCTTTGTGCGCTCGCAGCCGCCGCGCCTCGTCAAGCTCATCGCCAAGGAGCTCGGCGTCAAGGACTACGACTCCATCCTCAACTGGGAGCTCGAGCTCTTCGACTCGCAGCCCGCCCAGACCCTCGGCCTGGAGAAGGAGTTCATCACCGCCGGCCGCATCGACGACAAGCTCTGCTCCTGGTCGGCCCTCACCGCCCTCCTCCACGCCGAGGAGAAGGAGGACGACAGCTACATCAAGCTCGTCGCCCTCTTTGACGACGAGGAGATTGGCTCGCTCCTGCGCCAGGGCGCCAAGGGCAACTTCCTCCCCTCCACCATTGAGCGCATCGTCGAGGCGCTCAGCTCCTGCGCCTACGGACCCAGCCTGCTCGGCCAGACGTACGCCCGCTCGTTCCTTTGCTCCTCCGACGTCTCCCACGCCGGCAACCCCAACTTCCTGGGCAACTACCTCGACGACCACATCCCCCAGCTCAACGTGGGCATGGTCATCTCGGCCGATTCCAACGGCCACATGACCACCGACGCCGTCTCGACCGCCATTATGCGGCGCGTGGCCGAGCTCGAGGGGCTCAGGACGCAGGCCTTCCAGATCAGGAACGACTCGAGGAGCGGCGGTACCGTGGGTCCCATGCTGTCGAGTGCCATGGGCGTGCGGTCGGCCGACGTCGGCTCGCCGCAGCTGAGCATGCACTCGATAAGGGCCACGACAGGTGCGCTCGACCCCGGTCTGGGTGCCCTGTTCTTCAAGAGTTTCCTGGATCACTGGGAGCAGATTGATGGCGAATGGGCATAGAGTAGATCATATATGTAAACGAGTAGAAACGATGGAAATATTATAACGCCTCCGCCGCAATCTATCTGGCGGGTTTTCAAATTACGCATGCTTTGTCGCTATCTATAGATCTATGCAGTATCTCCGAATGGGTATCTACCGTCCCGCTCGTCTCCTCAGCTCGTTCGCCATGTCCACTTCGAAATCGGTCTCTTCTTCCTCAACGTCGTCGTCGTCGTCATCATCCTCGTCATCAACTTCATCACCCACTGCACCCACATGCTCCGCCTCTTCCTGTTCCTGTGGTGTCCGCTTTTTCTTCTCGAAATCTTGCTTGTGCGCTTCTGACATGAGCTTGCTAAAGGTACGGCCGCTCAACGTCTCAGCGCGACTGCGAAGACCGCCCCTCCCAAAGGTGCTGGCCACGGCCGTGGACGAGGCAGTGATGCCGCCTTCTTCCTGCTGTGCCGGGGCTGGTGCCTCGCTCTCGCCAGCGGGGATCGTTGGTGATGTATCGGTCGAGGCGCGGTCCATCAGTGGCTCAATCCTGTATGGCAGCGGCACGTCCCTAGAGGCCTTATACTGCGATACATTGGCACAATGCTCGTTCTCTACGCGGAAGAGGGCCCAGGCACCACGACGCAGGACCTCCATCAGGGCCACCAGGAAGGCGACAACAGTAGAGTGCTGTCGGTCGTACGTGAAGATGGCGTAGAAGATCCAGGCAAAACGGATAATCGGATCAATGACCATGATTGTATAGTATGGCCACTTGCGTTTCAAAGCGAGAATGTCGCGGAGACACCAGTGCTTTGATTCTGCCTGGACCAGGGAGAAATCCATAAACAGGTCCCAGATCGCTTACAGGTTAGTATTGATCATTCAGACGCCCAGCATCGGTCACTTACAGCAGTAGATGCTATTCATCAGCGAAAAGGTGATGAACAGCGCGAGATTGGTGTGCGTGCCATATATCCGGTACAGCGAGAGAGTGACCGCAGCCATGATAGTCATGGAGTATTTGCCGCAGTTGACGAGGTGAGGAAAGATGTTCTTTGTATCCCTGTAACGCCTGATGCACTGTAGAAATCGCCATATCGGCGGTAGGGCAGCGAGGAAGCCCATCAGACGCGAGTGGCTCGAGTTGCAGCGGACAGGATTATCCCATTCGTTGGCGTACAGACAGAAGAAGAGCTCAATATTCTGGAACCGTGGTCAGCCATGAGAAAAGTATAAAGGGGCTGGGAACTCACAGCGGTTGCGTATGTCAGGGAGCAGTATATGTCGCCCAGGAAAAAGTCACGGAATTCTACAGGGTATAAGCCCGCCAAAAGCAATCGCCACTGCTGCCGTTAGTCTTCACGTCAAGTATTGCTCCCGGACAGCGACTCACATGAGAATATGCAAGCCATTTGCGCGACTTGTGTGCGATGACGGGAAATGGCAGGAGTATGATGAGAACAGTGAGTCCGATGAGGATCACTGGGTAGTACAGATACAGCGATTCCGGGCCGTATCTGCTAAAGTTCGCCCAAATAAAAATGCCAAAGAGCAAAAGGAAGAAGCTCGGGAACGCGGTCAGCGATTGCCAGTCCATGTGGTGTCGCTGGTCAAACTCGAAAATGAAGGGATAGTTGATCTTGCTCTTGGTCCAGACCATGCAGTCTAGGCAGAAGAGCGCAAAGAGAGTCAGCACGAGAAAGTATCCGCCGTACAATTGCAAAAGATAGCTCGTCTCTTGCCGCAGCTGACCACTTTCATGCTCGAGCAGTTGTGCGGCGTAGACCGTCCCCTGAACGGCGAACACCAGCCCGGTGCCGATAAGGAACCCGCTCTGGAATGCCGAGCCTGACTGCTCGGGCTGCTTCTTGGTCAGGCTTCGAAGCTTGCCTGCCGCTAGCTTGTGGTTGCCGCGCTCAAAGTAACGTGCGTAGAGGTCTTCCACGGCCCTAATGTGGCCCTCCAGGACGTCACTGGTCACGAACCAGGCCTGGTTGACCTTTTCGTTCACGTAGCGATACGGCGGTCGTGCATTGACGGCTTTGTCAAACTTCTTGTTGAGCTTCCGAAAGGCAGTCCGGTTGAGCAGCGCATAGGACTTGAGCAGCTCAAGACCTCGATAGAACTCGTGCAGAGCGAGCTTGAGCTTGCGCTTCGCCGTCCGATACGACACATCGTGATCCTGCGGTCGTCGACTATAATCGCGACCCCCGTCGCCGGGGGCAGAATTACCGACCATCGGGGTACGTGGCATGATCTGGAAGGCCTTGCTGTTGGGTCCTGGCGGGAACATCTTCCTCTTGATGGGCCGCAAAATCCCGTTCTGGATCAAACGGTCATTGTCGCTTCCCCTGCGCACCCCATCGACCGGGTCGTCTGGATGCGCATTGTTTGCGATCTCGTGTATCCGCCTGTTGCGCATCTCATGAAGCTGTTCTCTCAGAACCATCAGCCGTGCTCCGGCCTGCTCTTCCTTCATCTTGTAAAACGTCTCGACCTTGGCGAGCTCCGAGTCCATGAAACGGTAAAACTCGGCTTCCCGCTCCCTGACAAGATCAAAGGGCTGCAGGTTGACGCCACTCCTACTGTTCGGGCTGAGCCTCGAGTTGATTCCCTGGCCGTGTGACAGCAGTCGCCTCAGCTGTGAAGGACTCTGGGAGACCTGCCCAGCCATGGCCCGCTTCGGCAGCAGATGCGCGTCCGGATCACTGGCTCTCTTCGCTGCCAGTACAGACCCTGCCGATGCGCTGCGAGGCGCCGTAAGACGTCCCATTTGTTTCCGCGCAGTATCCGAGGGCTTCTGGGGTTCTCGGGATTCTGATGTTGGTTCCTGCATGGCCGGTGGCGGTAGTCCAAAAAGCCCATCGTCATTCATGTCTGCCTTTGTGGCCGGGGACGTTTTGACAAAGCTTCCATACTGCAAATTATCATTGGCATCTTTCAGTGCTTCGTCCTCCATCCGTGACGGTTGCGGCATCGGGATCGACTTGGGTGGCATCGTCTGCTGCCTCGCCCCCGTTGACGTCGTCCGTTCCAAGAAAGAATCATCATGTTCGCCATCGCTCTCGTCGTCGCTGTCGTCTGCGTTTTGCGGTCTTCGCTGCCGCACTTGTTGCCCCGTGTAGAACGAGGGTGTCTGTCCACCAGTATTTCGAGGAGTGCCATTGGCGCGATACACGGCCCTTGCGACAGCCTTGATGTATTTCTTTCCGGCTTTGTAGTTCAGGTACTTTATTCGCCATTCTAGAATCCGTAGTCAGCGTATTGGTCCAAAATGCACATCTCCCAGAGGTTGGCTTCCGGCAGGCAGAGCTACACGGCTGCGGCCTTCGCTTTGGAACCCCCAGGAACCTCCAACTTCCTCTAAAACAACGATCTGCCAGTTGGTCACGTACCTGGAACCGCATCTCGCTCCAGCTCCTTTGCAAACTTCATGGCGATTTGGGGGTCACACGCTCAGGCGCAGTGTGCATCCCACGCTCGCCGTTCCCAATGCGCGCGCAAATCACTGCGATGTACGCTCAAGTTGAAACCTACGGAAGCAATAAAAGCTGCGAGGCGTCGATGCGACTGAGACCAGCTCTCGTCAACTAGCGATCGTTCGTTGTCGGCGCGTGCTATCGGGGTAGCGCGGTGATTGGGCTGTCGGCGCCGGTGCGCGCCCACGGACTGGCACTTGGAGTCTCAGACAAGGCGGGAGCCGGTTGTGCTGTCTGAGATGATCTAACGAGGGAGCGCTCGGATGGGGTTGGCGACTGACCTGTAAAGATGCGCAAATGAAGAACGTGGGCACATGGAGCGGTAAATTTTTTTGGCAGTTGCCGTCCCCGCGATTGCCAAAACTCGAGTCCATCACGGTGTCATTGTGACCAGGGTTTGACGTGCGTCTTGTAGTTGTTCCTAATTAATGAATCCCCGGGACAACTGGTGTTACTAACAGTGTATAAGTTCATATTTGACACATTCTCTCACTATTTTCGTATTATGCGTTTTCTTCTGTATTTGTATCACTTTCTTACGCTTGCGGTTGATGATGCCATCGAGCCAGGTGCGCTAAGTAGTGCTGCTGATGCCGGGATGGATATCAGTCGCCTGACAGTCCAGTTAACAATCACATGGGTTTGGCACATGATCTGCCATACACCTACCGCCTATAATGTTGCTACGTATTTTGTTAATCACACTTGGTGACATCTATCCGTACTAATTTCACAAAAATATGTCATCTGCTCAGCCAAGACACATCGCGTGCCAGCTTGCCTCGGCTACTAGCCTACCCTGCAATCGTCTGGTGAACATACGTGTCAACAATCCCCAAGCAGTCCAGCCCGGCTTTTGGCAGCCCGAGACATTTCACCATTCGGCGGGGTTGGCGTCTTAAAGGGCCCGAGTCCCGTCGGCAGTTACTACTTTTTGCTGCGCACTAGTATCCGTACTTCGACAGCAATCTGAGTCACTCAATTTGTGTGTGATTGTCGTCAACGAAGGCCCATGAAGCGAACCCTCAGGGGAAACTTTCTTTTTCTTCTAGCAGAGCCGGTTCTAAGGACCCAGTCCGCAGACTACGGCGATTTCATAAAGTTTACACGGCCCCTCACGATCAACACGCGAGCCGTTACCAACAGCTGACCGTTTAGACTTTGGGATTCGGCCCGGCAAATTCCGAGCCTCAGCTGAGGCAGCGTTAGCTTGCACAAGTACTATGTACACAAGTCCCCGACAAGCAGAGCTCCGCCTTGTGCGCATGAATCGTATCAATAGGGTCTGAAATAGTCAGTGCTCTTCAATCGCGAGCTTCTTTGTTGGCGCAGGGCTGTCGCTGTGTCTTGTCTTGGCGAATTGTCTACACGAATCCCGATGATTGTGGGGTAGAGCGACCGTTTGTGATGAGGTCATTATGATGATCACAAATCCCACAGAGCATAGAACGTGAGCTATAATCAGGCTCAACAACACTTATCAGATAGGCCCGACTTCTGTACATCTGCCGGAGAATCTGGCAGTTCGAGGCTGAATCTAGGCCTTGTTCTAGCCCTTCGAAATGCTGGAGGATTCTACGTAATACGGAGGGTCTGGAGACCGGACAGCCGGCGTGGGTCCCGGGTATTGTGGATTAGGCGCATGGCGTCAGCCCGATCCTCATTTCTTCTTTGCGCAAATCCTCGGGCACTAATCATCAAATCTGATCGCACGCAGCGACCGGCCCCGACCGAGGCATAGATCAATTGATGGGGATCGAGATTGATCGTTTGATTATCTCTCCATACTTGATTTACACGTTTCATCCTCCTTTCTTCGTCGGAGCACGACGCTTTTGTTTCGCGTCCCTGACGCCCAAGAGCAGGCTTAAACTGTCAGCAGCCATGACGTATCTTCAAAGTAAGTGGTGTTGGCGATCATTAGTAGGCAAAGTTCCTGCCAAGGCACCGTCTCTTTGGACATCCAGGATTAGTGTCCCTGTATGATCGCGATCGAGTGCTTCTGGACTCGGATCGACAACAGCCTCAACACCAATGGGTCGTTCAAAAGCCCTCACTGGAACATCCTGTGTTCGAAACATTTACGTATGATGGTAAAATACTAATCATACATTAGCTGTCAGACTTGTTCCTGGCGCAAGTCAACCGGACAGGTTGAGGCTATTGAGGCCTAGAACCTCTGATCAGCGATATCTGCGTACGTGCCATTATGCACAAGAGTGGATATGCTTGGCCAGCCGGGGCCCGGGGTTTGTTGTACAATCGCATGTCCTTCAACATCTTCAGGAAGTCCCAAAGCTTGTCAAGAAGCTGTTCTTTTCTGTTCTAGCAATTCCGCAGAAGTCAGTCTGCTGGGCGAGTAATAGACGAGTATTGCCCGCCCTGGTCAAGTGACGCGCAGGAGGCTTGACATCTATGTCCACTGAAAGATAGACAAGACGACAGCTTAACACAAGGCTGCATAATTGAAAATCTTGATCTCGAAGTCAATGAGTGTCGCATCCCGCAGAATACTTGTTTCCTCAATCCCAACACTACCTTACGCCCCACGCTTCCTGCGCGCGTTTAGTTGCATTCCTACGTACAGTATCCGTGAGAAGGCTGCCAACCAACGAGACTAGTACAGAACCCAATTGGCGCTATCGGGCCCAATCTGATGTACCACGGCTCATTCTGATGGTCAAAGAACGCGGGATTGCCATGTTTCCTTTCATCTAGGACATGCACGGCTGCACAGCGTTTGCTAGCGCAGGTGGCCGAGCACCACGTTCCGTCCACACCGAGCTGGTTCCGGAAGCACCATTTGTTGTATCAGGCTTACTGCCGGTATTTTGTTCCCCGAGGCTGCAGTATGTTGCCTCTTTGTCACCTCGATAAGCACTCCTGGGGGCTCCTTGCAGCGTGCAGCATCTACCGTGATATCAAGATTAACAAGCGTCCTCTCTCCCCGCATCCCTGATGCTAGTCCTATCCTAGAGCTATACGGAGTTCTTCATCACCACGGACAGCTTGCTTGTTCTGGCCTTGGAGTCAAGGGACTTTTCACAAGCGGACGGCAGCAAGCCTTTCGAGGACTTTTGAGACAATTCCTTCCCAGTAGCTCGTCCTGCTCCCGCTTGGCGTTCAAGTAATCAGCTAGCTCCCTCCATCCCTACGAAGCAAACCCACCTAGGAAAACAAACCGGGACCCAATCGCGACGGCTGCTCACCCACTACGTATGTTCCAAAGACAGGCCATACGTGCATATGGTGTAGTGCGTGTGTGGCGGACAACAGACTGCACAATTAGAGTCCTCGCCAATCTTTGGTCCCCTTTCAAGCTGCCTCCGGCTTGTAGTGCTGAACCTTCTGGTGACGATGCGCGCGCGGCGCGACAATTTCAGGCCCTCAGCATTGGCAGTGGAGGGCCAAGGACAGAAGCCAAGTTAACGTCTAAGAATGAACTGACGATTTTGGGCCAAGTGCTTTTGCGAGCTCATAGAGCGGAGAATTACATCAACACCCGCGCGGACGTGCTCAGCTGATTGGTCCCGCTCGCTTAGCCCCAATGGCTCTTCCTCGGCTGAGGCCTCTGCTAGACTGACTGCTACACAGCTGAAGGCAGCCAAGGGCCCGCTGGCCAGCGCTTGACGAGTGGGGGCGAGCCTGGGAGGATGGTCCAGTAGTGATGGTGCAACGGCTGGAAAGAGGAAAAACGTCGAAAAATGCCAAGACAGCACCAAAGCCCGGCAGCTCCTGTTCAGCCAGTCGGGAACCAATCAATCCGCGTCTTCGCTGCGGCTGGAGGAAGCGACATGGCGCGAGCGAGCGACTGGAGCTGCCTGCACCTCAATCAGGTCCCGTCAGCCCATTCTCACCACCACCAACTCGCATAGATTCTCTCATCTATGCCGCTACCCACCACTCCCTCCCTCAGTTTCTTCCCTTCCCTACCGCACCGCGCAGGCGTCCCAGGCACCATCCGCTTCATGTGGTCTGCATTGAGGTTGCTTGGTTAATCGCATTGTGATCGACTGCCCTTTCCCCATCTGCATCTCGACGGTGCTACAAGAGGTCCTGCACTCCAAATCACCTCCAACCAAGTTGTCCTACGACCTGTGTCTTACTACCGCAAACCCACCGGGCTGAGCCTGTCTGATCACCAGATCCTCTTCCCGCCTTGCTCCTTGCTCCCGACCCCGTGCCGAGCACGGACGCCCCTTCGACCAGTCGTACGCGTTACCATGCTTGAGCCGACAATGCAGCGCAGACCCGTAGACAGTTATGGCCCCCCCGCCAGCCAACGACCGCACTCGAACCTCTACCAAGGGCAACATCCTCAATCTCAGCAACACATGGCACATCCCGGTCATCCCTTTCCACATTCGAGACGCACACCATCGGTAAATACTTTCAGCACCACTTCGAGCATGGCCCCGCCTGCGGCGTACCGCCAGTCCTCTGCCTCAGATCTTCGCCGCTCTGAATCGAATCGCTCGGCCGGCACAACCAACGGAAGCGCTTCCAGCTATGTTGCTCTTCTCCGAAAACAAAAGGCCACGGTCTGGTGCGACCGGGCCCAGTACGAGGATCCGCGACTCGCCGCGCAGCAGCGTGCTGCCAAGCAACGAGCGAACCTCGAGGTTGTCGGTGGCCGTCGCCAAGGCGGCCATAGTGGCAGCCGCAGCAACACTGGCATCAGCACAACCAACAAGGTCGCTGCGAAAATTCGACACCACGGCAAGCAGCCCGTCGTGAGTCTCACGCCCGGTGAGAATCACGTCGGTGTTGGTGGCGTGCCCCTGCGATTGAGCGCCACCGAGGTCGAGGGCGAGAGCAGTGACGACGACAAGATGCCTGCATCTTCGAAACTGCACCATCGTAGAACGGGGAGCAGTGGACGGAGCAGCAACGCTAGTGGCCGCCGTGGCCTGGCGTACCGAACCTCTGGTGGTCAAGGCAGCATCAACAGCAGAAACAGTCAAAATTGGACACCAGGCGACACGCCCGAGCGATCTGGAAGTCTTGTGGACCTCCCCTCGCAGCAGCAGCAACAACAACTGCAATACGGAGAGGCGGGAGGTGCTGATGATCATGCCAGCACTAAAGCCAAGAGCACAAACAGCGCGGAGACTGAGGCAGAGAAGGCCGACAATGTTGCGGAGCTGGGCAACGCGCCTCGCCTTGCTAGTAACTCATTGCTACATTCTGCCCTCACTCGTGAGAAGAGTGTTAAGAACCCCGAAGAGCTCAAGAGGAGGGGCAGTGTCGACGAACGAACGGCGACTCTTACCAGCCAACGTCTGTACATCGCCAACCCCGACTAAGAGAATGAATGCACAGCGGAGGCGCAGGGCCGGTCTCGTGCGCTATCGGCATATAGGCGTTGTGAGCTATATGATTATGTCCTCTATTGTGTTTGATTTTCTACATAGCCCAATGTTTCCGGGCCTGGATCTGGATACCCAATCATCCCCTCGCTATAGAAGTTGTGGTTCGTACAAATGTGTTGACGTGGCATCGCCCAGAGTCACCATGGGATGCAGGAGCAAGCCAAAGGGAGCGTCACTTTAATGATACCAACCGACGAGAGCAGTAATTGAACAAGGAACTATTGTACACAGAGCACAATTCGCTGGGTGTGTGAGGACATATCCGAACCATTGGCCGCCAGTGGCCAACAGTGACGTCGGCCGCATTGATCGCCAAGCATGATCGATTGCTCTTCGTGATGGCACGCACTAATTCTACTGTGAGCGACGTTACATCCCAAGCGCGGATCGCGTAGTCGAAACTTCCCGGCGGCTACGTCTAGGAACCCAAAAAAATTAATAAAAAAATACCAGAGATCAATGCTCGGCACCGAGCACTGCCTCAGGGTCGGTCCCACCTTGATACGAACTCCTTGCAAGAATCCGATGGAGGGGAGATGGGGAAAATGGCATCATTGATGCCAGGGTCCTTTTTGGTGTGGCTGAGGTCGGAGCCGGGTAAAAGGCGGAATTACAACTGTGGCTTGACGCGTCAAGAGGGACCTGAAATCGCGTCCGGGGAAGGAGGTGCCAAGGGTCACGCGGCTCTGTCGCGTTAGTTGCCTAAAGTTCCTCCCTCTCACCTACTCCGTACTATGCTGGCCTATCTCGACTTTGGCGCCTAGACTTCAACGACTCCTCTTGCGAAGAGAAAAGCTTCCTGTGCACATTCTAGTGGCACGTTCTGTTTGCGCGACGACAATTGGCATCGCCCACTCTATCGTGTTGTTCCATTCACCTAATCACACGAAGACCCTCGCTATCGTTCAGCGACAGACGATTATATCGCCGTTGGCACTTTCCCAACACCCTCACAAAGCATGGCAGAGGGGGCAGCGCTGGCAGAAATGTCCTCCAATATCCAAGAGTCCGAGTTGGCTTGCCGAAAACGATCACATGAGGACTTCACGGACAATGCCAAGTCAGAAGAACAACCCCCAAAACGCCAACATGGGGACGCGAAACTTGGCCTCAGTCGTGAGCTACACCCTTTCGAACGATCGAATCATCAACTGACAGCCTCAGCCGGCCAAACTCAGCTACAATCGCCGCCCACCCACTCCCCAGCTCTTACCGAGGGCAATAGTGCGACGACTCATAACTCTCCACAAACGCCAAGCAAAAGCTCGACTGTACCAGCAGCGGAACCCAATGCAGCTACCTCAAGTCAAAGTGTGAAGCCAACTGCAAAAGCACAAAAGAAGAAGTTGACGCCCGCTGAGCGAGAGGCGAGGGACAAGGAGGCGGCGGAGAAGAAGGCTCAGCGAGATCGAGAGGCCGCCGAGAAACAGAAGAAGAAGGAGGAGAAGGCACGGGAGGCTGAGGAAAGGAAGAAGCAGAAGGAAGAGGAAGATCGCCTTAAAGCCGAGGAAAAAGAACAAAAAGACAAGATCAAGGCGCAAAAGGCCCAAGAGAAGGAGGATAAAAAGCGAGCAATCGAAGAGGCCAAGGAGAAAGAAGCACGCAAACAACCGAAGCTTAAAAGTTTCTTTGGTGGTTCCGTTGCGTCGAAGAAGGCCCCCAGTCTACCAACCCAAGGATCGCCGAACAAAGCGGCAACGAGCACAACGTCGACCGTCTCAGACGCCCCGTACCGAAAGCTATTCATGCCATATTGCGCTGGAACTCATGTCACGATGGCGCCGACTACAAATTGCCAAATGGACGATGAGACAAAGGAGACAAAGGCGTCGATACTTGATGAGTACCTCTCGGGCACGCGCTCACCTGAGGGCCGTCCCTTCAGGGCGGCCGAAGTGCTCCAGTCCTACGGCAAGCCTACGCGACGCGGGAAGCAACAACACCCTGTTCGACACATTATGGAGGCGATGTACAAAGACCTAGGGAATGCAGGACCAGATGGACAGAACCAGACTATGAAAGTGGCACGGCAAAAGCTGTCTCAAGTGCCATTAAAAGTCATCGCCTTCTCGCAGGATGTACGCCCTCCTTACTACGGTACTTGCACTTTTAAGCAGTTTGTGCTTGGCGAGAAGCACATGAGGGGTCTCGCCAAATGCTCAACAGGGAAGCTTCTGCCATTAGACTACGACTACGACTCCGAGGCTGAGTGGCAGGAAGAGGAAGGCGAGGACCTGGATGGCGACGACGAGGAAGAGGAGCTAGACGATGAAGACGACATGGATGGCTTCCTCGACGATGCCGAAGACACTGGTCCTGCTCGACGATTGTTCATCAACACCATGGAACCTGAGAGTACGGGAGTTTGTTTCGAAGGGATGGGCCACCAAGCTGTCGACCCCCTGATTCACCAACATAAAATGCAAATGATGATCGGTGAGTCACTTGCCCTGTATGTTTCGGCAAGGGTTGTTCTAATCATTCCCAGAATCACTCGACGAGACTGTTGGCTTGGATCCGTGGACCGCTACTTATTGGTCGCCAGAGCCTAAAGTCCCTGTCAACTTGACTGTTAAGGCATTGCACATGCCGCCTCCGCCTGCGCCAGCTCATAGCGATGCGTTCGCCGCCATTAAGGCTGGTCCCCCTCCGCCCCAGGCGAAGCTAGTCAAGGCCGAGATTATGAACGATGTGAAGAAGGCCATACTCGACAACAAGGCGCTGTCGAAAGTTGGCATTATCGATTTTGTCTATCATCAGTTCCGCGACAATGCGTCGCGAACTGAAGTCAAGAACACGATCGAGACGGTGGCCGAGAAGCAGGGCGCGGGACGGGCGAAGGAGTGGTGCCTCCGACCTGGTCACGAGATGGCTGTCTGAGAAAGACCAAAGGTTTTGCCAGGCGCAACAACAGAGGGTGACGGGGTCAACGGATATGATATTACCATCACAACATGCTGGAACATAGCGATTGGAGTTTCGGCTGTTTGAGTTCTTGGTGGCGTGCCATGAGCGATACGCAAGTCCTACATTGCTGGTTTATATTAGACTTGTAAATGATAATGAACTACTGCCATGCGAGATACGGAGAGTTGTGATGGGGAGATTCTCCGCCATGAATTCCTGGTCCTCAACAATTGCGTGGGAGTCCTGATCAAATGAAGTATGGTACCTTCTTATCTTAATTACTACCAGGTACTTGGAGTCCGGAGTAGTAGATGACACATGTCGAAGACGTGGGACACTCCGGGTAAGGCGGATCGCGTCAGGCAGTCGATCTGCGGGTCTTGGCTCCAAAGACTGTACCTTACCTTGCCTCCGGCTTGCAGATTGCAAGCATTGCTGTCTTCCCATCCATACATTGAACACGCATTGAGGTGCACAGGATATCTTTCAATTGTGTACTGCCTGGTTCATCACCCGAACCTGTCGTTTCTTCTAAGCTTGGCATCACGGAAGCTGCAGACGACCCGCGCCCGCGCCGCCCACAAGCTGCCGACACGACACGCGACAGTCATGTTATAACGTGCCCGACTTGCATCCACCACGACATGCCCCCATCATGGACGATCCTTGGGGCTCCCCTTGGGATACGAACGAGAATGGATCTATAGCAGCGATACAACTTGTTACACCGCCACCAGCAGTCGCGTTCAACACAAATACCCGAAAGCAGAGTCCTGCGCCGCCGTGGGGTGAAGAGGAAGACGAAGGCGGCTGGGGCGGGTGGAACGCGGCGTCTGCACCGGGGGCAGAGAGTCCCGGATGGGGGAGAAGCCCGGGACTCAAGCCCGTCAGTCCTTTGAGGTCGAGAAGTGTCTCTCCTGTGCCATGGGGCCAGAGAGCTGACGACTCGGGCCTTGTTGGATCTGGGCCCGAGGCGGATGCGCCCCCAACCGCTCTAGAGAAGCCGACGTCTACCGGCTCGCACAAGGTCAGCGACGATGATTTCTCAGACACCTCTCACCACCAATCGGAAGGGAAACACGACGAGCCACAGCCCAGCTCCCCTACACGAGCAGAGTCGCCGGATGGACCCCCTCCTGGGCCGGCGCTCAGGATAGAACGACCGGATGTCAGCAGGAAGGGCTCCAAGGTCCAAGGGCTCGTGGACTTGTATGACGGAATCTCAAGACATGCTTCACCGTTGGACAAGACGCTACCATCACTAGACTCACCACTTGAGGCACCAAGTGAAGACGAGGAATCGGAGGGCGAATCTAGCAGCAGTACCAGCACAGCTGTTTCAGGGGTGCTAGAGCAGGACCCCGACCCGGCTGCCGGCGAGCTAGAACCCCATGAGAGCGAGGATTTCGGAGACCAGACCGTCATTGTGGATGAGACAGCATACCATGAGCCAGATCTGGCCGATGATCCGCCAGCACAAACACCATATGCGAAGAAGGTTGTGCCTACAGCATTGCCCATTGATCTCTCTCTATTGGATGACTTGTTTCCTCAGACGCATCCATCGACCACAGCGCCCGAACCACTCCCGCCAAACATCATCGACGACACATTTGCAACGCCAGGGGAGCGCAGGACGTGGTACCGCGTCTCACGGTTTGGCTCTTCGCGGAAACACGATCACGGCAACGACGAGAACTATGTTCATATGGATTGGGCACACTCCACTGTGAGAAAGGAGACACTCCAGACAGTGAGGCGATGGATGGAAGAAGACTCCATAGCTGGCCGAGGCGTAGGCCTCGCGCACCGAGCTAAAGGTGCCATTGGTGGCGGAAAGATGTTTGGTTGGGATAGGACTGGCGCCGATGTCGAGCCCGTGGACGTCGACGCTCTTCTCAAGAGAAACCGAAGGATAAGTGCGCGGGAGGAGAGGCCACGAACGGCCAGCTTCGGATGGAGTTCGTCAGGGGACTCGCCCAGTGCGGGTGTTTTCCCCCCGCCCCCTTTTATGAAGAGCAGACCGCAGTCGATGGTCCCAGCGGCCAACGATGCGGTTGAGCGGGAGAAACTCCGACCCAAGTCCCTGATCATTCCTCCTCCGAAACCGATGGACCGGCCGTCTCTCGACCAAGTAGTGACACCAATTTTGCACTCCCCTGGATCAATGCTCAGCGCTGCTCCAATAACGGGAGTGGCTGAAGAGGGAGAAGAAGACGATGACGATGACTGGGGCGAGATGGTAACTTCTCCTACCGCCCCTGCAAGCGCTGTTCTCGAGACCGTAGTCACAGGCGCCTCTGATCCAGCTACTTCCAACGCTACCCCGACTGGCAATGGTATCTTTGAAAGCGGAAGTGCAGCCACCTCACCAACCGCCCCTGTATCCGGCTCTGATCGGACTGCGAAACCTTTGTCGCCTCTGAAGTTCGAGACATTTGTACAACCGATAAATCAGCCGCTACCGCCACAGCAACCATTCCCAGAAATAAAACCGCTTGTACCATCGCCATCACTGTCACCTGGCCCCATGACACTACCAGCGCAACCCACCACAGCTGGCAGCACGAAGCCGGCGACCACGCATCGCGAGATGAAGCATCAATTATCCCAGGGGGACGAAGATACGGCCGCGAAAATTTTGCGGAATCTGCCGGATCTGACCTATATGCTCAGATGACGACGTCTTGGATTTCACGGCCGGACACCATATTAGTAGATACCAGCGAGGCGAATCTAATGTAACATAATCAATATAAACGATGAGCATAAAAACGCAAGTGGCTAAGATGGAAATATTGTGACATTCAGGCAGTGAGCCTGTCTTATACAAGTCTAATTGGATTCGCAGGCCGCACATCGTCGTCGTCCTCGGCCTCCCCAAAGACGTCGCCCTCGTCATCGCCATTGGGGGGCCGGACAAGCAGTAATGCGCCAGCACATAACCCCATGGCCAGCGCCATGTAAAGCCACGGCAGACCCGTCCATATCCCCTTCCATTGCAGCCCCTTGCCGAAACACCACGCAAACACGGGCCCGCCGAGCACGGTGCCAATGACCTCGAACATGCCGGCCAGTGCGAACAAGCGGCTGGTGAAGCTCGGCTGCACGTATGAGGACATGACTGCCCTCACCAGGGGCGACTCGGCCGCACCCAAAGAGCCGATAAAGAGGGCCACGAGAAAAGGCCCGATGGTTCCGCTGAAGAAGCGCCCCAGTGCAGAGAGGGCTACCACACACAGGGACACCTTGGCGAGGAGCAAGTCCTTCTCAAAGGCTGTGAACCCAAATCTCGGGGAGACGAGGCGGTCTCCGAGTTTTGGCAGCAGACCCAGGACCAGGAGGTTGATGACGCCCCGTGGTGCGAGGAGCACACTCGTCTCGGCCAGCGTCCACCCAAAGTGTTTGCTTATGTACTGCACAAGAATCGACGTTTCCGCAGACGAGGTGAAGAGAATAACCAGCATGCAAAGAGCAATATTGACGTTGCGCATCATGTACAATGACCGTAGCAAGTCCTGGATACCCTTGGCAACGTGCTGCCGCAGCGTGAGCTGCTGCGCCGTCGTCTGACGCTCCTTGGTATCAACGACGAGCGTCTCCGGTAGGAACGCGAAGATGACAAAGACCACGGGGACCGTGGACGCGACGATCCAGATGGGCAGCCAGGGACCAAACGACTCCATCAGGAGACCACCGCACAGGGGTCCCAGAATCGCGCCGGCCGTCGTGCCCATGGTCAGGTAGAGAAAGTGCTTCGCCCTGTCCTCCGCTGAGCTGACGTCGGTAGCCATGGCATACAGCGCCCTCAGCATGACGGGGGCACCACCGCCAAAGATGGTGAACAGGGTACCAGTTAGGAGGACGTACGGGTTGGCGCGGATCACGTTGGCTCCAGGGCCGAGTAGGAGGGGCGACAGGAGGAAGGAAACGGCGACACCGCTGTAGGCGAACAGCGCAGTGGGCTTGCGGCCGATGCGATCAGCGAGGAGGCCATATGGATAGGCCACGATGAAGTCTTGGTAGTGGTGTCAGTCGGCCATCGTGAGGGAGGAGGGCAGAACAGGACATACTGAAGACGGAACCTACAACGCCAAGCCAGCCGACGAGGAAGGCTAGGCGGGACTGCACTTGGTCGACTTTGCATTTCATCTCGTCAATGAGGCCCGGTGAGTCGTCGTGATAGTGCGCGTGGCAGAGGGCGTCCTCGATAAGGCGGTACACGGGCAGGAGCAGCATCATGCCGCTCATGACGAGGACGAACTTGATGGAGGCAATGATGAGCACAATGGTCCGTGGGCTTCTGACGTGCCATTTTGAGGTTGGTCGGCGCTGGTCGTATATCGGTTCGTCAGGGATGGGCTCGTCAGGGTGGTCGAGGAACGGAGCATCCTCATGGTCATAGGGGTGCAAGGAGATGGACATGCTGAGTGAACTGTCCACATGAAGGAAGATCCATGAGAAGAGTAGAGGGGATTGATGCCGTAACGAGGGACAGTCTCGTTCTTATGAAGAAGTTGAGTCGCCTGGCGTAGGGCTGAAAGTTGTGATCCAGTAAGCCAGTAACCCGCTTACCCTGGAGCTAATGCACGATTCCTGGGTCGTTCCGCTCAGCCTCACGAGGCTATGGCGACGGCATGCGTGTGCGACGCGTCACTTTGCTGCGTTCTTGTGATTTTTTCATTCTTCAATTAGAACTTTTGTCTTTTTAGGCCTGAGCGCGCATTTCACTTGCGGTGGTCCATTTGTCGGTTGCAGCCTCGGACAACTCGCATAACTCGGATTATCATGAGGCTTGCGTCAGTCGTTCGTAGCAACACACTCTTGGCTTCATTGGAGCCTGTTCTCCATCCTGGAAAGATAGAACTGATTAACAGCCGTGCAAATAATTTGTAAGGAGCAAGATGGATGTATTTACTATTAAAAGGACCCCAATTGTCAACCTTCATGGAAACTGTACCTACAACCCCACTCCCCGCATCGGCCCGTCAATGTCATGGTGCAAGCTTCAAGTTTCGACTCAACCCCGATGACTCCGGCTTCATCTTACATTTATACAAGCTTTGCTCATACGTAATAAATAACCACTACCCTTCATGTCTTCACAGCCCCTACGCATCGGCTTTGTGCCGGAGCACTTCTCCACGCCGCTGCACTTTGCGCGGAAGCACTATGGCCTCAACGCTCAGCTGATCCCCTTCCCCTCCGGAACGGGGCACATGGTCACGGCGATTCGCGCAGGCGAGATCGACATTGGCATTGGCCTGACTGAGGGCTGGATTGCCGGACTCGGGAAGGAAGGCGTGGAGGGGGACGGAGGCTACCGCCTTGTAGGGACCTACGTCAACACGCCTCTCTGTAAGTGACTGGACGGACGGGTATCGTCTATAGGATAATGCTGACTTGCCAGGCTGGGCCATCTCTACCGGCAAGGAGCGGCCCGAGATCACATCCGTCCAGTCCCTCGCCGGCAAGAAGATTGGCGTCTCGAGGATCGGCTCGGGCAGCTATGTCATGGGCTATGTCCTCGCCGACCAGCAGGGCTGGCTCGCGTCGGGCGGCGGCAAGGAGCCGTACGCGGACACGGTCATCCTGAACAACTTTGAGAAGCTGCGCGCCGCTGTCAACGCGGGCGAGGCCGACTTTTTCATGTGGGAGCACTTTACGTCCAAGAAATTCTACGACGCGGGGGAGATCAGGCGGGTCGGCGAGATCTACACGCCGTGGAGCAGCTGGAAGATTGTCGCGTCGACCAACCTCACGAGGGACGACGACGGGCTGGACGCCCGGGTGAAGGATCTGTTTGGGAAGCTGGACCAGGGCATCAAGCACTTCAACGAGAACCCGGAGGAGTCGGTCCAGCACATCTCGACAGAGTTGGGGTACACGGAGCCCGATGCCAGGGAGTGGCTCAAGACGGTCGAGTTCCCCGCCAAGACGCAAGGCGTCAAGCCCGAGGTGGTGGACAACTGTGTGTCGATTTTGCGCAAGGCTGGCGTCCTGGAAGAGGGCAAGGGCATGGAACCCAAGATGATGACGTACAGCTCGTAGGAGACAAGAGAACAATGCCAACATCAATCAACAAAGACAACCTGAAATTGCGACGTTTGCTACGTATTATTCTTGGACTGTTTGAAGGGCGGCGTTGTTCATGTTGTGAGACTGAGACCCTCCCTGATGGGTGAAACACCCGCCCCATCCCGGCACTTACGTACGGACCCAGGCCAGATCGACGGCCCCTGCTTCTCCCCCAAGAAGGAGACCTGCGCAATCCAAACACACCTGGATTGAGCTGGCGCCGCACTCCGGCAGTAATTACGGCGGCCTCACTCGTTGACAGTTTTGATTTTTCTTGCGCGCAGTAGACTGGTACGGTCTGATGTCGACGAGCGTCCCCGCAAGCACGCGACACGTCCTGGCTGCGTAACGACTGAGGAGCACGATTCACGAGACGAGACGACATGGCAGAGGCCAGCAGACGATTCTCCGACGATGCAGCAGACCTGGCTGCGTCGATTGGATCCTCACTCCGAGCAAGGTCTCTTTCGCCCGTGGCTAGGGGCTGGAGGGCGAAGCTCGGGCTGGGACACTACGCGAGGCGGACGCTGGGCATCGCACTGCTGCTGGTCACCGTGTTCCTGTGGACGCTGTCCAACTTCCTCGCCAGTGTAGGCCATAGTGTGCACACGCATTCAAAGTAAACATCTGACCGTCCTGCAGTTCATCTTCTCCGACCATACCTACGACAAACCATTCTTCCTCCTCTACATGAACACCTCGGTGTTTGCGTTTGCACTGGTGCCACGATTCACGAAATACATACTGCGAAGCGGGCTTCGCGGTCTACGAAACGATACAGCGACGTTATGGCGACAGTGTAATTCGGAGATCCCTCCCCCGAAAGTCATGTTCGAGGCAGACGAGACGGGCGAGCGACTGCTGGTGGACGACGACGACGTCGACACTGTCATTGGCGACGACGACGACCGGCTGGAGAAGCTGAGCTTCCGGGCTACGTCGAGGTTGAGCCTCGAGTTCTGCATGCTCTGGTTTCTCGCCAACTACTTTGCGTCCGCCTGCCTTGGGTTCACAAGCGTGGCCAGCGTCACCATCCTCACCTCGACGAGCAGCATCTGGACGCTCATCTTCTGCGCCCTGTTCCGCATCGAGGCGTTCAGCATGCGCAAGTTTATTGGCGTCATGGCCTCCCTGACCGGCGTCGTGCTCATCTCGACGGTCGACCTGACGGGGGCGGGCGACGGCGATCGGGGGTCCTTTCCCGACAAGACGACGGGCCAGGTGGCCATTGGCGATGCCATGGCCTTTCTCAGCTCGGTCGTGTACGGCGTCTACGTGACTGTGATGAAGCGGCGCGTGGGCAACGAGGACCGGGTCGATATGAACCTCTTCTTCGGCATGGTGGGCGTCTTCAACCTGCTCTTCCTGTGGCCCTTGTTTTTCATCCTACACTGGACCAACATTGAACCGGTACGGCGCCATGGTGTATCGTATTAGGGGGCAACATCAGCTAACTGGAAGCAGTTCGAGATGCCACCGACGGCACGGATATGGACCATTGTCGTCGTCAACTCCTGCGCGTCGTGGGTCAGCGACATGGCATGGGCGTACGCGATGCTCCTCACGACGCCGCTGGTGGTGACCGTCGGCCTGTCGCTGACCATTCCGCTGTCCTTGATCGGGGAGATGATCCAGTACGGCATGTACTCGAGCTTCGTCTACTGGGTGGGCGCGGCCATCGTCTTGTCGTCGTTTGTCTTCGTCAATCACGAGAGTCGGGAGGATGAGGATGACGCGGTGGGCCACTGAAGCGAGCGCGTGTAAGTACGCGGCAGGCAAGCATGGTCTACATCGAGTTACCGATAATTATTAGCGTTCACCGTGGAATAGATTTCTTTTAGCGTCAGGGACCACCAGACCAGCTGGATGCGGAGGGGCACAGGCATCTCCAAAATCCAATCCCGTTTCCCAATCCCGTGCTCAGATCCACTCGCAGGCCAAGTTCAGTTGCGGCCCTTGCCTTCCAGGTTCCTGGCGGAGGAACATCCGCTCCTGTCCCGCCCTTCAAGGCCGATCCCCCTCCAAACCTTCGATCTCCGGACGTCGCTCCGTCGCGAATGCTGGTAATAAGACTTCCATGCTTTGGCGAACCCCACCAATCCACGGAGCGAGCACCGTAACCTTGGTCACAGTCGCCGCAATGGGGACGGACAGTATTGAAGAAACCTGCTGTTCAGAGGGTCAGTTGTCTCCTAGAAGACCCTTCTGACAAAGGGTCCAGTCTGCCCAGAGCACGCAGCAGCAGCAGCATCAAACAACAACGCCGGCTACGTTGCGCGACGAACAATTCCATCGGGTTTGGATCACGCTACGATATCAATAATCAACCTAGGAAGGATCCGTCTCATTACGCACAGCAAAGCCGCGGCTACGTACTTGAGATCTCGCCCCAGATCGATCTGAGAGACCCTGATCTTCATCTCATACCTCCGACCTCTGCCCAAACGCTCGCTATCCGCACCGCGCTCCTCAACTTCCAACGCTCCAATCTGCGCCGCGACCCTAGTCAAGCCTATTTCCGCGAGCACGCGCACAGCCTATACCCGTCGCTTCGCCTCGTCTAGGCCCTCGCGCCTCCCGGACGTGGGGTCTGGCGATCTCTCGTCTCGGCCATGGTAGCCACGGCAAGACCCAGAGCTCACGACGATGATGGCGACAATAGGTCTCTCGTCGAGTCCATCGCTGCCGCTACGCGCGTTGCGCACGCCAGACTCAACAAGCTGATCATCTCTCGGTTGCCGCTTGCGCTGCCTCCTCAAGCCAACGATCCCTCGCTCTATGCCTCTGGGCTTCTCCATATCACGCCGATATACACCACATTCGAGTCGTTATGGCAGAAAATCCTTGACTTGCCGCCAGCCGAGACGATCATCGAAGATGCAGCTGCACAATCGGACCTTGATGTTGGCGAGAACGCATTGCCACAACGATGTAAACAGGCTTCTGGGACGCCGGTGTCCGGTCGCGTGCACTCCATGTTGGAGAGTCTGCGTTTGCCTGGGCTCATGCGAACAGAGAGACTCAAGGCAGACATCAAGGCTATGACAGGCTGGACAGACCATAATATCATCGAAGAGCAGCTCAGGATCGTCGGTGACCAGGGCCCACTCGCCGAATTCCTTAATCACATCAAGCGATCCGTGGAGAACCGGCCACATGTTCTCCTCGCATACTCATACATCTTCTTCATGGCGCTCTTCGCGGGCGGTCGTTATATCCGAGCATCGCTCCAGTCGGCGGGCAATGAGTTCTGGGACCAGGTCCCGGACCACGTCAAGCCCACGATGCAGGCGTGCACTGAGAAGCGACCAAGCCCTGTCGAGGAGACAGATGGCACCCGCAGATCTCACGTCACAAGCTCGATGCCCCTCCGATTCTTCCACTTCTCGACCCCGACGGACGGAGAAGACTTGAAGTGCGAGTTCAAACGGAAGCTGGCAGATTCGGAGGCAAGACTTTCGCAAAATGAGCGCCACGACATTGTGCAGGAGGCCATATCGATCTTCGAGAAGATGACACTGCTCGTAGAGCAGCTGGACGTGGTATGTGGTGGACCGACGGCGATGGACATCAGCGCTGCCCATTCCAAGGCACACAATATTCCTGTGAGACATGCTGTGGGCAGCATCAAACTCTGTCCAGCCATGTCCAGCAAGGCGTTTCCTTTCGAGAAGCTCAAAGGCGAAACCGATCAGGTCGTCCCTCCCTCGCCGCACGACGGAACCGTCGAGGATTTCATGGGTCATATGCGGCAGGCGCCCAAGAGCATGCGTATCACTCGGACGGCGAACTGGATACTTGCTGTGGCAGTGGGTATACTTGTCTTTGGCGCGTACATGAGCGGTCGTAGGAGACTGTCGGAAAGGTGATGACGGGGACAGGACAGTTGTGCATTAGCGCGGCGTTTTTCATTTTACATCTCGGGCCAGCAGAAAGCATCGACGATAATATCCCTGGATACAGGCAGCACACGTGCAAGGCGTTTGGAACTTTTGGCAGCATTCTGTACTTGTTTAGCCATGGTATGGACACGAACGAAGCACACGAGACGATGATAGTACATAGCCGTGATAGCATAGAGGTGGGAAATACTTAATCTTCGGGTACGTAAAGTTTGCTTTTTGAAAACAAGAAATCATTTCGTCATTGACCAGACAGATGTCCGTCGTGAATCATTAATGCCGTACAGTGTCATGCCATGCTATGCAACGCAATGCCAACATCCAACGCCAAAACCAACAACCTTGCCAGGATACCCAAAGCGCCTTGCCCAAGAACCAACCAGGCAAGTAAGTGCCTCTTCACTTCGTCTTTCAACACTCGTCTTCGTCCCAGTCGGCACCAACATCTGCCCAGCCACAGTTCCACCTCTCGCCGCCAAAGTCACCAACGCCCCGGAGGTATCTTGCCCTGTCGCCCCCGTCATCGCTCTGCCAATGTCTCACGCTGCTGTCGTCCGACAGCGAGACCAATTTGCCGTCGTGCGTCCAGCTGACAGTAGAGACTTCCTTCTCATGGCCGTTGACAAGGGCCGTGCCGCATTTGAAGATGGGAATGTTGGCAGTAGATGGCGTCAAACTTGATGGTGTCGACCTCGGCGCTGAGAGTGAAGGTGTCATTGGTGCCGCAGCGCATGTCTCCATGATGTGGTTCTGTTGCGCAAGAGAGCTTTTCATGAATCCTTCGTCGGTAGGGAACAGCACAGGCGCCTTGTCGTTTCCGCCCACGGCCAATAGCTCGGATTGGGAGCCGTTCGCACGACGGAGGGCGCTCTTGACCCAAAAGGTGATACCGCTGAGACGTTCATTCTTCCAGCCATACAGGGGCCCGATTCCCTGTACGCCACGAGGCTTGCGCTTGATCGAGCTGTCCACCAGTTCGGGGGCGTGACCGAGGATGAGATGAGCCGTCGAGTAGGCGTAAATGGTGTTGTCCTTGCAGACGGAGTACAGGCGAGTGGCGTCGCCATTTAATGCCAGAGACGTCAGGCCGTATGAGCGGAAGGTGTGATGTCTGGGCTCAGCCGTGATCGCGAGGGGGACGGCTTGCTCGCGGTTGCGAGGCTTGATACAGCGCATATCCCACAGCTTGATGGCCGCTGAAGACTCGGACCCGGAGACGAGGAGGTGCTCGCGGCCGGAAGGAAACCACTGCAGCGCTGTGATGGATGCAGGGTTCTGGCTGCCGTTTGCGACGCGAACGTGAGCCATCGTCATAGGATTGGTAGGTTTGGCATCCAGGATATCGAGGTTCAGATTCCGCCGTCTCGCCTGCTGACTGTCGTCGCCAGCCATGGTAGAAAACGTGTTGACCGGGAGCGAGCTACACCGAAGGTCCCATATGTTGATGCACCCGTCCTTTGCTGCCGTCGCCAAGACGTCGCCGTTGGATCGCCCTGGCTGGAAAAGGGCCTGACGCATGCCGGATGCGTGGCCTCTGAGGTTCACTGCCGCACTCTGTGTCGTCATGTCGAATACACGGCCAGACCAGTCGCCGCAGGCCGTCACGAGCCTCATGTCATCAGCCGATATGTCCATATCGATAATAGCATTGTCCTGCGCTTTGAAGAACGACTCGACCTTTCCTGCGCTGCTACACAATCCATCGGTTCTGAGCAGTCTGACGTAACCCTGCTCATCGCCAATGGCCGTCACTGGCGAGCTGTTAAAGCTAGCCTGGCAGAATGGTGTTGTTTCGCCAGGTCCTTCGTAGCTCAAAATGGTCTCGTGATCCTCCTTGTTGCTGTAAAAGTTGGCAGTCTCGAATCTCGGGTCAGCAGCGGGATACGCAAGATATTGCTTGCCGGGGAAGCAAGCATCGCCATATGCTCTGTGCGCAATCTGAGCCTCGAGGCCCCGATTCGCCAGCTTGCGGGTAGGCACAGGTACATGACGCTCGGGAGACTAATGCAATGAATTAGCACACAGCACGCGTGTGAATGGAGTTCGGAAAGCAAACCTCAGCGCGGTGTCGCTTGCTTGGCGGCCCGCCGAGTGCATCTCGCACAAGTTTATCCTTTGGTGGAGTCTCCTGCCCGCGGCTTGTTTTGAAGAACCGATTCTGGGTCAGTGTCAGCAACGTCGTTCAACCTTGCTCCGTATAGGGCGAATCATTACCAATGTCTTGCTCCTCCACTCGCCCAAGACATCCTGCGAGGATTCCCTTTGTCGGGGAGGAAAGTTCAGGCGTGGCGGCGCCATATCATTGAGGGCAATGCCTCTCCTCGAAGCGATCGGCTCTCCATGACCGGGGTGGCCCCTTTTCCTAGCACTAGGACTCTGGATTGGCGATGAATCAATGGCATCTGAGTGTAGAGCGTCGCTGAATACCGAGTGTGGCGAGTTGGGTTGTCGATTGAGGTCTCCGGAGTCGACGCTGGCAAGGATGCGTCGGCCTGTGATAGACGCTGAGTTTCGTGGTGTGAAGAAGCGACCAAACCGTCTTGGTGTTACCGAGGGAGCACGTCTCTCCTTGCGTCGAGACGATCTTGTGGGCGAGAGGAGATTGCTGGCGGGCGACGAGGAGGGCAACACGGGACTGGAGGTGTTGGCCTGGTTGATATCATAGTTGTCGAGGTCCATGCTAGGCGGGTATATATATGTGCTAGTCAGAAAGCAGACGGTCAAACCAACAAAGGTAAATCAATGATCATATCAAACATTCGCACATGTGAGCATTGAGACGCAAGAGAAGCAGAAGCGAAGGTTGGTGGAGAAACCAAGGCTGGCCAGAGCCTGCCATGATCGGGGTTGATAGTGGTTTTGGCGGTAGTGGAGAGACGCGGTCTGAGGGCGTCGCGAACGCGGAGCGTGTAGAGTGGCATGGAAGGCGCGTCCCGCCAGTGGAGGCTCGTTCCTGCCGCTAATTGTGCCTCTGGTGACGCAATTTGGCGGGGCTGCCCGGCCGACACAGCGCCCTTGAACATGAAAGTGTGTGTCTCTACAGCGCCTTGGTTCAATATTTTCTACATTTAAGTAATTCGAAAAGCCCATTTTCTGTGTCCCTGGGTAAGCATTTGGTTGAAAAATGGATCGTGCTCAGCATCTTTGTGTTCACGTGTGTCGTCGCTCTGCTCTGTGGAAACAGCCTACCCTACCCCTGCTCTGCAGATGCAGCTACAATTTACAAGTTTTACAACGCAGGCAGAATTAAGGGCCGTGATTCCTTTTCCTAGAGTCAATCTGGATTCTGGCATACGTTTTCAGAGTGCGCCGCGAATGCCATTAACCATTAGATCGCGTGGATGTCTGACCGCCCGACTCATATGCTGCCAATTGGGCGATCTCCCGTTGCCGGCTAGGCTCTAGCCCCATTGTGTCATATCCGCCCCCGATTGCCTACACCTGGCACGACCCCTTCGCCAGCCCTTTAACTCGACAAACCCTTACCACGCCAAACACTGTGCAACCGAACCCCCTATATTGGATAGTTGGTCTACACACCCTCGCCAAATGCGCGTCTTGGCCTGCAGCTCTTTCCTTAATTCGACGACACCATGTGTCGGTTCCTGGTGAGTCGCAGGCTCCTCCGAGGCCGGAGGCTGGATTCAACAGTTTGCTTGCCAGCACGCGAGCTGACCGCATCTCCTGAATAGGTCTACAAGGGCAGCGATGAGATCCTACTGTCGAAACTGATACTCGAGCCCACGCATTCCATCTTGAAGCAGTCGTTTGACTCCCGCTTGCGTCTTGTACGGCAGCCCTGCCCCTGTTCATCGACAATCGCGCTGACCCAACCCCCAGGATACGCGACGAGGACAGAACAACGCGGATGGCTTCGGTATAGGCTTTTACACCGACCCGAAACTCGGCTCGACGCCCTGCCTCTTCACGTCCACCACGCCGGCGTGGAATTGCACGAACCTTCAGCGAATCGCCTCGAAAACCGCCTCGCGACTTATCTTCGGCCACGTTCGCGCTACCACCGAGGGGTCTCTAGCCGAAGACAACTGCCACCCTTTCACCCATGGAAACCTCATGTGGATGCATAACGGTGGGCTGGGTGGATGGAAATACATCAAGCGGAAGCTCGCTGACCGTCTGGCCGACAAGTGGTATCTGGGAGTCAAGGGTGGGACAGACAGCGAATGGGCGTTTGCGCTATTCCTCGACACGCTTGAGCGCATGGGCCACGACCCTGACACCTGTCCAGAAAAAGGATTCGGGCATGCCGTGTTGCGAGAGGCCATCAAGAAGACCATTACGCAGATCAATGAGTTGACAGACTCGATACCCGAGGGCATCGTTCAGAGCGAGGATGTCGATACAAGGAGCTTGTTGAATTTCGCCGTCACGGACGGCCACAGTGTCATTTGCACACGGTATATCAGCAGTTCGAAGGATGAGGCGGCGAGCTTGTATTACTCCTCTGGTACTCAATGGGTTACGAGGACAGCATCGCCGGACGATCACGACTACTACATGGAACGAAAAGACAAGGGAGCAGATATTGTGCTTGTTGCAAGTGAGCCCTTGACGTTCGAGAGAGGTGGGCATAAACCTGCAACGAGCATAAAGACACAACTGACAAGACATCACAGAGAACTGGGTGAACGTGCCAACCAACTCCATCCTCACCATTCACCGGCAAACCGTCATGATGCATCCCATCCTCGACAAATACTACGAGAGAGATCCGTACCACGTCCGCTCCAGTGCCTTTGTACAGGCCAAAGGTCTTGTCACAAATGAGAAGGCGCAGAGTGCTGGTTCTTCAAGCCCAGCAATGGAGTCACAATTCGGGCAGAGCGGGCTGAAGGGGCCTCCAGGTTCATCTCTTGGAAACAGAAGCCTCAGTCCAGACATCTCTCGTCGACCCGCAGCGTCAATCACCCCGGGGCATACAGCGGCACCCGGTTCGCGGCCTGCGCCTGTGCAGGGGAACATCAAGGTGAAAAGACAGGCAGCACCGGCAGCTGAGGCAGAGCACGGTCGGGCCTCATTGACAGAGGAGCAGAGCTCAGATAATAATGAGCCAGCGACGGCCAACGTCCGGAATCCGAAGAACCTATCGCAGTACTTTCCGGATTTGACGCTCAGCTCACCAATGTCCCCTTGAGATCGCAGCAGGGCAAGAGCTGGGTCGCATGAGCGTGAGGCATGTAAGAGTATGATCAATCTAGCGGAAGACAATTTGGAGCGATACCCTTTGATTTAAAAGAGTGAATTGGGTTCGATCCTCAGGGTGTTGAGTTTTAGGAAATTATTTACGCGTCATTTGTCCACTGATCATCGCCTGTTGCCCTCGTGAATAGACATAGAGTTGAGCTTTGTGCTTGTCTCGAGGCTGCGCTCGACAACATCGCGCACCTGCATCAGCAAGCATACCAAGAACTCGGACTGTCACATGTACACATGACGTGCGAATCTCACGCTTAGCATGCATTCGAGATGGCATAGTTGATGCTTCGGAGCTGTCCAGATCCGTACATATTCAATGTAAAAAATTTAACTCCTTAACTCCCGAGGCCCTGTGCATCTCCTGAAACACACACACAGAGGTACTTCAGATGCACATCTGGGACCTTGGCAAAGACTTGTACAACGCTCAGAAACTATCTTCGGGTGCCTTTTTTGCAGTCTTCATCAAGAGGTCCTGTTGAGGACCCGTTGCTGTGCGTTTGGCCCCTTGAATCTCAACCTTCAGTTGCAGCGACTCGGCGCATTTCAAAGGGGCGACTGTTTAGGTCAACACCCCTTAACTCTTTCCAGCCTCCTACATCATACAGCAGCTAAAATTTGTCTGTTACCCCATGGCAGTGTATCTTACGGTGGCGGAATGGTGTATTCGTCTTGGGGTTGGCATTCACGCATTCAGGATCCGATCTTTCAAAGGGCGAGACGTCAATGTAACGTTCAAGATCACGGTTCATGCCACCAGCATTGCAAGAGTAATTTAGTAGTCTGCTTATAACACATTGCCCACTTTTGTGCCCGTCGCTCCTCTGGAGGAGTGTAGTCCCCAAGTCTCTAGCCGAGATACCATCCTTCCCGGATACTCTGGTACTTTTGCTTAAGTAGCTCATGGGTCTTCTTCCTTCCTCAAGCAGACTTGCTAGACCTATACCCTAGGGACAAATAAACTCCTAGCTTGAGCTGGTACATAGTAGGTCGGGGGTGACGTAGAAGTCGTTGAGGATTGGCATGCGCACAGTGACACAACTGCCTTCTGCGAGACTTTGAACGCCGGGAATACTTGATTTTTCCGGACCCATCTGTATAAGCGGCACGGCACAGAATGCCGTGGACAATGCGAGAGAAGTTGACGGCATCGCCACTAGTCCTGCAAGTACTGGCTGGTGAGAGCAGAGTCGCTTGTGTAATGCGACCCGCTACTCGCCCCTTTTGTTGACAGGCAACACGTGGGAGAGGCAACAAGTTCACATGCTGCCGAAAGAGACCCTGCCAATCTCCTAGAAACCGAACTCATTTTTATGCACAGGTCGAAAGACCCTCCCGGCGCTCAAACCTGCATATGTCTTCGGACGACGCTGCGAGCATTGCATCCATGAGCAGCGAGATGGAATGATGTAGGCGCAATCAACTTACTATGCATACTCCCTCGACGTGCCATTGCATGTGTAATGACAATCCGGGCAGGTAGCTAAACTAAAGCGACATAACCGGTGATGTGCCTTGATGAGGGCTCACTGATAGCGAATACATGGGCCAGCATGCCATCGTGATGTCGTCCAAACCTAAGACCATCGCAAGCCGCCGCAAACCATCAGGCCAAGGCTAGCCCTGCCCTCCCCCACGTTGTCCGAGCTGATAAGTCTGCAGGGTGCGACCTGATACGCGACTTTGAATGCCATTTTCCCCTGGCCCTTTTGTTGTTGGGGGCAGTGAGGGGGTCGTTCTTCTAGAACTTCTGCAATACCACGCTGTGACCGGCTGCACACACGGTGTGACGGCTTGTGCATTGCCCTAGTCACTGCATCTCCGCGCCGAGTGCCCCTGCGCCCATGAACAGAAATATCCCTCCGTAGAAAGATTGACAGGTCCAGCAGTATGCCCAAGATCAAATTGGAGCGAAACCCGTCACAACGCCCGTCATGACTTGCACCGCCAGGGTCCCTTTGAGCGATGCACCAAGTCCATATCATCAAACCCTGGACGGCACTTGATACAGGTGTTGTCGACTCCAGCCGAGGCTAGTCGCCGTCAGTCCGCTCCATAATGAACGAGCAATGTGGAAAAGTCAAAGGTGCCATGTGTATGCAGGTCTTGTTGCCGCAACAAATGGGCAGCCGCAAGATTGGGAGCTTTCACCTAACCGCCAGCCCATATTCCGATGGCGAGAAGATCAAGACAAACAAACGCCCAAAACGTAGCTCTGAAACACCAGGACCTCCCCCTCCAGAGGCCGGGCACAAACAAATGGCTATCATCGGATTGGGACGGCGAAGGAACGCGGGGTTTATTGGAGAAACGAAAGATGGTGTTGAGCGACCTTGCACGACTAATGACTGATTTGATGCCTTTGTGGTTGCAGCCCTAATTAGTCAAGTTGGGTCCTGGAAGCCAGTCTGGTTGCAGTGCTTGTTACCTGCGACAGCGGTCCTGAACTGGTTCGTTCCATCGCCATGCTGCCCACCGAATTGCAACGGGCGGCATGTGCGATGCGAGAATGGGTTGACCGCAAGATTGTAATCGCCATCGCGACCTGAATTCCAACCTCGAACAGCTCCCTGCCGGGCCTTCCCATTTCAAATCGGAATCCGGGGTAATCGAGGGGGCGTGGTGATTCCCCGGACCGAGACTTTCTCCAGCGCATGCACACGTCCGAACTAAACGTTGCTATTACGTCCTGGAAACTCACGATGCTCCGACCGCATTTCTAAATTCTGGGGTTAGGCTGACGAGGCGCAGCGGCCCCAAGCCCTCGGCGCCATTTCCGGGGAAAATTATGTGTCAAAAACCTTGTCGACCACAAGGCCACCAAGACGCCAGAACCGCTGGCCTCCAGGTAAGGAAATCAAAATGACCTGACCTGGGGTAATGATGAGGGGACCACAGCATCGGTTCTCGCGATGGCGCCGCACATGAGGCCTGAAATGGATTGGTACCATAAAATCACAGACCGCTTCTTTCGACTGTCTCTTAGGTTCCAACTGGGTACGGGGATACACTAGGCATTCCATCCCTGATGAAGTTGGGCGGCAATCCACACGTAGTGGCTGAGGATCTCCAACGCAGCAGCTCCCACTGCCATAATCGCAGGACTTGTTGGACTCGACGGCAGGGCCCATGCCGTGGTGATCGGTGCGATTCGACCAGCCTTGTGGAGGAAGAACTTTGGTGCAACGTCACAGCGATGACTGGAATCGACCATCAGTTCATCAGCAACCCAGCTTCAGTTGTCTCGGGAAACAGATCCTCAGCTTTGATGGAGTCAGTTTGGCGGTATGTCATTCGGGCTAGGCGCCACGTAACCAATGCAACAGCAGGGAAACCTGTCCTGGCTTGCCAATGTCGACAGGCTTCGCGCAAAGCTCGGGGAAAACCTGGCGACGGACACAGTCAGCAACACGAGGGAATTGAATCATCCCCTGCACACTTTTCAACTGATAACGACTCTCCCTGGCCATATCACGTCACTGCATCAGTCATCTATCTCGCAACTGTACGTACGGGAGTTGATTTAGCACTGCCGATAGTGAGGAAGCAAGGCGCCCAGAGCTTCTCCATCCAACACACGAAGCTCTTGTTCGTTCCTGAATGCAGCGCAGCGTCCACCAATGAAGAGCCGCGGGGCATTAAAAAGGTTAAAAGGCGAGCCGAGCAAGCAAGGGTCCTCGTGTGGGTCATAGACGCGGGATGCTGTGCGGCAATCAAGCTCAGTGGACAGTCAGACAGAGCCACCCGTGCTAAGCCTTTCTCGGAGGGATCTTTGCAGAGGAGGCGCAGGTGCTTCCTTGCCTGCAGTGCAGTGTGTCTAGCGGCCCTAACCACGGACTCACGGGCTGGTTGGTTGACCACACCCCATGACTGTTCGGTGCACCCTTCTCTGGTCCTTCTAGCGCGGGGGCCGCCGATATTGTCTGTGCTGTGGCCGGAGTCAATGTCAAGACTCTAGTCTAGTTAACGAAGCACCACTTGTTGAGATGTTCTTGCGCGGTGATGGCTTGGCCATGGTCATGGCTGTGAGCTTCGACGCTGTAGCTAGGAGCGGCTTGTGCTGCTCAGTACCTTGGTAGAAGCATCGCCAGTGCCTACAGGCGGCAATGACTCTGCTGACCGGCCGGGGACGCCCAACAAGTCTGGAAGCACCGCCCGGCTTCTTTCTTGCATTGATGCGAAACTTCGACATGTGATGCCGCCGACTGCCGTTCATCCCATCAACTTCTGTATTCGAACAGGGGTGAGCGGCTTGGGCCCTGGGGGAGGCCGGAGCTACGTACTGATATCCGAAAGCTTGTTGTTTGACATGAGAGGCCCCCATGCTTGGCAGGCCAGACGTCTGAGACCATCAGCATTGCTGCCAACATAGCGTTGACATGTCCAATAAATGTGTCGTCTGGCATGTTTTGTCTGTTGGTCGAGAGTCGAGACATTGTTTTCCCTTCGTGGTGGCGGTTAGTGTGTGACAGCTCCTCGGATGAAGGGCGGATGACTTTGGGAGCTTTCAGCATGCTTCATCTCCAACAATTCCATTGTGCCGCGTGCGACTGAGCCAGAGGGCAGATCACTCAACGGCCTGGTACCCTGAACTCCAGGTCAGTATCGGGAGCGGCCGACAGTATAAGGCTCATCAGCGGTCTTCCAAGATCGCCCCTGCAGCGGGTGTCGAGAGATCGTCGCAGACCAGGCGCCTCTTTTGAAGGTAGCAGCGGAGGAATTGCCCTAAAAGTAGTGGCCTAGCCACCAGGGTACTGCTACGGCTGAATTACGCCTCGGCTACATGTACCAAGCACCACGGGGTATTGCTAGACGTTATGAGCTGCCAAAGAGACTGCGTCCGTCACCCTGGAGCCAGCATCACAATGGAGAGAATGGCTCCAAGCCATGGAGGCAGAATGCCACCATTTTCGCCGAGAAAGAAGGCTGTCAGAGCTGGGAAGGCTGTCGACGTCGCTTCCAGCTCAGGCGCCTACTGCAGTCGTCCAGCAGCGGGTAGGCAGATCGCGCGCGTGAGGTCCAAGGTCGCTATAGGTCGCCCCAGGTGTACAGGTGGTGGGCATCCATCAAATAATAGCGGCGAGGTTCCTGATGTGCCGGGAGTGTGGGCTCTATTTAGTCTAGTGGCGCTTTCCTGCAGAATGATTAGGGGTGTGTATTCTTTCTTGCCTTGCCTGCATGCACGCAAGCAAGTTGGGGCAAACTCTCAGCATTTTCGCGTCGACAGGAGAGGCGTGCAGTTGAAAGTGTGATGATAATTCATGCGCGCAATTAGCCTGAGAGTGGTGGTTCACAAGGCTCGCATTGAAATCAACCACGGAGTATGCTTGATGTGGCCGGATTGCCGTGGCGATGGGGACAGACTCGACAGAGGCGGCAGGCCAAGTTCCAACAACGTCAAGGCGGCGCGGAGAAGTAGTCGGAACGAGGGAGGCGCGGAATACCTATCACGAGTCCACGACTGAGATTAGGGATGATGGATCTCGAGTACGTAGCTTCATGCCCACTCCATGCAGCTTTGCTTGGTGACGATAGATTCGTGCTTCGATGCGGTATTGGTGGCTTGGCAGCGGTCACGATTCGCAGTCACCCACACCGCTGATTCGGGGCTCTGGCTGGCCCAGTCCATGTAATGAGTGAGGCTAGCACGGAGGTCGGTCGTGGACGGTGGCCAGAGAGTGGTCATGATGTCCAATGCCGATGTTTGGGCGAGTGAGGAACTCGAAGCCCACAGATCGTCGTCAGAAAGGACGGAAGGTCCCAGCAGCCATCGCCTCCCGCCACTGTGGCTTGGGTCAGGCTCTCGGGATCGTGCTAGCTTACCTACCCTATGCTCAGCCAACTACCTACTAGTACGTAAGACGGCACGGCACCCATCTCACATAAGTACCAGTACGTTCTATACATCCACTGCGATACTGGCAATTCATCTATGGGTACTCCGTACTAATTAGAACTACCTTAAGCTCGAGCTCACCGCTCATTCGGCAGTTGCCCACATTGCCGTGGGATGATTATGGGCTGAGGAACCAGAACAACTTTATTAAGATACGAAAAGGATGCCAAGAATTCTTAGAAGTTTGAACGAAGCTTCGGCTCACTTGCGAGATAATACTACGTATAACATTAGCCTGACGAGTGTCACCATACAGGGGTATGCTGGATGCAGCAAGCTAAGGCAGTCAGGGAGACTTCACGGCTTGTTAGTGCATCCATTGCCATCCCAACGCAACCAGAGAGATCTCATTGCTTAGACGGACTGGCACAGCCTGGTTCGTCATCTGGTGGGACGACCGGGTCATTGCGTTATCTTTTGCAGACTTGCCGCAGAAGTGAAATTTCACGGCAACCTGGGAACTACATGGTCGATGCGCTGGTTCGCAGGGCAATGTGACGTTTGGCGACGTAGCTGAGAGAAATGCCAGTTGACAGCTCGAAATGCCATTCTTTGGAGGTCGACCACATGTACATGTAATGTGGTTAAGAATCAGCAGAAGAGAAGACAGGGAGCTGTGTCTCCTTATGAGTCGTAAGCTGGACATCTGTAATGCCGCATGTCGTGCAGCTTGAGGCAACGCGTCGTGTTGGACAAACCCCCTGAAGCGCCCGGTCGCTTTTCCGATTCCTCCCAGGCAAACCAATCATTTAAAGGTCCTAGAGCGCTCTATTGCGCAGATCAGAGGGCATGGGGCGGCCGAAGGACCCGCAATCCAACGTTATCGCGTTTAGAGTGAGGACATGGAGTCAGGACGGACGGTACCGACGCTGGCTTGCCTGTTCCTGGGCCAGCATGCTGATCGTACATTGCTTGCTGAGTACCAAGTTTGGTAAGCGTGAACAAGCGCACCTTTGTCGATGGCGGTTTTCTGATACCATGTCGTTTTATTGTGCTATTTGGCGCTGCTACGAGTACTGGATTAATACATGTCACCAACCCCTGTTAGAACATTGAAGTCTCCTGGCCTGTGCCACTGTGGAGGCTGGAAACAAGATCGGGGATCTTGGGACCGCCCGCCTGGCCGCCGCTAATCCAGAGCTTGTGAGCTAGTCTGGATTATATTGAAGAATTAGGATACCTCGTGGATTAATGATTGGAATCCTCGCGTGGCTCAGTGTCTCTGCATTTTCTAGAACGGTCAAACCCACGAGCCGACGCTCTGTTCGGACGCCATCTGAACTCTGCAAATGCCAGCGTGCATTGATGCATTTCGTGCTTGCCAGGGTGTCATCGGGCAACTGTCCTGGTCTGGGGAAACAGAGATCTGGATGTAACCTTGTGCCGGACGGACAAGAGTCAAGACACAGCGCGCGCGCTCACATGAAGACGGGAAAAGGCTCCTATCCGAACGCACACAAGTAAGCCGAGGAAGTAACGCCCCGGGGGTGCGTGTGCGCAACAACAACCATGAGATGAAATGCATGACCCTTGAAACGCGCCACGGTGGGTTTGCAAAAGAACCTGAAGAAGCATGACCTGGACCGTGAGGGGACTGGGCTGGAGGGTTGGTTGACTGGCCGTCCTGGAGGGCCGACACGCTGAGGCGCTGGCACTTTCCGCTGCGGGCCACGTACTGCCGCACTCCGGTCCAGTCGCTAACAAGGTGCCCTGAGGCTAATGGACGACTGGACTGGAGCGACATTGGCCTCTGGAGCACTAACAGCTTAACGCCAGCCCGCTGGTGAGAGTACCGAATGTCCACTAAACAAGCGCTACGAATGATGCCGTCGGTGGCTGGCGGCTGCCTCTGCAGCCCGCTCTTATGCCCCCCATCGGCTCGGAAATCGCTGTTAAGCAGCGGGCGCGCGGGCAACCTGATTTGCGGCAACTGCTCTGGTGATAATGGTCCGGCCAGTCGATAATACTATGTAGTTTTCGTGGCCGCATTGCTAGTGACGAAGGAGTCGCCTCGTCATGAGTTGTGCCTTGTGCTGGTGCATCTTGCTGAAGAGTCTTGGCCTGGAATAGCGTCCAGCACGGGACCTTTGGGCATATTATTACAAGGGCAAAAATATCAACATCCAGCCTACTTACCTCGGAAGTCAATTGCGACATGTGCTTACTATAGTAGTAGATAAAAAGACAAAACGGTCCGAATCTGGCGACACTGCCTTGTGAAGCTGATATCTTGTCGTTCCGTAGGCTTCGCCTCTTTAAGTAGTATCCGTCAGTGTTAGAGAAGTGATCAGCGATGATCGAATAATAGTCCGTGGGGTCATGTCGGCCGCCTTGCCGGTGGCCCATCTATCTTACGGTCGTGCCTACCTAAAGGCGACGACAATGATGTGCTTCTCAGTTGTTTTCCTTGTTTGATATTCGCATTCCATCCGCCAGGCGGAGTGACTGCACGCAGACTCTCCCTCCAACACGTGCACCTGCCTTGCCTGCGACTGCGGTCCGTTCCTGCGCTCTCCATTGGCCATGCGCCCTGTTTGACAGTCGTACCTTACCACGTAGAGATAGAGGTCACTCATCACGGTCTCGTCCTGGGTAGCCTGCCTTTTCTGACGCTTTGCTCATCGGTCTTCCCACCACCAATGCTTCACGGCCAGCCAACCTGCACGCATGACGACAATGTCAACACGACTAACTAATACGCTTAAACCATCGGCAGAACGAACGGCTCCAGGTCCCGAGTCTTGACCTAATTAATCACCTGCGCCAGCCACTAGCAAGCCACAGCCCCCAAATCTTCCAATCGCCCTCAAGTCACACCCACACTCGGCACAAGCCTATGTCGACGATTCGGACGGCCGTGCCTGACAGGATCCTGGTCGTCCGCTAACCACCCACCCCTGCTCGGCTTTAGAAGCGCATGTCTCTTTGCTGCCTTCTCTGTGGCCTTCTGGAAGTCGCCGTGCGCTGCCTGGGAACCTCTGGCTCTGAGGCTCTGAGGCGTCCACTCTCTGAGCACCGTGACCTTTGAAGCGCTGCCGATACCTTCAGCTGCTGTCACGACCGAACAGACGTGGACACGAATGTTGGCAAGCATGCTCATAATGCCTCGCGTCGTCCTGCTCAGCCTGAGCAGCAGACTGCCATCACTTCCTCCAGTTCCACCCAAGGCAGCAGCAGGCGCGGGCAGGCGGATGCTCGTCAGCGCCCCTCCGGCACGTGCAGCGGCGTGAAGGACTTCCATGGTGCGCTCTGGTCGCGCTGATCTTTTCGCCATTGCTTTCTGGGGGTGTGACCTGCGCTCACCCCTGGGGTTTTAACCGCACACCATACTAAAACGACTTCACAAAGTCCCCTGGCCCTGGCTATCTCCAACGACGTCCGTCAATCTTCGAGCATGCGAGGACGCCCCCACCGAACCCTCTGCGAGACTGCAACTGGTTGATGCATTTCTCTGCTCCTGGCCCCTGGCAATACACCGTCGCCATCTCCGCTCTCCACAATGCCTATACCGACCCCGGTTCGGCTTCTCACAGGATGCTCCCACATGCACTATTCACACCAGACAGAGACCCTTCTTCCCCATCGCCATCCTCGTGTGCATACATAACTATCTGTTGTCTGTCTCCCACCGCCCACCTTCATTGTTCTCTACTTCTTACGTATGAGATACCATATCCGTACATATACCTCCCTGTTCCAGCATCGACATCGAATTCCTGTATCCAAGTTGGCATTGGCACACTGATCCCATCAATTCACACATATACTTTACACAAGATCCACTGCTGTCATGACCGTCTCTGCCGCCCAGTCGGCCCCTCAGGCCAAGGATACTACGGCGGCTCGTAAGCGCAGAAGACGTGCTCCCGCTGGTGGTGCCGCTGATGACTGCTTCACCTGCCTCAAGCGCGGCGTCAAATGTGACCGTCGCCGGCCATACTGCTCTCAGTGCCTCGAAGTCAGCAACGAGTGCTCGGGGTACAAGACACAGCTGACCTGGGGTGTTGGAGTTGCGAGTCGGGGCAAGCTTCGCGGCCTGTCGCTACCCGTTGCCAAAGCGCCACCCGTCACTCGAGAGCCCAAAAGATCACCAGGCGGTGCTCGTGCCAGAGCCAACAGCGCTGCCATGGCCACAGCAAGCATGAATGCTGGCTCCAATGCCAACACCCGCCCACACGTCAACCACCATGGCCATCGCCTCAGCACGAGCTCGGCGGGCTCGATGCCGTGGCCTGAACGCGAAGACCCCAGGCTTCACGCGGCTCCAATGACTTCTCGAGGGCCTATTGATATTCCATCGGTTTCACACGCCGCCGCCTCGGCACCGACGACCCCGTTCGGCATGGCAGGGTATGATTACCTCTCTCTGTCACATTCGGACAATGCACCAGCCATGGGACACGGCAACTGGGGCAGTGTGGCCTATTCTCCGAGTATGGTGCACTCGCCCGATGCGCACACTCGCTTCAACAAGTTTCCCCTTGCGCTCGCCACGGATGGCCTATCTTCCTCGGTCAGCTCGGTGAACAGCGATGTCGACTACATGTCCCCTCTAAGCCAGTCATACCCTCGCGAGGAGCTTCCCTTTGTCAACAGCCCGTCTCTCATGTACGACAACTTCAGCACGCACCAGAGCTCTCCTGCACCACAAAGCCCGCCTTCCAGCATCAACATCGACCACTCGCGTGCGCCTACATCGTATCCAGGAATCGTCTACACACCTTCCGAGCACGGCTCCAGCCTTGGCTCCCATCATCTCGACGTCTTCGAGTCTCAATTCAGCCAGAAAATGATGAGAGAGAGTGATGGCTTCAGTGAGCACCATCCGGCTCCTTGTATCGCCTACTCTTTCTAATTGGCTAACAGGTGTCCCTGGTGCCGGTTCCCAAGGACGGAACGCTGCCTTGCCGCCTTGCAACAGATCGCCTCAACCTCAGCAGCAGCAGCGATTGCGCTCACCCCAAGAGACCTCACCATCCCCTCGAAGCGAGCCATCGTCGAAATGGGCCAACGAGCCGACGGCCATCCCACAGGATCTGGCCACACGGATGCCTTTTTTCATGGACTACTATCACAGCACTCTTTGTCCAACCATGGTCTTCATCGATGGTCCATCAAATCCCTTCAGAGAGAATGTGCTGGAACTGGCCGAGACGAGCCCGAGTCTTCAGCATGCAATTTGTGCTCTTTCGGCCTGCAACTTGAGGATGAAGCGGAAGCTGAGTCTGGGTCAGGATACCCAGACGTTGATGGCTAAGCTTTTTGTCGAGAAGCAAACTGCCGAGGCAGTAGCTGACACGCAAATCGACGACCCGGCATTGTCTGAGGAGTATCAGCATCGCAACCTCGCCGTGCATTTGCTCAACCAGCAACTCAATGATCCTGTCAAGTCGAGCCATGATTCAGTTTTGGCAACGATTCTTCTGCTTTGTCACTACCGCATGGTTGAGTCTGGTGTTGCCAAATTCCAGACACAGTTTGCTGGCATAGGAAAGATCCTTTCCATCCGGAAGGCTCAACAACTTGAGGCGAGTGAGCCGTCATGGATGCAAGGACTTTTCCAGCACTTTGACGCGATCTCGGCTAGCATCAACGACCGAGAGCCGCAACTGTCAGGGTCGACTGGCTTGTCTGGCGACCATGACAACGTCGATGCCCTTCCGTTTGGCATCGAGAACCTGGTTGGCTGTGACCGGGAGCTATTCAAGACCATCAGCAGGCTGGGACGTCTCAACCTCGTGTCGCAGCACCGACCTGTGCACAATCTGGCGACGACCCCTGACGAGTCCCACCGCCCACACTCACCTTTTGGTATGCCTATGAGCCGCGGCCACCGCGGTAGTATTAGCCACGCCGTCAACCAGCCGGTTAGTGAACTGCGCGGTTTGCCGCTTGGGGCTCGGTTTGATGGCAATGGCTTTGGCGCCTTGCTGGACGAGGAGGATGCGATCACATCAACCGCTCGGTCTACGGGTGCCTACGATGCTCATCGCGCCGTCTTCTGGAAGGAATGGAAGGAGGTCCGCCTAGCGCTCCAGAGCTGGCAGTTCGACTCGTGCACTGTGGGAGCGAGCCTGCCAGGACCACCAACTCAGCTTCAGGTCCGGGATCTTGGCTCACTCTCCGAGGCTTTTCGTTACGCAGCTCTTCTCTACACTGAGCGACTCGCAAGTCCCACCCTCCCTTCGAGCCACACCAACTTTCAAAACCTGGTCAGCCAGGTTGTCTACTACGCCACCAGCCTCGAGCCTGAGAGCGGGGCTGAGAAGTTCCTGTTGTGGCCGCTCTTTGTGGCAGGTTCCGAATGCGTGAACGAACTACAACAGAATATCATCCGGAACAAATGTCGCGACATGATGAGTCGCTCCGGCTACATGAACAACCTATCGTCCCTCGATGTCCTGGAAAAGCTATGGGCCACCGAACTCAAGGAATCGGAAGGCAGAAGCCCTGGCACCAGACTGCACATTGTGGGACGCCGAAGCCCCTTCAATTGGGCAAAGTGCATTGGAGGCACCGGCGACATGGAATGGATCATGTTTTGATCACATTCAGCATGTTTTTTTTTTTTTTTTTTGAATTGCGCTTTTGTATGTGCGAAGCGTCGAGGACTGAGACGATGTATATGATTGATGGAAATGTGTACAACTTACGCATGGGTCAGGAGTCGGGACTTTGAATGGGTTTAGCTGATGACAGGCGTTTTTTTTCGGTTACGACTTGGAATACCACGAAGCAAGCGTGCGCGGTGATGAATAGAATCTCTACAGTCGAGTCCTTGCTTTGACACTGCTCTCTCGCAACGCTTGTGACCAGTGCGCAACCCCTGAACGGCGGCCGCGATGGATGTGCAACATTGTTCCGGATCGACAGGACCCTCAAGCACGTCCCACGGCTTTCATGCTGGTCGACGATCATAGCCCTAGTCGTGGACGATCAACCGAATGCCACCCGAATCTTATTCAGCTAAAAGTAACGGTATGAACGAATGCGACGCTCCATCGGCCTTTGTCAGTCGTCACGCGCGTCATTAATTGTGCAAGGCTTCTTCTCAGCCTCACGCATTCGAAACATGCGTCAGCCAAGGAGCAGCCAGATGCTTGCCACGAGTCAACTACTGGAACCGAACTAGACCGAAGACAGAGAGAAGCAGATCATCGAGGGAGGGGCGATTCGAACGAAGAAGAAAGCGGATACGGAGTACATATGCACCCGAAATCCTTCATGTGTTTTGACGTGGGGGGGGGCGCGTGTCCATGGGCGCTATTCGCTATGATGGCAACCCTCCCCCCCTTGTGGACTGGAAACCAATCCAGGACAAGGTCAGTCGGGAAGAATCCCTGGTAAAGAATGGGAAGTCTAAAAACAACAATAACAGATCATGGGAATGTTTCAAACCCGGGGCAGCAGCTTGATGTGAGGATAGTCGCCAGCGACTCAGCGCTCTGCATGAGGCGGCCGCGAGAATCCCGTCACCGCCAAGGACCCTGATCATCACGTCGGCCGGCGTGTTTCGATCGTCAGGGGGGGGGGGGCGTCTGCGCTCTGCACGCACCGCTTGTCATCCTTCGGTGCACCGTTGGCACCGATACTCATGGGTCGAAGAAGGCAATCCGTACCAGGCAGCCGAAGACATGGAAAACAGTATCGGGCCATTGTCGATCACACCATGCAGGCATCCCAGCACGAACCAAATGTGGTATGGAGTAAGGTTGTCACAGGCTCACAGCTGACTTGGGTGCTTCCGCAGAGAGATATGTACATACTCGCACTGGAGTCAATGTTGAGAAAGGGCTGGTTCTAGTCTGTGTCGGTAGTTGCGTTTACCGGGCGTGCAACGTGCATTGTGGCTTGCTTCTTCCCATCGGTGCACGCCGCGCCAGACTACGTACAAGGTGCTACGTAGCAGGATACCGTCGGGAGCGTCCGCTGTCGGGTGAACCATTACGTGCGTCAATGGCGTCGGCGGCGTTTTCGCTCCTGTCCCACAACGATGCACTCCCACTCTGACGGATGCCATAGCAGGTCTGACTACTAGTAAGGTATCTGACCGTTTTCCGTTCCTGCCTTGCGCAATCACCGCACGTCAACGAGGTACGAGCTTCCACACAGTTGTTGCGGATCGTCGTTGGTGATGTGGGGTAGCGTACAAGAAGGGGCTGGGGATATCTGATTCTGTCCATAGTAGTTCGTGTTGTTGTTTAGGTACAAGAGCCTCAGTTGTGGTCTGCTCGAGAGGAAGCAGGCTTGGTGGACATCGCCTGTCTCCTCCGAGTACAAGCCTTGCACAGCGGATGAGAAGAAAGCGGGCTTGATGCAGGCGTACATGGACCGTGGCCGGTCTCCTGGCGGTCACCAACCTCCTTTCAACACAGCGGATAGCCAGCTCTGGTCCCTGAGCTTCAATGGTATAGGTATTCTTGAGGATATTCAGTGTTGCATAAGACTAAATCCACGCTTTCTCGAGAGACTATTCATATCTAACATTTCCAAATAAGTTGCTTGACTTTCCCTTGGCTTGGAGGCCTTGAGACTGGAACATTGAGGCTGCTGCATTCTCCCTGTGCAGCTTCTGATTCAGCCGGATTCCATATTTCACGTTGGGATACCCTCTTGGTCGTGGCAGATACGAAAATTACCGCATTCATCGAAATATTGGCTCACCAATACCCAAAAATTCACCGAGTTTGTTCGTTCATGGCTTTTGGGCGCTTGATCCGCCTCGCAGACTAGTCTCTTGGGCCACGCCATCGTAGGGGGGTGAACATCATAAGATTTCTTGGGGATTCAGTAAACACCCCGAAGCATCTATTTGAGATAGGCAATTTCTGTGCGAAGTGAGGGAGAGCCGGAGCAACTTGACACTTTATCACGCTTTCCTTCGGCGTCCTAGTAAGGTTACTAGCCTACGGCTTGTTTTTCCCAGGGTCTCCGTCTGTGGTATAGAATAATTAGATGGCGGGCTTCTGTAATGCTGAATTGTACCTGCGAATGGCTGAGACGACATGCTCCTTAGATATCTTAACGATATGTACCACGTTTCCTTCTACACTGGAAGCATAATTAGCCACATCGCCCATTGTGTTAGTCGGCGGGCAACCGAACCATAAGATAGCATCATTGCTGCTAGGACAGATATCAATGGCAGATTCAGAGAAATAACGAAGTGAGGACGATAATCGAGTTATTAACTTTGCAAGGTCCTTAGGACCGCTGGGGACTGTCAAGACGTGCCATTTCCAACAGTCCTCGCTCGGTTGGGGACGCTTGGGCTGTGACGAGAATACTGAGTCGTTCATGAATGAGTCGCCGCTGTTGCAAAATCAGACTCAATAAAAGAGAGGAAGAGGAAGTTCGATATTGAGGCGATTACATGTATGATTGAACGACGACGTCGAATATCGTTTACGCTGCGTGGTCCTCCACACCATCTTTCTATAGCGCAGACCCTTATTTCGAGATGCCGTTGGCACAATAGTAGTGAGGCGGAAACTGCCGCCATACTAGTCTGCGCTACTATGTGGTGTGGATGGACCCTGAAATGATTCTAGTCGAATATGCTCAACTCAACGATCATGTCAGGTTTCAATTAGCTGCTCGCTACGTGTGGCATGCATTCACAGCAGCTTCAGTAGTAGCCAGGTCTTCAGGAGCCAGGTGTACACAGGAATTGGGGTCGTGACATTTTATTAATCCGTTACTATCCGTAACTATCAATGTCAGACTTTTTTCTTTTCCTTTTTCTTTCTGTCCTCAGGATATAACCCCCGTCAAACCCCGAGGTCCGTAACGTGGCCGAGGACCCAAAAACAACTCCAAACGCCTGAAAAACCATTCGCCGAGACCCAGAGAGTGAAACATATTTTGGCGGGATGTAGAGGGAGGGTTGAGTAGCCCCGGTTTGCCAGTAGAAACGCCCCTCCACCCCTTTCTTTATGTGTGTTTTTTGTTTAGCAATCTGCAGCAAAACTCCAAGGGGCCACAACCAGAAAGTCAAAGTCCAGAAAAGAAAAGTGAAGACCCAGAGGTCAGTAGTCCAGCATGATCAGCTTTGTTTCCCGACCCGGAGGCCGCGGGTTGGCAGCGGAAGTCCACGTAGACTCATCCAACCAGTCGTATCCGTTCGGGACATTGGTATTGTCAAGCTTGTCCTCGCTAGTCAGATCTGAGTCGTCTGAAAGCATCAACGGACTGATTGTCGGTGACACACGGGGGGGGCACATGGAACTTGAAGATTTCGGAATGCATCGGTGGAGGGGCCGGATTTGGCAAATTGGACGGCTGTAGGTTGGCAGCCGTATCAACCAGCGCTTCAAAAAATACCGGCTCCTCATATTCCATGGGAGGGCGCTGGGCGATCTCTTCGAAGGCCAGGGGTCTCGGGCTATACACGTCTCCACCGAGATAGGCCGGCAAAGGTGACCAAGGTAAGGGCAACTGAGTCTCGGGCTCGTCTTCATAATCCACCACCGTTTGCATCCAAGAATATACGGGAGGCTGTATCGATTCTGGAGGCTGCTGTTCATATGAGCTCGCCGTTGTTGTCCCTGCAGCATGTTCCGGCATGGTGGACGCATCGACAGGTGGGTGTGCCGGGTTGTTTGCAGCTCGTTTGATAGCCTGGATGGTCTGAAGTGAGCCGGGATGGGAAATCTGTGCTTGTTGAGATCGTCCAGCATGGGCTCTTCGATCAAGATTGCTTCGATGTGTACTCGGTGGGGCTTTTCTGTTAAGAAATTGTTCCATGTTGCGGTGCTCAATGCTCCGGGATAGCCTGGCAGAGCAAGGGGATCATAATGAAGCACCTGGATCGCCAAGAGAATGATCCATAATATTGTCTCACCAAATTCATCAAGCCCAGGCCCGGCGGTGTTAGTATTCACTGGCCTTTCCTGTCCAGCGTTCTGTTCAGCGCGAAGGCAGCCGCTGCACACGTTCTCCGAGATGGCCGAGACTGCAAGTCTGTCTCTGATATAGGGCGGATGTTGGCATTTGTACTTGCAAGCGATTGTACAGCCAAATTGGTGCGTGCACTTGTACCTGATCCGTACGTGTTGTGCACAGCCCTCAGGGTGGTGCATCTCCCCCTCCTTGGGAAGGACAACCACTGAAGGGAAACCTTCATATTGCAATATCAGGGTCCAATCACCCTGTCTTGTGTAATTCATGGAGGGAAGACCAACCCCAGGCTGGTGTTGGGCCATTGTCTCTGCGGTTTAGTTGGACCGACGTTGGGGGACGGGTGAGAGAGTATGTGACAAAGAAGACTGGAAGTCGTGGTGAAAGTGAAAGTTGTAGCACGACACAGTTGCTTGTATATGGGGTCTTTGAAGATAATTCCCGGCGAGGAGGCCTGCTCGATTTGAATATATGACTCTTGAGACTGTTGACGGGCGAGTGTCCAGTGGTGGATGTACAAGGCAAGGCCGAGATTGAGGTTGGTGATGTGCTTATAGATAGTGGATGTCTGCCTTTTTTGCTGGTGGAGGCAAGATAGTTATCTTGATTGTCTCAGAAAGGAAGTATATCAAAGCGAGAAAGTAGAGGAACATGCGATGTGCTTGTAAAAGCTGACCTTGTGTGCAGGAGTGTGCCATAGGCGTGGGACCCGTCTGGCTTTTAAGCTGTGGCTCCCAGTACGTTGATTGCTGCCGTCTTCCCAACTTCATTTTCAAAAGCTTATTGTCTCTTTTAAGATTTTTGAAAATAAACATCAGGGTCCAGTAAGTGCGTGTTGGGGCCAGAAAGTTCAAGCCGTGAGCGCTGGCGCCGCGGAATCGCGACGCAGGGTTTGCAAGCGCGGCACACGCGTAACGGCACCCATCATTGTGAGCGAGTACGCAAAGCAGCTTTCGTATAGCAATGAAGAAACGGCTTAAGCGTTTACATGATACCAGTGACGCTCCATGTGGCTCGAGGCTGGCTGTTGCGTGGATCTTTCAAAGCGGAACAAGGTCGCCCGGAGAAAAACGAACACATACTGGGCCAGGGGTGAAGAGCAGGAGGATCATGTGTGGCCATTGAAGTCCATCTCAACTGAACCAGGGCCAGCCAGCAAGCTCGCAAATCGGCTAGAAGGTTTTAGTTTGACATAGCTTTTTGCGCTAGAGAAATCTATGTCGATGATCTCTGGAGGTTGAAAGTGGCTCCGCGTACAATGATCGGGTGAGGCACATACGGGTTTTCACCAGCGGTGGTCGTCTCGACTGATGCATGTCTATGCCGACGTATCCGCGCTTTGGGGTAAGAGGAGGATGGTTATCAAGGTGGAAGGGTGTTCAAAAGGGTGACTCTGTCGAGAACGTAAGCTACTGTCAGAAACGAGACGACATGGTAATCCAGAAGAGTGCATGGCCAAATGTCACGTGTGAATAGCCAAGTGAGGTCCAATTAAACTCGCAGCGCAGTGGTATCTCATTAGTTATCAAGCTCATTGTCGATCACCTACTCCCGCACCATTCTCTTATCCTGGTGACTCATCACAGCTTCTGCTCCGTCGATGCAGGAGCCTCAGCAGAGGCAGGGGCATCCGCAGACGTCGTTTGCGAAGGCGCAGCAGGCTCAGCGGGCTTCTGGTTCAGCTCGTCCAGGATGGGGCGCTCCAGAGCATCGGGCTTGGTGAGACTGGCCCAGCGACCCTTGACGTGCCCGTCCCTGCCGATCAGAAACTTTTCAAAGTTCCACTTGATGCGCTTCAAGCCCATGAAGCCGGGCTGCTCGTCCTTGAGCCACTGGTACAGAGGGTCGGCACTGTCGCCGTTGACGTCGATCTTCTTCATGATGGGGAAGCTCACGCCGTAGTTGACCTGGCAGAAGTTCTGAATGTCGTCGTCGGAGCCCGGCTCCTGGCCAGCGAACTGGTTGCAGGGGAAGCCGAGGATGATGAAGTCATCGGGGTGGGATTGCTTGATCTTGTAGTAGAGCGACTCGAGACCGGCGTATTGGGGCGTGAAGCCGCACTTGGAGGCTGTGTTGACGACCAGGACGACCTTGCCCTTGTACTTCTCGAGGGGGAGCTCCTCGCCCTTCTCTGCGCAGTGTTAGCGTCTTGTCTTGCCCATTCATTTGCGTCTGGGGTGCCCACTGTCGAGGGGCTTGAAGTTGTAGAAGCTAGTTGCGGACGACATGGTTTGCGAATTGCGTTTGCGCGAGCCACCGATGGGGAGACAGGAGGAAGAGTTGTCGGCGGTCATGGCGGGCGCGGAAGAGGAGAAGGGTCTCAGGCGCGGGCTCGGGTGCTGGCGGCGGCGGCGGCAGTCGTGGTGGCACCCTCTGGAGAATTGCCTCGGCGCTGCTCGCAGTGCCTTGTGGACTGCTGTGTGATGGGGACGGTCGAGGCTGGTGAGACGGGGGAAGGAGATTCGGAGTTGCAGTCGAGATAAAGCGCGCACCGGCGGCAGCATGGCCGCTATGTTAATAAATATGACCCTGCTGACGATGGAGGACGGACCCTTGCGAGGCAATCTCTGGACTTGCTGTGAGCCTGTGACTGGCAAGCTCGCCCTTGACGCCTGGTCCTGTCCCGGACGGCACTGGGGACTGCAAAGTTCCTTCCCAAAGGATCGTGACGTAATTGGTAGGCTGTCACATGTGGAGTTGCTTGTGCGGCAGTTGCCGTAATTTAATCACCGTTTGTTACTTCCCTTACGGTCCACTTTATTAGCGATTCGGACAACAACTCCGCGACTCCGTGTTCACCACAGGCTCAAACGGCCAACTCAAACATGGGATTGGACAGGCACACATATTAACATACTACTATCTATGGCAAGCACCTAGATCAAGTACTCACAAATCTCACTATCAGTCTGGCGGTCGGTGAGGGACCAGAGAGTTCTCAACTTTCTTTGACAAAAATCACCCCTAAGACTCTGTCCGGGCCTGGAGCTGCCCCACATGATGATATCAGAATAGAGAAATAGCTAACCCAATTACCATCAGTCTGGATTTTGTCTTACCTTTTGACGATATTACTATCATATTCAAACACGTCTCTGGCAGTAACTCAGTGCTTCTGAAAGACCATTATCGGTACTGATAGCCCGCACGCCTGCACTCTGACCCCGCCCCATTCCAGTGACGGCACAAGGATCAAGAGTCAAGACGACGTCCGGTCGAACAGGCGCAAGAGCAAACCGTTTCTTCCAAGCGCATCGCCAAATGGAGGGCAAACGGAATATTGTCGTTGTCGGTACGCAGTCTTACCACATGAAAGCTCCCCAAAGATCCAGACTGACGCTCTACCAGGGGGTGGCGTCATAGGCTGTACCACGGCCTACTATCTAAGCCGGCATCCCAAATTCAACCCAGCACTTCATACAATCACGCTGCTTGAAGCTGCCCCTTCCCTGGCTTCCGGAGCCTCGGGCAAAGCGGGTGGTCTGCTCGGCTTGTGGGCATACCCTTCGTGCCTCGTCCCCCTCTCATTCAAGCTTCATGCGGAACTCGCTGCCGAACATGGCGGCGCCCAGAAATGGGGCTATCGCCATCTCAAGTGTGGCAGTATCTCAGCTACGGTGACCAAGCAGCGTATCCAGCAGATGCAGACGTTGAACGGGGACACCAAGGCTTGGGAAAGACTGCCGAAGCAGAATGAGGCAGCACAGGAGCTCTTTGCGAGCACCAACCAGCCAGAAGATCTTGATTGGATAGCCCGGGACCTTGTGGAAGGATACGCAGAGATGGGCGCACCTGGGGCCTCCGAAACGGCGCAGGTCCATCCCTACCATTTCACGACGTCGATAGGCGAGCTCGCCCGGAGCGGTGGAGTCGATATTCGCACAAACGCCAAAGTCACAAACATCAAGTCGAGCGCGTCTGAGGTAGAGAGCGTCGAGTATCTCGATCGTGAGAGCGGAGAGACAAAGCAGATTAACGACGTGACTGACGTGGTGGTCTCTGCTGGGCCATGGACGGGGCGTGTGCTGCCAAAGGCCAAGGTGGAAGGACTCCGTGCTCACAGCGTCGTGTACGAGGCGGACGTCAGCGCATATGCTGTCTTTACGGACATTGAGCTTCCCTCGGACTTTGTCCCTGAGCACCGCGCCAAGATGGGCCAGAAGCGCAAGCACAAGGGGTCGGTCGACCCCGAGATCTACGCCCGGCCTTTTGGTGAGGTCTACGCGTGCGGTACGTATGGCCTCAAGCTATGCTAGTTACTTTACTGACTTCAGTGCAGGCGAACCGGACAAGCTCGTCCCTCTGCCAGAAACGGCCGACCAGGTCGAGTGCGACGAAGCGCAGTGCGACGACATTATCTCGTACATAGGGACCGTCAGCCCCGTGTTGCACTCCGCGTCGATCAAAGCAAAGCAGGCATGCTATCTTCCGCAACACATTCGCTTCGGCCAGGAGAGTGGACCTCTAATTGGCGGTACGTCTGTACCAGGAATATGGTTAGCTGCCGGTCACACGTGCTGGGGCATTCAGAATGGCCCGGGCACTGGTAAGCTCATGTCTGAATTTGTGTTTGACGGCAAGGCGACGAGTGCGAATATTAGCAATCTGGACCCAAGGAAGTTCAAGGTCTGAGAACCACATTAGATAATAGAACTGTAAATACAGCCTGCAAAGTCGAATCGCTTGGAGGACGCATGTTGGCCTCGTCCAAAGAACCGCCAATTCGAAAATGCCAACCCCTTATCGATAAGACATCCTAACAAAATTTTGGCGGGCATCCCATCCCAACCACCATCGCTTCCACTCGCGACTAATCATAGACGACTGCATTGCCAGCAACAATTTCCACAATGGGTCGCGAAATTCAGAAGAAGAAGCGTCGCTCTCAGCGCCAGCCTGTCCGTCAGCCAAACCGACCCAAGAAGGCCCTCAACCCGCTCGGTAACAGTACCGTGGCCGCCAACTGGTTCGCTCCCCAACCCAAGCATCCTTTCGCACAGACACACAAGCTGACACATTGCGCAGGGACAAGTCCCAGACCCTCGCACAGAACTACCGCCGGCTCGGTCTCTCCGCGCGCCTGCGTGGTCCCACCGGTGGAACAGAGAAAGCGCTTGGCTCGAAACCCTCCCACTCGGACAAAGACCCTCTGGCCGTGAAAAACATTGAACCCGTCGTCGCCCTGGCCGAAGCCAAAGTCGAGCGCGATGCCGACGGCAAGATCATCCGCGTCCTCTCCCGACCAAACCCCCTCAACGACCCACTGACCGCACTGAGTGACGACGAAGACGAGGCGATGGCGGAGGAGAAGGAATACGAGGAGTGGGGTGGCATCCGCGAGACCGGCAACGAGACAGAGGTGGTGAAGGAGTTGATCCAGCAGGCGAAGAACCCGGCGGAGAAGAAGCCCCGCTACCAGAGCTCCGGGGAAAGAGAATGGTTAACGAGCTTGGTGGAGAAGCACGGGGACGACTACGACGCCATGTTCAGGGACAGGAAGCTGAACCCGATGCAGCAGACGGCCGCCGACATTGCGAAAAGGATCAAGAAGATGAAGGCATAGACAAATATGGCTGGCCGTCAGGCATAACATGGCAGGCGTTGGGGCGTTTTGGAAGAATCATCAGATGGCGGGAAAGTCACTTGATACAAAACTTGTCAATTTCACAGCGCATGCTACCTCTATGATGATGATCGTTCATTTATGCCCGGAAAACCATGGATCCTCCACACGTGTCATAATGTCCCAAACGCCATAGACCCCCCTTTGAGTATATACTACCGTACAGAATACGACGCCCGGTGTTCCTTCGTCTTTCGTCCCCTCTTATCGCTCGATGCGATCATAATTGCCCGCTGGGAACCGCGCTGGGTCGTCATATCGCGAACCGTACGACAAGTCAGACGCCGTCGGGGCGGGGGGCGGGCGAGCACCGATTGTGCTACCGGCGCCGTACTCGGTGTCGGCGTCAAACATGTCGTTGTTCCTGGGCGGCAGAGAGCCGTAACGGTTCGGGTCGTTGTAGTCGTCCGCGCTGTAGGGGTTCACGTGGCCGTACGGCTCGCCAGCGCCGGCGCCGCCATACGCCGTAGTCTCGTTGTCGTCCATGTTGACGCGCTCATATGCGTCGTCGTCATGAGGCGCCATGGAGAAGGCCGCCTTGTCGGGATCAATGTTCTCGCCACCGCGAATCTTGCGCTGGTCGTAGCCGGGCAGGTTGCCGTGGAACTTCCAGTATTGCATGGTGTACCCGCTGACGAGCGTGCTCATAGCGAAGAGGAGGCTGCAAAGTGGTTAGAAATCGTCGTCGAGAGAGCAAGATAGAGGGAGGGCACCTACGTGATGAAGACACCCAAGCCAACAATGGCCTTGCTGAGCTTGCAGCGGTTGCCGCAGTTGCCAGCCGTATTGTAGGCGGCTTGCGTCGCGAAAGCGGAGATCCAGATGATAGTGAAGACCAAGTCAACGCCGAGCATGGCGTAGGCATTGGCAAAGCGCCTTGTGCGTTCGAAGCGAGGAGTCATGACGAGGAAGACCCATGCTGGTATCGATAAAAAGGTCTAACAATGTTAGCTTGTTGTCAACATACCTTAGGAAGCCTGCCATTGGATTCTGTATACGTACCACGCCAAAGGTCCAGCCATTTCTACCTGTGATGATTGAGTCCTTGTCCGCAAACACGGCGAGCTCGAGACACCAAACCACAAAGGAGAGGACGATCTGAGCGCAATGCAACCCGAGCTTGACGGGCGGAACGTAGTTGGGATCCCACTCCCAGGAAGCCATGGTCAACTGTGTTGTGTTCGCGCGGCAGAGAGATGTGGTCTGTGTGCGGCAAGTTGTAGGGCCTGCTGTGACAGGGTCAGCAGGTGAGGATGTGTTTTCGAGTTGCTGGATTCGTCAATGGAGGTTTGTTGGATCGAAACAAGGCTGGATGGACGCTTCTGAAATTCTGATGCCGGGCGGTGCGAGCAGTGACGCAGCGACTCAGGACCCTGACAATAGTGGTCGCCGGGGTGACAGCTGGAGGTGTGACCGACGCTACCAATCACGCAGGCTGGTTTCGTTACTGCTTCGTATTGATGTGAATGTTGGTCGTTTGGTTTCTTGACAGTGTGAGGGACTTCAAGTTGGTCAAGTCAGGAGCATGCGATGAGGGGGGACAAAGAACAATCTCATTCCAGTCGTTTCCAGTCCTTTCATACAGCCAGCCCTCTAACTGAAGTCTCTGCCTTGGCTGCCGCGCGTTGACCCGGGACGCCTTACTTCAGCTGCAGCACCGCAGCAGGCTGCAACAGGCTGTCTCGGGCGGAAAATAAAGACAGCTGGAGGCGTTTTTTAGCGTCTCTTCTGGTTGCCCAGCGCCCAACGACCAGCGAAGCCACAGCCGCGTCGAACAAAAAGGCGGGTCCAGTTCACGTCAGTTGATGGCTCCGCCACGCTCTGTCCGAGTCTGTCCTGTCTAACCACCACAGAAGACTAGACATGATGTTTGAATTATCTTAAGCCAGCAGCATTTGTCTCCATGCTTGTGCCCAAATGGTTTGCTCTGCGGCCATCTATGGCCACATTCAAGAGACTGCAATCGTAAAGATTGAAGTTCTCGAGCCGCACCTCGAACACTGAGGCTGAATAAGGTAGCGAAAATCATGCCCCAGGCTTGCGCTAGCCTGAGGTCCAGCGGCCAGCCGCCAATGCCACGCGTGCCTGACGACTCCCACTCCATTCTGTTGCTATTCTTGGACCGCGACGATCTCTCGACGCCGACGGCCATACACAACTGCTCGTAATCCGGATGCGAACCCGCATGCCATTTGTCCGGTCCCTCGCTCAGCCTTAAGGTAAGAATACTACGTAAGGTATACAACCGACGACAACTGCGAGTTCTTCAGCCACTCAACCAACAATGATGGCCAGTGCGGGGTGTTCCGGACAGCCCACTGTTGGCTGGACAGAGTCTCGTATTAAGGATGGTCATGTACGACTGCGCGAACCAATGCTCATGTGGGTGTATGATAAGAATGGGCTCGATTCCAATATCATTCATTGTAGGAGCGATAATTTCAGGGCTATTGTCGATCGATACACCACACTCACGGTCTCCAAGCCGTCCGAACCAACACGAGGCAGCCTATGCCATTCCAGTGGTAAGCTCCAGAGACTACGTTGGTTCTTCGCGCTCGTCCTCTTGAGCGCCATCTTCTCTTGTCAGTGTCGAATGCAGCGTGTGCTGCTTCAGTAACGAAACACAAACGAGGGCGAGCAGGACGAGCCCAAGCAACGTGAACCAGACGCCGCGAAAGGCTTCCACAAAAGACGTGATGACACCGTCGTGCCAGCCCTTGGGGAGGTGCTTGAGTTCCGACAAATCGTTTCGCACCCGGCGGATGATCTCCTCAGCGTTCGGGTAATCGCCGAAGCGTTCCCAGAGCCTGGCCTTGAGGATATTCTGATAGATGGCCGAGCCAACCGTCACGCCTATGGTACTGCCTAAACTGCGAGCAAGATCTGGAGGGAGTCAGAGGGGAAACGGCCAGGTGGGTCCATACAGGGAGGAGACCTACAGGTCGCCGATGTGATCACGGCCTGTTGCGAATGGTCAACAGCGGCGATACAGGCGAGGAGAGTTGTGGTGAGCATGGCGCCATAGCCGCTGCCAATGGAAAAGAAGGCCACTAGAGTGAGCCATTTCGGGCTCGTCTCGTTCTGGAAGGTGAACATGACGACACCAACAACCATGAGGAGAACGCTCGCAATACCCAGCCGCAAGTATCGACCTGTCTGTTTCATGACAAACCCAGCAGCTACAGAGCCGATGGACACGCCTACCGGTGAAGGCAAGATCTGGAGACCAGCATCTGTGGCAGACGCGCCGAGAACTTGCAAGAACAGAGGGACGTAAAATATCCCCGTCATGGTGACCATGGTGCAGAGCAGGTTGCAGAGACAAGCTGCTAGAATCGTTCGGGTCGCAAGCAGCCGAACCGGGATGATGGGCTGGCGAGCCTTACTCTCCCACCACAGGAACCCCCCAAACGTGATGAAGGCCAATGGAATGGTGGTCAGGGTGAGAGGGTGTATCCACGGCACCAAGTTGCCTCCGGAGTTGAGCCCCAGCAATAGCAGCACGAGGAACGAGACGGTCAAGAAGACCCCCAGGAAATCGATGCGTGCGAGGTACGACTTGTCGGACTGTTTTGGGGGCACCTTGACCAGAAAGAAAACGGCGACCGCAGACAAGAGTACGGGTGGCACTTGGATCAAGAACGCCAGCCGCCAGCCCATCTTGGTGTGGTCGTTGATCAGACCGCCAAAGATACCGCCCATCATCGCGCCCGACCCGTAGCAGATGTTGCCAATGCCCTGGACAACACCCCTCTGTCGCAGAGGAATCAGGTCTGATCCGATAAATGTCGAGATACTCATGAGGCCGCCTCCTCCCATGCCAGCAATCACACGTCCAATGATCATGGTGTATTGGTCTTTGGCAAGGCCGCACATGAGATTACCCGCGGCGAAAAGCAGATTGCTCGCCACCAAGCCCGGCCCTCTGCCAAAGATGTCCGTCAAACGTCCTGAAATGGGCTGACAAGCGGCATTGGCGATGAAATAGGCTGTGGCGAGCCAGGACAGCAAGCTCAACGACTTGAACTCGCTGGAGATGGGCGCTGATAAGGTGGCGATGATGGTGGAATCTGTCGCGCCCAGGAAGACGCCGACCCAAGTCGTGCCCATGATCAAGGCAATTCGCGTGAAAGACACTTCTTCGGCGAGGACAACCCTTTCCTCGTCTGGAGCACCGCCATTCTGCTGAGCTGCCTCGCTCCCATTGCCTGGCTTCAACAGTGGCGATCTCTCGGTTGAGGCCGCGCTGTTGTTGGCGGCTTGCGAGGAGGAGCTCTGGGGTGTATCTGCCATCTTGGCAACTTGTGGTTGAGGAACCAGAAGAACAAAAAGAACGTGATGCACCTCGCTGAGGCGAAATTAAAGGGACTCAAATCTATGGCGACATTGTCCGAAGCCGTCGACGCGGACCGAGACCGAGTGATCGACCCTCCGCGGCTTCGGCAAGCTGAGTCAGCCAGAAACACTGCAGGTCTCACCTTCCACAACATCTCAACGCCGTGTCGCCGTCAGAGTCATCCCCTGTTCAGGATGACATTCGTGCTGACAGGTTTTTGCAGCGACATGGTCCCGCGATAAGCAGTGTGAAAAGCAAAAAGACAAACATCAAAAGGTCACGGTGGGGATCGAACCCACAATCTTTTGATATATCGAATCGTAGTCAAACGCCTTGCCATTGGGCCACGCGACCTTTGATGTCAGATGTGATCAATATTACTCAATATATAGGTAAAATCTAACCTCACCCTCTCTGTACTTATGAGAACCAGGACCCCATAACCTTTGGAAAGGCAAAGAATCTTGCAGCTCTGAGTTATCTGGGACTTTCAGGCTCAAGAAGCTGACATAAGTATGTTACTACCTGTATATATCACAGTGAACTTTTCATGAAAATGCTGTTCACGCTAGAATGTACTACGTGGGATTCGCTAACATAAGATAACGGACGTGCTGGGCACCGCTACTCTTTTATTCTAATCGCAAGAAACGATACCGACTGGATCCTCCGTGGTCTGGATTCGTTGATACATGGATTTCAATTCCACGCTGGCAATGCGGTATACGTTAGTTTCGTGGTATTTTCCGATATGAGAAGCTGCAATAGGGTAGTCTGTTGAAGAGCGGCAATTGCGGACAATGCAGGCATACATCCAATTTAGAGCAGCTGATCAAGCTGCTCTAAATACCTCGCAGCCTTTGATACTATGTAATATCTTTTGATTTACTTGCTAGCACTCTGCGGATTTGAGCGCTAAATCACCAGACTCAGTACCACATAAATGGTATTCTGTACGCCGAGATGCATGATTAGTCATCATCCTCGGGATCGTCTAGTTGGTTTATGACGTCAGATTGTAATTGCAGCCAGCCATCTGGATGTCGGGAGTTCGAATCTCCCTCCTGAGATTCTTTTGCTTATTGCCGTTGAATTATCTCTTTTTGCTCAGAAAGTCAAACCCAATTGTTCCACAGGCCGGACATGAAACTGATCTCTTTTCTTCATGTACTTCTAGCAGGGAAGCAGGGATATCTGCCCCCACTCAAGACAAACCGTGACCTGTTCTAGCGAGGCGCGAGTCGCCGAGTAAACAGGAGTCACGACACACGATCTCCCCAGGCCTCACCCGAAGCAGAGACGTAGCGATCTTGTGATCTCGGTACTCAGAAAAGGGCCAGGATGTCTGGTAAGTGTCAATCTAGTCTGACTAGTTGGCAGTTACTAATTCTCGTGCATTGTCGGAGTGTCACGCGTTGTGAAGGTTATTTAAGTGCCTTAATTCACTATAAAGGAAAATACTAAGCTCTACGGTTTTTATGCCGCTCTAAATAAGTAATCTATATACTCTTTAGCATAGCCCTTAGGCTACCCTCGGCCTACCTTCGACCTACCCTCTATTACGTGCTAATACTACCTTCGATCCTATTACTCTATTAAGCCTAGCGCCCTTATGAGGCCCGCTCACTGTCACACGGAGCTACTAGACCCCGTTCACGCCTGGCTCATGGCATGTTCATACGGACCGTTAAGTCCTTGTATTCACAATTAAGCTATGCATGCATTCGAGAGGACCCATGGAGTGACTCGCTGTGATTTGGCGCCGTGCCTACATCATGTATCGGCGCTTACTTCTCAATCCGAGACCGGTGGCGATGGTGCCAGCAAGCACACATGCAGCCAGGCTACATGCGATATGTCGGCGATGCAACCTATTTAGCGTAATGTTGTGATGGTCTATCATTCCACATGGCAAAAGTCTCCGCCTTAGACTGTTCTCGATGCTGCAAGGACCCTGGATTTGGGAAGCTTTGCTCCGGGGTTCGGATTTTGACGTCAGCCACACGTGTGGAATATAATACATGTATGTTGCCGCCTGTCAGATGGCCAGGGGTCATTCGATCAAGCGTTTGATGATATGCCTGCACATATCATAGCTACGACACGACTCAATTCAAAGCAAAGCTGATGTGCATTTGGAGGGGAGGATTTACCCCGGGCTGAGCGGGGGGTTAGGGGTTCATCGCGGTTGAAAGCAACTGCTGCTGAGCTTCAAAAGGAAGAGACTTCGCGCGCGTGCAAAGCATATTTTGTATTCTTCTCTCAGTTCTGCGTACAAGTCTCTGTCTCGTTCCGACAAGATGTCTGCCAACCAAAACAAAGCAAGCGTTCACCCCCTGAGGGCCACTGCCGAGGCCATTGCCGGAGGCACCCAAGGAGAGTATCGTGCTCCTCGCATGAGCCACATGCAGAGTGCCAACGAGGGCCCTGCCGACATTATATCCAAGGTCTCTGGCGCCTCCAAAGGCGGCAAGAGGGTGGACGATGGTGCATACTTCACCAACAACGAGGGCCATCCTTTCCCGGACCCGTATGTCACGCCTTCAAAGTGACAATAAACCGGTGGACTAACTCAGAGCAGAGCACACAGTAAGACTATAGGTGGCATACCCGTCGCGAGCGACGTGCACCTGTTTCAGTGAGCACTAAAATGAACGACACGATGGATCTATTGATGTAAGAGCTGACAGCATCCAGGAAGCAGCAGACCTTCAACCGCTCCAAGAACCTCGAGCGTGAGTAGTTGTAGGAAGTATTCAGGAAATGCCTAACGAGAGATAGGAATGGTACATCCTTGTGGTTCTGGCGCATTTGGGTTCTTTGAGTGCACCGACGACGTGACCGAGTTGACGGTGGGTACAAGTACAAAGCAAACAGGCGCCAAGATCTCTGACTTGCTTCATAGAAAGCGAACTTCCTCTCGACTGTTGGGGAGAAGACACCCGCCTTTGTACGCTTCTCCACGGTGACCCTTGGACGCGAGTTCCCCGACGAGGCCCGCAACCCGCGTGGGTTTGCCATCAAGCTGTACACTGGCGAAGGCAACTATGACATTGTTGGGTTGAACTTTGTGAGTGTTGATTGAAAAAGGCTGTTTATGTGCAATCGACTGACCGCAAAGCCCGTCTTCTTCTGCCGTGATCCTATCCAAGGTCCGGATGTCATTCGGTCTCAGGCCCGCAACCCGGACAACTTCCTGCTGGACCATGACGCCCTGTTTGACCTCCTCGCTAATACTCCCGAGGGAAACCACGCCGGTCTCATGTTCTTCAGTGACCACGGTACACCGCAGGGCTGGAGGTTCAACCATGGCTACGGCTGCCACACGTTCAAGTGGGTGAATGCAGAGGGCCGCTTCGTCTACATCAAGTACCACTTCATCGCCAAGCACGGTCAAAAACAGTTCACCGACAGCGAGGCCATGCAGATGTGTGGCGAAGACCCAGACTACTCCAAGCGAGACCTGTGGCAGGCCATCGAGAAAGGCGAGGAGATTGAATGGACGGCACACGTTCAAGTCATGGATCCCAACGAAGCGGACCCGGACTCACTGGGCTTCGACCCCTTTGACGTGACCAAAGTCTGGCCCAGGAAGCAGTTCCCCATGCGCAAGTTTGGCCGTCTCGTCCTGAACAAGAACCCCGAGAACTTCCACCGCGATGTCGAGCAGGCTGCGTTCTCGCCTGGCAGCATGGTACCCGGCATCGAGGACTCTCCCGACCCGCTGCTGCAGTTCCGCATGTTCTTCTACCGCGACGCGCAGTACCACCGCATCGGTGTCAATCTCCACCAGGTGCCGGTCAACTGCCCCTTTATGGCCAAGTCGTACGCGTCACTCAACTTTGATGGGCAGATGCGTGTCGACGCCAACCACGCGGGCAACAAGCAATATGTGCCCAACAGCTTTGCCCACAAGTTCCGACCTGATGCGGCCGAGGCTCCGTATGCCGTGAACGATAACATTGTCAGCCGCAAGAGTCACTACTGGCACGAGGGCAAGAAGAGCGACTACGCGCAGGCGACGGAGCTCTGGACGAGGGTCATGTCCGAGCAGGAGAAGAAGAACACGTGCTACAACACGGTCAAGGGCCTGCGCAAGGTTCAGTTCCCCGAGATCCAGGTATGTGCCGCAGACTTGCTTCCAGGATCCTTCTGACAGTCACTTAGTACAAGTACCTTGCGCAGATCTACAATATCGCACCAGACTATGCGCGAGGCGTCTACGATGGCCTGACGGACCCGCAGTTTGGCTTTGACAAGGTAGAGGAGATGGCCAAGACGGCGCACGTCTGGTACAAGGAGAAGAAGTTCCAGCCGTCGACTGAGAACAAGCTGGTGGGCAAGGTGCCATCGATGCCCGTGTACAATATCTGAGTGGTCGGTCTGGTCACTGGTGGTTCAGAATGGACGTTATCGGGAGCTCTAGTTTGTCGTGTGTATCCGAATTGGCATCTCCTGTGCGCCTTCTCGTTAGACTGTCACCCCCAAACCCTCCCTCCCTGTGTTCAGGCACACCCAAGTTGATCCCTCAAAGACCAAAAAAAGATGCTCTTGGGCACCTACGGTATACAATTGCCGTCGAGGGCAAAAGTGAAAGGTCACGGTGGGGATCGAACCCACAATCTTTTGATGTACAGTGAATCGTAGTCAAACGCCTTGCCATTGGGCCACGCGACCTGTGTTGGATGTTGGATGAAGATTTTTCATGATGTTGCGACATATACGGCTGGCGCGTGGGCTGTGTGGGGAGGATCCAGTTCGGCCCATGGCAGGGCAGGGCGGTCCGGGTATCTGCATCCTTTGCAACCTCGGCAGAACGCCCCACGAGAGACAGATATATCTTTTCCAGAAGACTGAGCGGCAATTTGAATAAGTGAATTTCACACAATGAGCCTGAATCAAGCGTCTGGACTGATATTCTGGCCCAGTTCTTCCAGGGTTCCAAGTCGATGCAGCTAAAGAACGTGGACCCGCAATTGCCTCTTCCGGAGTGTCGGATGGTCGCCATTGGCTGCGCCGACATGTCGCATACGGGCTGTATAAACGCCTTGACGTGCTGGTTTCAGCAAAAAGGGAGGGTTGATGAGCTTGGGTACTAAAGTGGTGGTTTCATTATAGTCCTGACCATAAAGACCATATCAGTTACCCTATAGTGAGACCCAGAACCCTGCCATGACCATAGTCTACAACACGCGGTGCACCTCTTCACGGGGTGGTCAAACCACGGCATGCTCGATGAAATTGATTAACCATTGACGGAACTCGAATACTCTGCTGTAGTAAACTCAGAAAGTCCAGTACTGCAACGCCCCCTACATCATCCAAATGTCGGAAGTTGCCTGTCACTTGGTGGACGGGTTGGGGGAGACGGTCTGGTCGGGAAATTTCCTGAAAATATCCGCGACGTGGTCAAACGGCGCCGTCAAGAGTCCCATGACCGTCTCAAAGGGCGGGTGCTCGCCGGCGCTGGGGTGGCTCCGACTCGGGACAAACATCTTGGTGCGTCCAAAGCTCGTGGCCATCTTGGACGAGGCGTCCTGGTGGGACTGCAGCGCCTCCTCGAGGGCGGGCAGGTCATGCTCTTCTTCTTCCTTGATGTGCTTGGACAGCGGCTCCCAGATCTCCTTGAGCTTGGACAGGTAGCGGGGATCGGTCGAGGACAGGTCCTGGAAGATCTTGAGCAGCTCCTTCACCTGCAGCGGGTCACGTCAGCGCCTCCTCCTCTTCTACGGATTCTGCAGAGATCGTACCTGGTGATGGTCCTTGCGGTCGCTCTCGGCCATCTCCTTGCCCTTGGCGCCTAGGTACTTTTCGAACGCAGGGTAGACGACGAGCTCCTCCCCGACGGAGTGGCGGGCGAGCTCCCAGGTGAACTGGTTACCATAGCGCTGCTGGTGGTCGTGGTTGGTGGAGTTGATCACCTCGTTGTAGTACTGCTCCAGCTCGCGGTGGTCCTTGGCGATGGCGGAAGAGATGGTAGACATGGCTGTGGTAGGTTTCTGGGAGGTGGCTAGTGCACGCAGGTGAAGCTTGGGCAGAGTGCTGAGTGGAGTTGTGAGAGTGCGAAGAGCAGGCATGTTGATCGGAAGAAGCTGTCAAGGCGGGTGAATCCCGAGTGCAGAGCGTTACTTATATGGCGAGTCCCAGTAGGCACATGAAAATCACCCTGCAGAGCCATCCGGTGAGTGCTGACATCAGTTGGCCCGGATGGGAGGCGTGTCGGTCATGATGAGCAAAGACCTGAGGGCATGGCCTCACATTACCACAATCAGGCTCGCTGATTTCCGTGCAAGTAACCATGGGACGTCTCGATCTGACCAACAGCCAAGCTCTGATTGGCCGTTTCAATAGAGAGACCGGAGGTATTCCTTCGTTGCCTTCACCATGCAGCCCCTGGCGATGGACGAATGACGACCCACTGATATCAGAGTTGCACCACTGCCTGGAGCTCATGGAACGGCCGGGGCAAATCCTCCTAGCTTCCCGAGACCGTCATTCAACTGTGCCGAATTGGTCGAGTCGAGGCTGTGAGCGTAGTCATCTCATCCTGTGGTTGCTCTACCGTGGTCAGTAACTTAGATTGGCCCTTTGGTCAGACGCAAGCATTCACCCAATCTGATGATACCGCCTAATGCAAGACGCGCGACTGCCGTCATCGAAATGCGCCACCCACTGATATTTCGCGATCCCACTCACATCGACTTGCTTACCTTACTTGGTACTCCGGGGAAAGCAGATCCATTAACTCCATGTTCCCCGACTTCCGATAGCGAGGTCACTATCCACATTTTGATATTCTGCAGGGTCTTGTAGCAGGTTGCATGTCCGAACCAACACCGGCATTTGATGCATTAATGAAGCCAAAAACTTTTAAAAAATCGATTCAAAGTAAATGCTGCGCTCCTACAATGACTTCTCCACCTCCATCGCCTCGGCCGTGCCCTGCTCAATCGCAGCGAGCTGTGCCTTGTCGAGCCTCTTCAGAGGCGGCCGGGGGTATCCTCCGTAGCCATAATGTATCTGGATAGCCTGCTTGGTACCGGCAATGGCCGCCTTGGTCATCGGCCAGTCCCCTTTGCTCAGCACCTTCTGGAGGGCTTCTGCCTCGTCACGCTTACCCTCAGCCCATAGATTCCACACGCGCACGCAGAGCTTGGGCAGCACGTTGGCGCCGCCGGCAATAATGCCGCTGCCGCCGCTGACCAGCGTCTGGACGGTGAAGTCGCACATGCCACCAAAGGCCATGTACCCCGAGCCCTCGCTAAAGGGGGTCTTGGCCTTGGCGCCCTGCGCCACGCGCGTGAGCTTGCCCGTGTTGCCGCAGGTGAACTTTGTGCCGACAATGTTGGGGTGCTCGGCGAGCTGGAGGAGGGTGTCGCTGTCGAGGTCGATGCCCGAGACGGCGCCCGGGTAGTTGTAGATGATGACGGGGAGGGGGCTCTTGTCGGCGACGGCGATGAAGTAGTTGAAGATGGCCTCGGCGTCCATCTGGGCCTTGTAGTAAGAGGGCGGGAGGAGCATGGCGTAGTCGGCGCCCACCTTGTGCGCGGCCTGGCAGAGCTCAATGGTGCCGCGGACGCTGCCCTCGGTGGCGCCGAAGATGATGGGCATGGACGTGAAGCCGGCCTCGTCCAGCGCCTCGCGCGTCGCCTTTGTGATGGCCAGTTTCTCCTCCCGCGTGCAATGGACGGCCTCACCATTGGATCCCAAGGTGACGAGCCCGACGAGACCGCTCTTGGCCAGGCGCTCAGCGTGCTTCTTGATGGTGGGGATGTCGAGATCCTCCGTCTCCGGGTCGAAGAAGGTCATGGTGGGCGCGTAGATGCCGCATGGCAGCGTGCGTGGTCCTGAACCGTTGGAAGCCATGGTGAGGATTTCGTGTGAGAGCTGAAGAAGCTGACGAGGGCAAGGATTGGCAGGATGAGTAGCGGTAGTAGGCACGGGGATCGGGTGATGATGGACTTATAAAGAAAGTCATGGGGGGCCACACCCGTGGGGCTACGCTATGGAGTACTCCAACATCTGGGACACCCGTCGGGTGAGCTCTCGTGTCAGTGGGGCTGACGAGCATTTGTCCGATACAGGCTGAGGAATCGAGGATGGAGGTACCTGTCTAATACACGTCCGATTGGAACCCTTTCTAGTACACGGAGAGGTGAATGTTGTCGAGTGGCGTGTTGGCACCAATAAGGATAGTTTGGAGTATATTAAGACAACACGTCTGCCCTCGTGACAGTCCGTCACTGGAGGATTTCGTGAGACTGAGGTGGCACGCGAGGCTCAGTTGGTGAGGCAAAGCGAGGAGAAGCATGGCAGAGATGGATGGAGGAGTGTGGGATGAGTCGGCATATCCGCTGTTGGCGCCCGAGGCGGCGTTGCCAGTCGCGAGAAGAGAAAGAAAGTCGCATGTTCGCGGGCCTCGCCCAGGACGTGCGCAGACATTGGGCAGGGATCTGCGTCTGGGGGAGGGGCAGCCATCGCGAATGCACGTTTGCTCATACGAGGGGCTCGGGTTTCGGGGGAGATGTCGGCGCAACACACCGAAGCTGTACAACGCTATTATGGTGACAACGCCTATGTATCGCCCCAAACGAGAGGTCTGCCCATGCACAGACGGGAATTGAAACCGAGTTTCTTATTTTTTCAACCTGAACTACGGCTCCGGCGGATTGGCGATCTGTTTTCCTGCGCTGTGTAACACTGCAACGCGACCAAAAGTATCATGGCCTGGATTTTTCCACCAATCAGACGCCTGTAAATGATGGTGCTCAATTACGTACTTGCGGGGCACAGCAATGAGGCTTGGTGGGGGAGAATGAGCGGCATTTCTGCGCAATGTCAGACATGTCAGTTCATTCGAGAAGAAATACTGGTTTAACTAAATAGCGAAGCAATGTTGAAGATGCTGCTTCGCAACAAAGGGTCACTGATCGGTCTCGAAGGCTTTCAATCACTAGACTAACCTATACTTGTGGGCCAATGCCGTAATGCGCTGCGGGGTCGTCGATGTGGGGGACACTTGAAAAACCTACGTACACCCCGCCTGGGGTCTAACGGCGGATAAAGGCGTGGTCTGAATCCTGGGACCTCAACTGAAAAATAATACAAGCAGTAAATTGAGATGTAGGCCCATGCACGTGAGGGTTGGGTCTACAATGACGGAGGCCCGGAGGCACGAATACTGCGCGGGAATCATCAAGGAAAGAACGACCAAGCGAGCAATGAAGGCAGTTCGTCAAGGCACGTACAGTGGTACAGTGGTATCCGTGTACTGGAAGAAATTCACCGTCGGCCAGCCTCATTATCTACACAGATATCTCCACAAGGCCGCTTGAGCTCCATCTACATTCACCCGCCAAGCTAGCTAGCCTCGCCGACGATGGCCTGAAAAGGTGGTACCTCCAAGGCTCCAATGCCACCTACGCGCCATGATGGCGGGGTGTACTTTTCCCTCCAATTGCTGCCCCTCAACCGCTCGAGCTCTCCAATTTCTCCGCTTCAAAGAGAGCTGAGGACCCTCCAAGAGTCGATTTCAAACATGAGCTATTCTTGAAGCGCGCCTTATTCTCTCCCTTGTTCCATCCGCGCCAGAAAGACTCATCTGTTACGCTGCCACAGTCACGGTTCCCATCTGCGCACACTACCCTCTTGACATAATCTCACAAGTCAAGCCTGGAATTCGAACAAAATGGCCCCTCCTAATGTGTTGATGGTCGGTACCGGCGAGTATACCACTGGTTTCGTCGGTACTGGCGCCTCTGCCTCAGATAAGAAGGTCGGCGTCGTCGGTCTCACCCTTTTTGACCTGCGCAGGCGCGGCAAGGTGGGCAACCTGAGCATGGCCGGTGTCAACGGTACAAAGTTCCCAGCGATCCGCGAGCATCTCAACAAGAACATCACCCAGGCCTACAACGGCCTGGACACATCCTTCGACTCCTTCCCGGACAACCAAAGCAAAGACCCAGACGCCTACAAGGCCGCCATCGACAAGCTCCAGCCCGGCGACGCCATCACCGTCTTCACACCCGACCCAAGCCACTACCCCATCGCCCTCTACGCCATCGAGCGCGGCATCCACGTGCTCCTGACCAAGCCCGCCGTCAAGGAGCTCGAGCACCACCAGACATTGATGCAAAAGGCCCGCGAGAAGGGCGTCCACGTCTTTGTCGAGCACCACAAGCGCTTTGATCCCGCCTACTCAGACGCCCGGTTCAGGGCCAAGAAGCTGGGCGACTTCAACTACTTCTACTCCTACATGTCGCAGCCCAAGTACCAGCTCGAGACCTTCAAGGCGTGGGCTGGCAGGGAGTCGGACATTTCATACTACCTCAACAGCCATCACGTCGACATTTGCGACTCCATGGTGTCAGACCGTGGCTACGTCCCCGTCAAGGTGTCCGGCTCGTCCTCCAAGGGCGTCGCCGTCGACCTGGGCTGCGTGGACGAGACAGAGGACACCATCTCGCTGCTCGTCACATGGGCCAAGAAGGACGCGCCCACCAAGCGCGCCGTCGGCGTCTACACGGCCTCCTGGACCGCCCCCCAGCGCGCCGGCGTCCACACCAACCAGTACTTCCACTACCTGGCCGCCGACGGCGACATTCGCGTCGACCAGGCGCACCGCGGCTACGAGGTGGCCGACGACAGCGCCGGCCAGATCCAGTGGATCAACCCCTTCTACATGCGCTATGCCCCCGACGAGGACGGCAACTTCCAGGGCCACACCGGCTACGGGTACGTGTCGATTGAAAAGTTCATTGACGGCTGCACCGCCATCAACGACAAGAAGGCGAGTCTGGACGATTTGGACAAGAAGGGCCTGCCCACGCTCAAGAACACGATTGCCACAACGGCCATCCTCGAGGCGGGGAGGAGGAGTATTGACGAGGGACGTGAGGTGGAGATTGTCATTGAAGGTGAATCGTGGAAGCTAAAGTAGGCTTGAGCTAGCAAGGATTGGAATGTCTCAGCGGCTCTGTGTTGGGGCATGACCTTTGGTAATGAGTATATGAACTACATGTATGTTGTCAAGTTACATGCGACCATCGATTGGGATCCCGACACCGTGATAGAGTTGACCTCTCGTCTCAAATGCCTTTTGAAGGCTTCTCAACTAACCCTTGCTCCCTGTAGCTGTGCAACAAACCGACCACTCACTTCAAGTTCGACCCCCCGTTGCTGTTCACAACAGAACCGGTCGCATCCGTGTTCTTGATAAGATACAGATACGCCTCCGCCACCTCTTCCGGGCGCCCAACCTTCCCCAACAGCGAAGTCTTTGTGTACTCGGCGCGTATGGCATCGCGCCGCTCCCCCCAGAGCTCCGTCTCCGTAGCCCCAGGCGCGACGCAGTTCACCCGCAGCGGGGCCAGGTTTAGGGCAAGACTTCGAGCAATGGCTTGCTGAGCCGCAGCGTAGCCCGAGTAGTGGACGAAACCCGGGATGGGCCTTTCCGCCACAGAGCCCGAGGAGATGGTGATGGACGATGTGTAGCCGGGGCGAAGGAACCGCGGACCCAGCTTGCCGATGAGAAGGGGCATGAACATGGTGAGCATGGCACAGTCGGTAAAGTATTCAATGTCCGAGTCTGACAAGGCGCGAAGATTGGGTCTGGCTGCCGTGTACACAATGTGGTCCAGCGGTTTGGTGCCCTGCTCTGTCACTGCGGACAACAGCTGCTCCAGGTTGGCCTCGGCCGCATGGCCGTAGAGGTCGACTCTGTATCCGGTGGGTTGGTATTTGGCTTCAGGGACAGCTTCTTGGAGTCGTCTGATAGCATCGTCGACCCTGTCCTGGTTGGATGAGGCAATGATCACCTGCGCGTTCTCGGCCAGACACAGCTTGGCGACGGCGAAGCCAATGCCGGAAGAGCCTCCCACGATCAAGATGGACTGGTTGGTAACGGAAGGCATGTCTGTTGAATTTCAAAGTGTAGTTGGTTATAGTAAGAGTGATGAGCGTGTTGGTGTATGAGTATTGGCAGACTCTTGGCTGGTCCCTCTTACACGCCGCTTGATGGCCAGGACGAAAGGGACCATTTTGGATAGCACTCCTTTTACATCATCGCGAGTATAGCTCAATATCATTTGAAGATTACTCCTGCAAGTGCACGGAACTATATCTAAATCCGGGTGTAAATCAAAGAACAAGGGGTAATTGCTGACGGACTTAGGGCAATGTAAACACCGAGCTGATCTCAATGCATCTCAATGATGCGTACGCAGCATTGTATTTTCATACCGGAAATAATGGAATTACTATGCTAATGATTTTTCCTGAATGAGCATCGTTGAAGTTAGGAAGCTGAACGTGAGCATGGCTCAAGAATGAATGCGTGCATGCTATCACTTACACTGGGGTGGAGAGTCTCAGACACCACTGTCCGTCAAGTACATCTGTACAGATACAGCGGAAAAACAGCTCAACCAACATGTGCCTTCTGAACAAGAGATTTGACATTACATCGCTTGTGTTTCCATTGGCAAGTTGCAGTGGTGTACCTGCTCTCATGGCAGACCATACTGTCATCAGGACACCTGATCAGCCCATGGTAAGGGACACACACCATGCCATCAATTATAGAAATATGCCCTTCCATCAGCCGCCAGATAATATCGACCGGATACAAAGATGGCAAATTTTTACAAACAAAAGTCGTTGCACAGCGTGTTAGTAAAGCTGCTGTTCACAGCCTTGGATGGACCCACCTTTTCAAAAGAGTGTGTCTATTCTCAGTTCTCGCCAACGATCAAAATCGACTCATGCCTCACGACGACATCGTCACCCAACATTCAGGATGCCGGAGCCCCAGTACAAGGACCTCATCTTCCCATCTCAGGAAGCGCAGCCGTCGCTCTCATCCTTGCTCACGAGCCTGCGCACGCGCAACCTCTCCATCCACAACCGCCTCACCTCCATCCGCACCGACTCATCTTTCATCCTCCACGTCGCGTCGCTCTACCCATCGCGCCCGCTCATCGCCAATGAGAGATGCGGCAGCTGGTATATCCCGCCAGAGCGCAAGGGCGGGAGCGCCTACTTCAAGAGCACCGACGGCCACGAGCGCGCGTGGAAGTTCAGCACTAGGAGGTTGAATCTGCACCTGGTGGACGCTTTTGAAAAACACGATGGGTAAGCGACCTTCGAAATACTCTATTGAAACACCACACTCATCGTTCAGTGCCATCATCGTCGATTCGACACGCCGTGGCAAACGAATGCCCGATGCCCTGTCCACGACCATACCCATATGGTGCACCGTGATCAACCTCTTCCTTCTCCCGGACCACCCTCTTTCAGGCAACCTCTTCTTACCACCAAGCCACTCCTCGAGCACGCATGCGCAAATCAAAGCCTTGATTCCAGAGTTTCTTGCCTCACTCAAAGCGCTCAATCTGGCCTCCGTCCCTACGACCCTGACAAAACCTCTGCGCCCGTATTGGGTGACGCAAGACTCGCAAATCGAGGCACCTCACAAAACAGTGTACAGCGACTATCGACCAGTCATCTGCTGCACGGCTAGTAGACGCGTCGTTGGGGGAAGTGAAAGCGACGAGGGCGGCTACATCCAGGGCGCGGCCGACGACACGGAGAACTGGGCCCACGGTCTTACGCCAGACATTTTTTGGAGGAACGTCGATGACTTACTGGCGACGGATGAAGATGACCTCTCGGATCTCATTCATAAGCTGATCGCACAGGACAAGTCGAAAAGGAAGGCCAATGCGAATTTGGTCCAAGTCACGCCCAGGATGTGTGTCTGCCCCCTGCCATTGGAGCCGGACGCCTCAGCTTGCTGCATCAAATTGACAAGCGAGACATCCAAGCCAGAGACCTGGGCCAAGTCACCACGCCTCATCGAAGTCGGGCTTGGAAGTGGAAAAGCTGCTAGTCGCAACTTGCGACTTGCTCTGCCGCACATATGCACTTTTGCGTCCAAAAGTCTCGACGCCGGGGCAGAGAAGGTCATCATTGCGTGCGAATCGGGCAGAGATCTGTCCGTCGGCACGGCACTCGCGCTTTCTTGTTACCTTTTCGAAGACGACGCAGGCACAGTCCGCCCCGCCGGAGACGAACCCACCTTTACAAAGACCTTTGTCAAGATGCGACTGGGAACAATCATGACCGCCTACCCAGCTGGCAACCCTAGTAGGAACACCTTGCAAGCTGTCAATAGCTTTCTCATGGATTGGCGAAGATGAAAAAGGCTCTCATTGCGTCGTTGGTCTGTATAGATGTCTCGTATATTCCAATTCTTCCTCTCATCAGCAACCCCCACCACGTCTAAATCTCGCCGGACTCGATCTTCTCCAGGATGCTCGGGAACTCTGACCAGTGGTACATGATGACCTTGGCACCGGCATCCTTGAGGACCTTGACCATCTCTTCCTTCTTGTCCTCCTCGTACGGGCCAACGTACCCGACAACCTTGATGCCCGCGCGGGTGGCACTGAGGGTGCCGCTCTTGCTGTCCTCAATCGCGACGGACTCCTCCGCCTTCTTGCCGAGCTTCTCCAGGGCGAACAGGTAGACGGCCGGGTCGGGCTTGCTGGTGGGCTTGGGCAGGGACGAGGCAGCGGAGAAGACAACCTCGCCCTGGAAGTACTTGTCCTGGCCGACCTTTTCGATCGAAGCGAGCACACGGCGGAGGGCCGACGAGGAGACGACGCTCATGGTGTACTTGCCCGTGTCGTTCAGGCGCTTGAGTTCGTCGTCGACACCCTCGCATGGGCGCAGCGAAGCCTTGAGCTTGGCGATGACGGCATCTTCCTCGGCCCGCACGTACTTCTCGAGGTCGGCAGGGATGATCTCAATGCCGTAGCGCTCTTGGAGCGACGTAAGCATGCCACGGAAGTTCTGGCCGACAAACTCCTGGATCAGAGTCGGGCCCGTGAAGCGGAGGTCCAGGTTGCGGTCTTTGCAGATCTCGTTGATGAGATCAGCGCAGGCCTCGAAAGCGAGCTCCTCGGAGAGCACGAGGGTGTTGTCGCAATCGAACAGGAGGGTGGTGATCTATGATGGACTCCATTAGTACGACGGGGGAATTTCGCCCATGTGAATCACCTACCTGAGGCATGATGGCGGCGGGTGTCTAAAACGTCTAACTAGATGTCTGACTGCAGAGGTGAGCGAGGGACAAGACGAAGACGGCTGGGAAATGCAGACGGAAAGGAAGAGGGCGGAAAGTCTGGAGAGGGATATTGGATAGCAGGGATCCACCGGTGCTTTAAGTAGAAATCGGGACTGATGCTCGACACGTCACAGAATGGACTGGATAACCTACTACGTAAGTGAGTACCCTTCTCTTGGGTTCTCGCGCAGAGGATCGGGATCAAATAAGTTAGCAAGTGGGTCGAGAAAACAGCTCGAGCGGCAGCTAAGGTATCGCGATGAGCGAGCGATCGTAAAGTCAATGCTTGTCGAGGGGGCAAACGAGGGGAGCAAGGAAGAGGGGATCGGTCGAGGCGGCCAACGGACGCAATGACTCGGCCGTCCGTGTCGATGAGAGAGAAAAACCCCTCAGACGAGCAAGCAGAGAGCAGCACTCCGAGGTCTCATATTCACGCCTGCGTTCGGGATACCGGGCAGTCGCATCTCGAGATCATGTAATGTAACCAAGCAGAGCGCGTCTCATCTTCCGCTGACCTGCTATTAAAAGTGGCACATTTTGGCCTCGTCAAAGGGTCAGATTGTGACGGTTTTATAAAGTCGACTGCCGCCGCCCCTCCCCCTCCTCGCGCGCCGACGGCTGCCCCTCTCTGTCGTCATCGTCTGGCTGCACTCCAGGCTCACGCCAAAATCGAATCGATATCTTGTGATGAACTCGTGCGGGATAGGCTTGTCGGAGCATTTCCCTTGCAAGCCGGTGCTTATTATTCCTGCTAGCTGCTAATTAAATCTGACGATATGCGGTCAATTTAACTGGTCCAACCAGACTGGATAGAGCCTGTTAACTTGAGACTCCAGAGCTTCCCCGCTATTGATCGCCAGGTACCACCGTCTGACACATCGATCTACTGCCAAGGCACATTGGATACCTCTTCTCTGCTTGTGCTTCGGAATTAGTAGATTGTATCTTCTAACTAGCAATTCGCTTCTTGCACCATGAACAAGCAGTGATGAGAGGCTGTCAAAATGGCTGGGTTTCCTAATGCTCCACTGCAACAGCACCTCGTGTGTATGTAAACAATCGCCTCGATGCTCATGGTCCATAAACGCCGTAACACCTGTAATAAGTCGTGACACCAGATGCAAAACAATTGCCCACACTCTCGCCTGCTCGCACACACAAAGAACTCTACTTTTCCTCCTCCTTGGCCCGATGTTCGAGTAGCACATCGGGAGCACGCCTCAGTCCACCCCTTACAAGATCTCGCGCAACTTTGCCTTCTGGTCAGCCGTCAGACTCGACGGGAATTGCACCTTGTAACGGAAGATCAGATCGCCCCTCGAGCCGGGCTTCTTGGTGATGGGCATGCCGAGTCCTGGGTATCGCTCTTCGCTGCCGGGTTGTGTAGGTCCGGCCTTCTCCAGGTTGATGTTCTTTCCGTCAAGTGTCGTGACAGTGCGCTTCCACCCTGTCAGGGCCTCCTTTAGCCCCAGCGTGACTTGGAAGACTAGGTCGTTATCCTCGCGGGTGAACAAGGGGTGTGGTTTCTGTAATATTGTTAGCTCCAGTTCCTCGCTTACTGTGCATAGCGGGGCTTACTTCTTCAATGACAAAATGCAGGTCCTGGCGTCCACCCTCAATCTGGTCGCCAACTCCCTTGAATTTGATCTTGGAGCCCTTCTTCAGACCGGGTTTGATGGGCACCTCCAGAATCTGATCCTTGACAATCTGCCTCCCAGAAGCGTCGAAGCGCTTCGCCTTGATCTTCATCTTCTTTGTCACGCCGTTGAACAAATCCTCGAGACTGATGGGGAGCGGTCGCTCCACGGAGAGCATCTCAGGGGTCTGTGGGCGTTTGGAGGATGCTGTTCTCCTGGGCCCTCCGCGACCACCACCCGCGCCGCCAAAGGGACTCCCGAACATGTCAAAGTCATCGTCGCCCATACCACCGCCACCACCAGGGCCTCCGCCCGAGCTGCGCATGAATTCGGCAAAGATGTCCTCGGGGTTGGTGAAGCTGAAGCCACCTGGGCCGCCGCCACCGCCCCCGCCGGTGCTGAAGTGGAATGTGCGAGCGCCGCCGCCGCCAGGCATGCCTCCAAAGCCACCTCCAGGGTACCCGCCAAAGTCGGCACCGCCAAAGCCGGGCATGCCACCTGCTTCCTCAGGTGGCGGCGCACCTCCTCGGGTCATAAAGTCGAGGCCGTATTGGTCGTACATCTTGCGCTTCTCGGGGTCGGAAAGAATTTCGAAGGCCTGGGAGCACTCTTTGAACTTTTCGGCGGCGTCAGGGCTGTCTTTGTTCTTGTCGGGGTGCCATTTGAGAGCTGCTTTCCTATACCAAAGTGGTCAGCGCATGCTGCAAGAAAATTGATGTTTGTGAAAATTCGGTCCTTACCTGTACCCCTTTTTAATCTCGTCTTGTGTAGCCTCGGGTTTGACACCGAGGGTGTCGTAGAGCTTTGTTTCCTGAACCATGACGTCTGGGCTGTGATCTAACGTCACGCCTTTGCTCGTCGGGTATCAATCGGTTTGGGGTATATATCGACGTGCGCAATTAAGTTTGCCTTAAGTTTGTGCGAAGTGTTGTCGTACAGTGATAGTGGGTTATTGTCGGGTCTATTATGAGTCAAGAAATCGCGAGGAAGGAAAAAAGAAAGAAGACTTGGGATGGCTTTGTGCTCAGACTCGATAGGCGCCCAGTCGTCAACAGGCAGTCCGTTTATGGCTGTGAGCGGCCTAGCCCCACTGCTTTTGGGTGTAGCTGGAAGATTCCTCCAAGTGACGTATGTGCGGCGATGCGGTGAAGTCAGTTTCCCAAGTCACTGGCTCGCGACAATCACCACTTTAATACTAGTTTTTAGAATGTGCTTGTGAGTGTTAGACTATCAAAAGGTAACGATGGTTATGCTAATCGTTCTCGTTTTGTTAAGTAGGGGTGCTCGTGGTGCTACTAGCAATGTGCGACTCTAGTACTTAGACCTAATGCAATGCGGTAGAAGGTTTTGTGGTCATGTTAAATTTGTCTCGCAGCAGTTCAGAAATCCGGACTGCTTTAATGCTAGTCAAGAAGTTCAGGATCGGCATCTGCCGTCCACAGGTTGAGGCCTCTTGGATATACCTACTACGAGACTTGCTGAGAGCTGCTGAAGTGCCTGTCTTGATGGAACATTCTAGAACCTCCCATTGTAAGTCCACTTTTCTATTGTGATGATGAGCCTACCTTACAGCGGGGCTAGGCTCGATTGAGATTCTGCCGTTAGCGGTGAAAAGGTAACACCGGAAGGGTGAGAACCTGAA